TGACAAAGTCTGGTTGGACACCACCAACCTCCATTTACCACAATCCAAATGCAAGTTGGCAGACAAATGCACTGGCCCCTTTGCAATAATCTCAAAAGTGAGAGCTAGCATCTATAAACTCCACCTGCCTAAAACCTGGAAGATTCATAATGTCTTTAATGAGACATTGCTAACACCCTATATCACACCTGCATTTCCTAACCAGGAATGACTGCCACCACCACCTCTGGACCTCATTGATGATGAAGAACATTATGAAGTCAACCAGGTTTTAAACTATAAATTACAAAAAATCAAGGTGAAAGAGGGAGGTATAATGACCATGGTCGATTATCTGATCAGCTGGAAGGGTTACAAACCAGAATCCAACCAGTGGGTAAATGAAAACCTGATGAACACTGATGAAGCTATACATGACTATAAACTATCCCTAAATTAAGCTATCAGGACAATGGTCTTAAGGCAGAGGTAATGTTATGATTTTCTACTCTTTTCCTTTGTTTGATCCCTATTTATGCTTAGTCAGAGTGTCAGAACAAGTGCTTAAGACTGTAGGATAAGGCTTAGTCATCACAACTAGCCAAGTCTGTCATTGTCTTTTGCCACAACAGCATTGCTTGATGACACACAACCAGCCTTTTATGTACAGTAGCAATGCTCCAGGACAATGAGCATAGAAACAGAGAGATATACAATAAGTAGATAGTATTATTAGCAAATTCTGTTTAGTATTTAAAGAGCTCACTCTTGCTGGTAATCCCCAGCTTCAAGCTAAAGTTTATACATCCTCATTCTACTCTCAAGCTAGTCACACAACATCTTGAAGCACAGGAAATCAACAAACAGTACATAAAATGAACTTTAATGAAAGGCTCAAATGTGAAGCCATGTTAGTTTATCATGTACCAGTTGATCATGTGTGGCTTGAGCATAACAATATGCAAAGTCAGAATTGTGCATTTTGACATCATACATTGTGAGATAGTCAACTGTATATGGTAAGTTCCATGTTCAGCTATTTCCACTAAGCATCTCTTCAAGCTTTGAGGTGCTAATTTGCTTTCACCTTTCACTGCAGGTATTTTCATATAGTATAGGCTGCTCCAAATGTGAATGAACCCTACTGATTGGCATTTTTCAGATCACACTTCTTCAGAAATCTTTCCAGAGTGTCCAGCTGAAGGTAATAGGTTTTTAACTTCTATTACATAGTCACAAGCTTCTGTCCACCATCTATATGTCATCCCTGCTTCAATTAGCATCACTCTCATAGTCTCAAAAATGATGCTGAATGTCTGTTCTGCTATTCCATTTGCAGCTGATAGATATAGAGCTGTAAATAATAGGATTACTCTGTTAAGTCCAAGTTACACATGATCTAAACATGTGATAAACAAGTGCTGTATCAAGTTTATATAGTCACACTTGAGTCCACTTATACATATTATCTAGGCAACATGCTTTAAGGCCAGAGACAAGTTGGCTTGAGAATAAATAGTGTAGAATAAACTTTAGCTCAAAGCTGGGTATGTACAGTGAGAGCTATGCTACTTATATACTGTTCATATCTGAGATAAATATATACCTGCTAATTATGTGTTTCTACATTATAGTGTTCTTGTCTTTAGTTGTCACTACTGTTACAAAAGAAGTATTGTCTGTCATTAAGGAGCCTGATGCTGTTGCAGGATGTTGGAAATCCTTGGTGGTGTGCAGAATAGACTCCAGGCTGGTAAGATCAGAAAGAATGAACTTCTTATTTTACAGCTCCTACAGAGCTTGTATTTATACTCTCCAGGCTTGTATCTAGAATTTACTACAACTTTTTCTTTCTCTCAAGCTTACTCATCAACTCTCAGCATGATGCTGGATTGTCCTTTCTAGAACTTTCCAGCAAAATCCTAACACAGGACAATGAGCTTGGTCTTTCTATTATATTTGCATAAGCAGATCCCACATTAAGTGCTCTGACTAAGCAAAAATAGAAGTTAAGAAAAAGAAAAGATAAAAAATCATAACATACTCCATGATTTTCAGCTTAATCATGCCAAAGTTTGCAATCAAACTCATTGTTGCAATGGATTTTCTTCAACTTCTTTTCTGTCTGCCTTTCTGCTATTGTTGTGAATGAATCAAAGGCTGACAGCATGGTTACAGTGTTTCTATCAGGTATAAAGTACAGTTGTCAGCATGATGATGCATCATCTGTAAATTCCATAGTATAATGGGCACCACCAATTGACTTAACTCTTACAAGACTCTGTATATCTAAGGCAACTAATGCAAATAATTCTGTCTCTGACATTACCACAGCATTAAAAGGCCTTCATTTTTGGTTTTCAAGAATATAGGGTTCACACTTCTCAGGTAATTTTGGACCTGATTTGATGTTCAAGCTGTTGATGAGATTTCCATTACTAAGGACCTTGATTCTATTGACACTGTGATGCTCAAATTGCATGTGCCACATCTTTATTGGGATAGCAATATCTGTAGATCTAGCAGATAGAGTCTGGTGCTTTTCAGCACTGATTAATATTCTATTGATCACATATAAATCTCCACTCAATATCTATAAATTTTTCTTCACTGTCTAGCCCCATAAAACTGACTTTCTCCTTTGCATATATTACAGTCCAATCATCTTTGTCAAGCCTTGACACCAAAATTAAGTTGGCTGATATATCTGAGTAATATAACACTTTGTTCAGCACCATAACATTGTTCTTCTCAGTTGTAAAAGTGACTCTTCCAGTTTCAGAAATTCACAGGTTCACATCAGCCTTTGAGAATCCTCCAGTGTAGTGTTTGAGCAGAATATAGTTCAAAAAAGTGTTTCTCTGTTTGATGAAATGCATAGTCACATCAGAATCACAAAATAACTTCAATGAGTTTAACTCATTCATTTCTTTAGCTATCCAAATCCTTTCAGATCCTTTCAATGTCTTTTTGCTAGTGTGGAGTGCATAGATGGAGATTGAGATACCTGTATCTGGGTCTACAATAACCATAGACTGTGCAAGATGCACTGATGATGCTGGTAATAGTGCATCACATTTTCCTTTTCACCAAAGAGAATATTAACCCTGTTTTCCTCCCCTGATTTTTCAGCACTCTTTGACAGTATAGCCTATGCCTTTGCAATTCTCATTTGCCTCATGGGAGTGTCCATTAGATGGTTTTTCATGATGAGTAGTAGCATTCATACTCTGTATTTGTTAAATGGGTGCTGCAATTGATGCATAGAGTGCTTGGTTTGATAAATTCATTGAGGTCAAGTTTATAGTCTGGCCATCTTGTCCACTGACATGATCTCTGTGTGCAGCAAGTCATACAATTATCTTGACAATATCCAACTTGCCATGCAGGGTACTGATGACCAGATCCTAAGACTCTGAGAATTAGTCTATCAGTATTGTCACAAAAGTGTCTATTTTGATTGCTGCTCTAGCATTGTTCACTTTCTTCAGTAAGCATCTCATCTTTTTGATGTGTCCACCATCTCCTGTCACTTTTTCTCATCTTGGAACTTTGTTGCTTGTAGGATATCCTCTCATCTCTTTTGAATAATATCAGAGTGAGCTCCATACTCCTTCTGTAATTTCATCCAAGCTTTGTGTGATTTTTCTCTGGAGTTGAGGCTGAACCTAAATAGATCAGTGACATTTTGAATGATTGAAGAGAGAGCCACACTCTCATGTTGGGTGTATTCATGATCAAGGGGATTAAGGCTCATTAGGCCAGTTGCAGGCCATAGAATCAAGCTGGATGCTGTTGGTGATACCTTATTTTCCCAATAATTAACCAGGCCACATGGTCCTCCTTCAGCTATCATCAACATCTCCCATGACACCCAGTTCTCTCCATTAAATTTCTCTTCTGCTTCAAGCTTGAATAGTAAGACTGATGAGTTCATTGTCATAGACATTCTTTCTCAATGTTGAAAATTTTATAGGGGTTCAATAGTTTTCAAATTTTAAGCAAAGTTATATGAGGGCCACAATCTATGGTCTCAAGCTTTTGCTTTTATGGTTTTGAGTCTTCAAGGTATTTTGAGTGCAGTTGTTAGGATCAGAATCTGAGGTTTGAGCACAACAGGGCCATAGAACCTGTTAATAAACAACTAACTATGTATTGTAAGTAATATTTCAATCAGTAAAGTAAGAAAGATATACCTCAGTCTCCACTCAAATATGTGTAGAAGACTGAGGTACATTGGAGGGGAAAAAATCTTTATGTACTAGTGATCATGCTACTGAATGTATCTAAGAATAACCATCATCCAAATAACCTGATAGAGGGTGTTGACTGGTGTTCTGAACATATAGCAGGTTCATGAACTCTCATATCATTTTTTGCTCATTGGGGGTGCTGTTGTTGTTGTTGTTGTTGTTGTTGTTTCCAGCATCACCAGGACCACTGGAACTACTAGAACCACCTGGTCCACTGGGTCTGTCAGATCTGCCAGAGCCATTTGGGTTGTCTGGGAGAAACAATTAAACAATCTCTAAGGTAGTAAAGAGGTGAGGCTGGTGAGCATAATGATAAGCAAGCAAGCAAAGCTCACCTTGACTTACCGAGAAAAAGGATAGAGAAGCATGAGACACTTGCTCTGATGTCTCTTGACTTTCAGCCTTCATCAGAAATCTGGTACTGAAAATGATACAGGATAACAATTCCACTCCTCCAAAGTGAAGCAGCACTTCAATAACTGAGCCTAAGAGTTTGGAAAAGCCAGTCTTGATGCATGGCAGAGGTCTACAGAAATGCTCCTTACCCTTGGAATCTGTATTTATCATAATCTCTGCTTATTCTCATAAGGTATTACCAAGTTTGGAGCTCGAATCAAGTAGTATAATAGCCTGAGTATTATGATGCTGCCACGTAGTTCTAAGCCCAAGATACAGCATTGTGAGATCAGGGTTACAAGTCTCCAGTTCGAAGCATCGTTGACAGATTCTAAAAGGGCCGATCTAACTTATACTGTGACAATGTGTGACGTCGTGACTATTTACCCTTTCAACACCACCTCTAGCATGGAGTCCAAACTGAAAGCATTGAAAGTGGTTGACCTCAAAGCTATCTTGGCCACTGCCAGCGTCTCTCTCCCTGCGAAGGCGAACAAGCAGGATCTCATTAACACCATTCTCGCTTCCCAGCCTGCCCTTGATGCCTACAACACCCTTCATGACGTGCCTACTGAGGTTGACCCTCCCAAGGTCCCAGAAAACAAGCCAGAGCCTCCTAAAGCAAAGCCAGCTGAGCCTCCCAAGTTGCCGCCAAAGGCAGAGCCAGCAGTGGAGCCAACAGCAGATGCACCACCGGCGTCTGAGCCATCGGTCGTAGAGCCAGCAGCAGTGGCACCTGTAGACCTCGAACTTGAGAAGCGAAAGAAACGCGCCGCTCGGTTTGGCATACCTCTTGTTGAGCCCAAGCCGGATCGTAAAAACGCGTCACGGAAAAAGTTGCCCGCTGCAGCAGATGTAAGTCGTCTTTTGTTTACTTTTTCTCCCTTATTCATCTCTGCATAGGATCCTGAAAGGATCAAATCCAGAGCGGTGAGATTTGGAGTCACTGCAAAGCCTACATCCTCTCCCCCTTCGAAACGAAAGGCGCCAGCTACCGTGACAGAGGAAGTCGATGCTGAAGAGTTGGCTCGGCGGAAGAAACGAGCAGAGCGGTTCGGCCCCAAGGCTGCTGTGTGTACTTTATCACCGAGGTGTCTATGCACAACTAACCCCAAACACAGTGATGATAAAGATGCTCGATTGTCTTGTACATGCTCCAGATGATGTAGATGACGACCCTATGCCGCGCCTATGGAATCTTTCTAGCTTGCAGAGGCTCACCGAGGGACGCGTGTATCATACATAACATTGGAACGCATACTGTTTCAGTGGATCGGGATGTATTGTTACCTGTCCTACTTTATCATTATTATTGCATTCTTCATGCACAAGATGATTGCAGTGGCTACGTTCTAATCTACGTGAGGTATAATCGATATATGATCAATCGGAGAACATAAATTTTTAAAATGAACCATAGTATATTACAGGTCCAAGCACATAAGTAGTAAGTACTCAAGATGACGTTCAATCCTCTGCCAAGTCAATGACAGGCCCAGTAATAGCCATCGGTTTTCGTGCCTGCGACGGTCGACGATGAAAACCACGACAAAGAGGTTGACACATCTTGCGGTAGAGCGTCTACACTTATTGATGACGGACCTGAGGCAGGATGCATAGGTTTTGTGCCCTCAATACATCCGCGTACCGCCGTCCAACCAGTTCCGAAATAATGTCTTCGTCACCAATCAGACTCAAAAATGTCTTTGTGTCGGCCTACCGCATTGACCATTGCAGCGAGGCAAGCACATCTGGTCGTTTCCTCACCAGAAGTCCTTGCGGGCGACTCATACGCACAACCTCATACCCACGTCACTAGCTCCTCGAAGGTACCCCTCAATGTGATTTCTCTTCGCTTGAAGAAACCCCAAAGTAGTCTCAGCGGAGGTGTTTTTGAGGAATGTATTGAGCATGCCGCATTCAGCACAACCGCAGGTACCTTTCTCCTTGATGACGGATATGAAGATGGGTACATCCTCTGAATCCGGAGTTGTGAGAGACAGTAGTGCTTGGGATAACTGCAGTCGACTCCACTCTCTGACGATTAGCTCCTTGTCGGCGGCCGTGTCACCGAGACCCCTGAGGAAATCGTGTGCTACCGCCAATCTGGATGTTTTAGCAACCATTCCTTCGAGGCTGTTATATACAGTATAAGCATGGACCTATCATAAAAGAAGGCACAGAATAGCTCACACAGGACGTACGTCCTCGAACGTGAATGTTCGCCGAGCAGTAACCATTCTATCAGGTCTAGGCCTAGAGTAGTGTCGCGACTCACTTGCACTATCAGGTCGGCGGCGCGGTCAACGGTGGGCATGATAACATCCAGCATCGGTACCGCGATTCTATCGGAAACGTCGTTCATTGGCCTAAGTATGCGAGGAATCAGACCATCGAGTGGCGTCGACTCGGAGGGACGAAGAGGCACCTCGAAGAGTCACATTTCACGTGCTTTGTGTCACAACGTACGGACATCGCCGATGACTGAGCTTTCAGACGACCATATTGTTTGCAAGATGTAATGTCTCCCCCCTTTTTACCGACATAGCTGCTCAGATATTCCTTCTAGATGCCGAAGACAGCTTTCAAAGTATACCTGCCCGACATGTAACCTCCCTTACTGCTCCTTGACGTGTTTTCGCTCTCCCGCGCACGGTGACTGCTCCGAGACGTTTTACAAGAATGAAATCCAACGAGATGTTGGCGCAGACCAGAATCTGAAAGCGGAAGAGCGGATTAAAATGATGGAGATGCTGAAGAGATTCGAGGCGATGGAAAACAAAGAGGACGAGGACGGGGTCGATGGTTTGGCAGAGCGATTTGAAGGTATTGACCTCGGTACGTCTTGTTCTAATTACAGTTCACAGTCGACTCATGCATTTCCCAGACAACACAGATGAACTTTGGAGTCGTCTAACACCTGCCGAGCGCACCAAATTCCTGAACGCCGTTGCCGATCCTTCCAGCGAGCTCGCTCGATCGCTTCTCGCATCTGAAGAATATGAACGTTCTCCGTGGTGGGAAAAGAGCGTTGAGCCTGACGTTCCACAGCTTGAGGTCCCCGTGGCCCTTCATCCGCGTGTCAACCGCGCTTTGATGTATAATCTCTGCGGGATAACGCTGGCATACGCGTACACTACTCGCCACCTATCTTTGGCTGATCCGGGAGCCAAGGAGCTGATCAAAAAGCTTGTTCCCTTTCTTGCAGACCCAAGGTCAACATTGGCCCACACATCTCTCGGGGAAGCTGTAACAGCTGTTTGTTCTCGCGAGTCCATCGATCCGCAAGCGCTAAGGGTTCTTCTGAAGGACATTACGATGTTATTAAAACCTCGGGTCGTGATGGAAGATGGAACTCATCCCAATCACCGCGCCCTTACCATGCTTTCAGACCTTGCCAAGCTGTTTGCACGGGGCAAGGTGGTGAAGAAATTGGTCTTCTATGCTGCTTGTGTCAAGGAGGGAAGGGGTCTATTGGCCGTGGTAGTGAAGGAAGTAGAAGATATGCTCGACGCAGAAGCGGAAGAGAACGTGCTACAACCTCCTGCAATGACCGGCGACCTCAGGCCAGGACGAACCTGTATCGAAGAGATTGGATAAATCAGAATATCAACTTTCCCACTTTTCGGAGTTCGGACGGAGTCGCTTTGCTTCTCTGCAATGCTATCTGATAATGCTGCCGATGCTGCCCAGTAAGGGAGTACTGTAAGTGTTATCACCACTGTGTACTAGATCCCTATTCATACTGACTGTTCGAGAGATCGATCGACATACAACAGGCACGAGCAAATAATAAAACCCGGTGCCCTGGACTGGGATTCATATTTTGTAGGTATATGACTACCCAGATGGATCTGTCGCCATGCGTCGTGTTCGCAAGTAACTTTGTCTCTTAATTAAACATTTCGCCGCTCGGCAGGATCGCAAGGATTGCACGAATGAGACGCTACAGGACGTTAGGGCACATCACGAACATGAAGCCATAGTCTACTCATTTCAACATCTATGCGCCTTAGTAACTAACACCTGACTACTGTACCCTGTCAATCGAATCTCTTCATCATAGTGACTTCGACATCGCCGGTGGGAGAAGGGATTCCGAAAGTAGGAGCGCCAAGGTTAGGTTGAGAAATAATTTCCCCCGCAATCAGCTTGATGTTGTACTCGAACAGAATTGTTCTGACAAAGGATATAATTTGGCTCGAGGCAAAAACCCCGCCGGGACAAAGTGATGTCCCTCCCCAGAAGGCTCGGCGATTAAACGAGAGGATTTTCACCCGGTGTATTGCCGATACGTCTTTTGCTGGCCGTGACAACCCATAGGGGCAAGTGGGTTGAAGTTCAAAACGACAGATTACGATGTACGAATATATCTATAGCAAGGTCAGGCCCAGTCAGCTTCGAAAGTCAGTGCCAAACCTAGCAGCCTTGTAGACCTCGCTGGATCTCGTCCGAACTACATTACATGACCTACGAAAGGAATCCAAAAGGGCCATTCAGCACTTGCCCCTGGCGGAAAAGAGCAAAGGCTTCCCCTGCCGTAATGATAGCGACACAAACGTCGGTGACACTGCGTATGGTGGAGAGTGCTGTCTTCGCCATGACATCCAAGAACCTTTCTATTCACAATGTACCTACGTAATGGGTTAACGACGCTACATGTGTGTTTTAGTTGGAACTATCCTTCCCACCACTCAAACTCCTGAAGAACTCTGCATATGCATTTTCGACATCAAATAGTAGCTGTGACTACGGTTCAGAAAATGGAGTCGCGGTAAATGTGGGTGGACCTACCTGCCGCGACTGCTCCTCAGTGATTTCCTCAGATGCTTTCATGGCATTCAGTGTAATCAGCCTAGCAAGGTTGTCATTGACAGCGTGACGTAGGCCGAAAGGATAGGGGACATACCATCCGACCATCTTACTATGGCCTTCCCAAGAGTCTTTGCCTTTAAACCGGGCGTAGCCAGTAACCAGCTCTTGCAGGTACGGGTACAATTGGTCTTTTGCTCGCAGGCGTAGCTTTAGAGCATCCATGAGAGTAATAAAGCCCTGGAGACATGAATCAGTGATGGTCTGAGCTGTCAAATGGAACATTACACACCTGCGTCGTTTCAGCAACCCACTTGCCTGTCTCCGGACCAGCTTCACTTGAATGCTCGACCGTCGCAGGTACTCCCACTTGGATCCGGTGAAGAGCTGCTGGATTGTCCATCTACGCAACAGCCATGAAAATGCGCAAGGTGTCGACAGCGCGAACGGCACTTACTCGATACCTCTGCATAAACTGATCAATCGACGACACATCTTCACCGACGAGCTTCAGCATAGTCTTGTATTGGGACAATAGGCGAGTGCATGCAGGCGAGTATCTCTTCAATAGCAACCTTAGAAAACGATTCATATTCTTAATAGCTAATTACTCACTCTGCTGCCGTTATCGAGTCTCGCACGTAGGCTCTCTCGAGATAGTCCAGAGCCACTATTATGCCAAAAAGCGTCGCCAGTAGATTGTATCTCTCGCGGTCGGCGTTGTTGGTGTATAGGCGTACTTCCTCGTCCAGTGAGAAAGTCGACATGGTGGTAGCTGATTCGGATACGGGCCGAGATCCGATCCCGTTGTGCTCACTAAGACTGATTATCTCGTTGATGTCAGGAGGCGCACCAGGGTCTTGTTAAAGTTCCCACTGAGATACTAGCTACTCCGGCGCATCATGGCAGACACAAAATTTCAATTCTCAGAATGGCCTCCTGTGCTGGCAGACAGCCAACTAGAAGAATTGCATCTGCAGGCGTCGACCTATGCACTGTCTCATGGTCTGCTGTATCTCCCGGTGCAGCCCTCACTGCTTCCGACGTCAGTGATACACGCACCATTGTCCCTTCTTCCCTCTCCGTTTCCTAGGCGTCTCTTCGATTTTGCGCAGAGAATCCAGTCGACATATAATGTCTTGTACTCTCGTATCGCCATGGATGAGAACTTTTTAGATCAAGTTATGGGAACCGAATATGGAGTTGGAAAAGTGGATACATTTACTGGTCAGCTTTGGTCTGGATGGAAGGAAATTAGGGATAAAGACGGTGTAGTACAGGTATGTTAGATTTCTCCTCGCGACTCCGTTGAAATTGAGGCCTTCAAGCCCTTGCACCTAGGCCTGTTTCGATCGGATTATCTTTTACACACCTCGGATTCAGACGGGTTGGCTCTGAGGCAAGTCGAATTCAACACGATATCGTCGTCGTTTGGGACTTTATCTGAACAAGTCGCCAATCTACACCGGTAAGCCCTTCGTGTCTGACGTCCAAATACGTAGCCCCTTATACCAGTAAGTTATCTTTATTCATTAACAGGTTACTTCAATGCTTCTTCACGGTTGAAAGTAGAGAATTTCCCTTCAAATCAGACCACTGCCGGTCTGGCTGAGGGCCTGGCGGTCGCGCATGCAGCGTATAATATTCCTGAGTAGTCGTTTTCGATGCTTTGCTACAAAACTCCTTAACACAAAATTCTAGCTCACAAATCCTCTTCGTCGTTCAGTCAGGCGAGCGAAACGTCTTTGACCAAAGATGGCTCGAATACGAACTGCTAGAAAAGTCTGTTACTCTCACATCATTTTATTTGTCGCTAATCATCTCATAAGGCATTCAATTCACGTCATCCGCCAAACCTTTGACGAGCTAGCATCGTCAGCCTCAGTTGACCCGTCAACGTCTGCTTTGCTCGTCTCTTCCATTGAGATTTCGACCGTGTACTTCCGCGCAGGCTATACCCCAACAGATTACCCAACTCGGTCACATTACGAGACCCGCTTCCTCCTCGAATGTTCCAAAGCAATCAACTGCCCTTCTATCCCACTGCAGCTCGCAGGTGGAAAGAAGGTGCAACAAGTGCTCGCACAGCCAGGCATATTGGAACGCTTCCTTGGCGAAGACTTCACAACAGAGCAGCTCGAAGAGTTGCGTACAAGCTGGATGGGAATGTGGGGTCTTGACGAGCCAGATGGGGTACAGAGGGCCAGGGAGAGATCGGCGGGGTTGGTATTGAAGCCTCAACGAGAAGGCGGCGGTAACAACGTCTACAAGGAGTCTATTCCGCCCTTTTTGGATACCCTGTCTGCGGAGGAAAGTCAAGCATGGATAGCTATGGAGTTGATTGTGCCACCAGACGGCTTGAAGAGCCACTTGGTACGAGCTGAATTGGCGGGAAGCGTGAAGACGGAGGTAGTCAGCGAACTGGGGATCTTTGGATGGTCCTTATTTGGGAGCAAGAAGGTTGTAGAAGAGAAGCAGGTCGGATGGTTGGTCAGGACCAAAGGGAAAGATAGCGATGAGGGAGGTGTTGCGACGGGATTTTCGGTTTTGGATTCAATGTTTCTGGTGGATGATTAAGGTCTTGCTGAGGTTGCTACTATCCTAGAAATAGAGAATATAACCTCCGCCGCGTAGTTCATTGATACGGACTGTGCCTTGAAATTTCAACGGTCACATCTACAAAAGTTACAATGGACCTATCGACCAGTTTATTTTCTTCACCTTGACGAATATCGTAGCACTAATTTTTTACTATGATTGCCGACGCGGCTCTTCCTGCCTCTCGGAACGTTTCGAGAGCTTTCCAGGCATTTCCTGAAGTGATGCTCTCAAGTGCAATTTTTGCCCCTTCCTCAAAGTCACTTGCGACTCCAGCAACCACCAGCAAGGCCGCTGCGTTCATTTGAACGAAATGCAAAACTGGCGTCAAATCCTCCGGAATGTTTCCACCAGAATTGAGTAATCTCTGGAAGGTCTCGGCATTTTCCTGAGGATTACCGCCCGCCACAGTGGACAACGAATGCACGTCCAGTCCGAAGAGCTCCGGATGCAGCGTCAACTCGGTAATTACACCATCTTTCAGCTCCCAAGCGTGCGTTGGACCTGCACAACTGATCTCATCCAGCCTTTCATAGCCACAAACAACCAAAGCACGCTCGACGCCACCATCCCGAAGCGACTGAGCGAATGTTGGACCGATCTCGGGCTCTGCGACGCCCAGGACCATTCCTCGTGGTTTCGCAGGGTTGATCAAGGGCCCAAGGATGTTGAACATGGTCCTGAAGGGAAGTGCTTTTCGATATGGTGTTATATAACCTAGTGCGGGGTGATAATGGGGCGCGAGGATGAAGGTGAATGGAACGCGAGGAATAGGCATAGGTGTTCCTGGTGTTGGGGCAACGAAAAGGCAATCCAGGGCCTCAAGGAGATCTGCTGCACCTGATGACGAGGTCGACGCTCGGCTGCCATGCTAGATGAAAGTTTGGAAGGTGGTTGAAAGAAAAGAATTTTAAAAAAGCCAGACCATACCTTAATGACTCGCGCCCCAGCACCGGCTGCAACGATCCCTGCCGTTGTGCTAACATTAAAAAGGTTGTATCCATCACCACCTTTAGGGAAATTAAGCATGCAGTGAAGAAAAGTAGAAGGCTTGCGAGTCCCACCTGTTCCCACAATGTCGACGACAAAGTCATTCTCGGTGTCTTGCACTGCAGCCTTCAGTGCTTTCTCCCGCAACACGGATGCAGCAGCTGCAAGAGATTCTGGTCGTCGCTCCACCCGATGTATATGTATTGCGCTCAGAAATGCTCCAATTTGCACGGGCTGTACGACGCCGGGAGTGAATAGATGGTTAAGCGCTTTCTTGAGGTCTTCCGGAGTGAAGTACTCGGGCGTCTGCACCAGCTTGTTCAGTAACGGCCTAAAGGTCTCCTCCGTGTATATTTCTGTCGAGCTCGATGCCGTCTGCGGTGGGTTCCAGGATTTTGTCATGATGAAGTGGGAAGAAAATGAGTCAAGTCCATCACCAGCTTGCATCATGTGTTGGCAATGGGATCGTACACGGTCACATTCTCAGTGCTGTTATTTTCTTCGACCATCGCGTGACGCACTCTGAAAAGCTCTCGTTCGTACCAACTGGAGAGGTGAGCAACCTTATCGATAATGTATGTATCTAGCCTGTGAAATTTTTCGCGTCGCGCGTCGCAGCTGCCAGGCAAAAAAATTTAAGCCGATCGAGTCACCGCGGCCGAGGTTTTCCGTATGACAATTTATTCAGTATGCGTTTTCCTCCTTCTCCAGTGAAAGTCAACGATATTTCTGAATCGCAGTTCAAATTTAATTGTTTACAGGTCTGTATCTGGTGTTGATCTGGCGTTGGTTTTTTTGTGATGACTACTACCACTGACACCACTGAACTGGTCTTTGTACCGTTCCCTGAGTCATATGGCACTTGGGTCGTTTCTAAACAAGGAAGCCCCTTAGATGTACTTTACAGTGGGGAGCATTTCTGCCACTATTCTTACTTTTCTCAAATAAAGATATCGGACAGTTATAACTAATACATCATTAGGATGTTTCCGCTATGTTAAATCAAGAATGTATATGTTATGACTGTCGTACAGTACGGTATGCGCTCTGAAAGTCAAAAATAATACTAGATGAAATAAGATAGAACCATCCGCTCCGTAGCCATTAAGCCCATCTGCCCAAGAGTGCCATGAGCGCACAGCCGGAAAGCATGCATATTATCGCATATGCTAGCCGGCCGTTTGAGCTAGTCATCATATCCTTGTTAAATAGGAATTCGTGAGCGAGCAACTGTAACATGTTCTCGTTAAGAAAGCGCTGCACAAGATGAAGGGACTTACTTCGACGAGACCCGTGTAGATCAAGATACCGGAGCTGAATGCGTCCAGAACACCACTGACGATCGATGCGGTCGTGCTTCCAGGATTATAGGTGGTACGGATACCCAGACCGGCTGCGATTCCAATGGGTGTTGTCAACCCATACAGCATTGCTCCAGCAAAGGGCACCCAGCGATACTTGGGCGGTAGGTCCATGTATGCAAGCCGTGAGCCTATACCTAGTCCTTCGAATGTTTCTTCAAATTGTGCATATTATTAGCAGGGACTGGGCGGGTTTTAACAAGCCCCTTACGGTGGAAAATCAGGACGACGAAGAGGACCTTGAAATCTTCGTTAACGGCAAGCGTCAGACCAATCAAGACACTTTGAAGAAAATATCAAGAACTTGAAGAAGAGTGGAATGACGTGGTAAGCATACCTATGGAGAGTGACACCAAATTCAAGGATTGCAACGCCGATAATTTGGGTTAGTGCGGAGTCCAGGACACGGAGGCCATGTTGGTTCTCGACGTCGACTTCGCTGCTGCTAGATTTCGACTTGGACTCGTCGGGGTTACCTTCTGGTCCATGTGAGGCATGGCTACCTGCCAGGTGTCCGTGTGCGTCTAGAAGTAGTAGAATAAGGTGAGGGATGTTGACAGGAAGTGGAATGGAAGTCAGCGTACCATGCGTCATGCCGATCTCTGCGAGTTTTTTCGTCCCCCATCGAAAGGCAATGAGCTCGAGAAGGAAGATGCTGAAGATGCTGAGCATACATAATGCGAGTGCGTAAGGCTGTTGAGGGACGGTCAGAATGTGGAGTGGGGAAGGAAAGGATACGGAAGACGGACATAAGTTTGCCATCCTTGTGCAAGACACTCTGATTGGAGCTCATCGAGGGCAGGTGCTAATAGATGGATAAAAGCGGTTGCGATCTATATATAAATAAATTTAAAAAAAAGAAAAAAAGAACAAAGTCGATTTGTGTGTTAAGCAACGGTGACACACAACGTACAATGACACCGCTTCCAAAATATTTTGCGAAGCTACAGAGGCGATGGATAAGAGAAGAGATGGGCTGAAAGGGTTACGAGAAAACGTACTCAAAGACGGCTGTGGGCACATGTAACCAGGTTGACCTTCTCGCCAAGACGGGGAACAATGCGCCAGAGCTCGAACCCACTAAAATAATAAAAATCGACGCGACACGTAAACCGAAGTAAGAATCGGCTCCGCCACCAGAGCCGCAGTTGGTGGCCTCGTCGTCCTTGGCAAGGATGTGCATCGAGGCTGACATTATGTCTCGGAATTGGAGAGCAAAAGACGTGAAGAGGAGTATTGCCCTGGCAGGCGCTTGAGGACGGATGGCACGGGCGCAAGGAGGACTGACTTGTTTAAATGTCTAACGGGAGGTCTAAGGGAGTGATACTGTTTATCGCATGTGGACCTGAGGACCTGATGACGGCGACTTGGGAGGTCCTCTTGATCGACCATAAACCCGGCCGCCATGCCCGTCAGTGGTATACGCCCCATTTCATTGGCTCAAGATCACGTAAGAGTACCCTCCCAGTCACGACAACTTATCCGTGCAATCAGTGTCACATTGTGCGCTACCAGTACATATACATAACGCCAGTTAAGTTAAGTACTGGCGAAAAGTATAAGAGACTATTTGAATCAGACTCTGGCAAAGCTCGGGATAAAACACGCATATGCCACACTGTCCAATTCACAGGCCTTGATGCTGACTGTGAGGGTATGTCCGCAACGCCACCACCGAAATTGAGCCAGCCAGGTGCTACAGGAAAAATGTCCGTCGAGTTGTCTCTAGCTCGGGCTGGATGGAGTCCTGTGTCAGCGTGTATATACACTTCAACAGTACTTTCCTTCCACTCACCTTCCAAGCCCACAGGTACTCGTCTTGTTTTGGTGCAACAACCTTCTCAGGCTCATTTGTGGTCCCCTCAGCACTAGCACTGTTCTGGTCTTCAGAAACTCCGTTATCAAACTCTAGTCCTTTTGGTGCCTCTCCAAATCTCTCCACCGCAGGTATTCCTTTTCTCAACGAACGCAACTTGAGCGTAAATCGAGGTCCTATCTCCTGCAGCGCTACTTTCTCCGTAGATCGGAAAGCGTAGCTATGATTGCAAAATTAGCTTGGTATTATTTTTAACGGCGCTATCAAATACCGGTGTCTCCGGAAGAACAGAAAGTCACGTTGATTGTGAAGGGTGACCACTTGCCGACCTTCAAATTCTGGCATGGGAGGGAACAGCGTCTGAAACAGTCGACCGACTGAATGGCCTAGCCGTGTCACAAAGTTGTTAAGCACTAATTCGGGATAATGCGCAGTTGCCCGCGCGTGGCCCTGACAAAGGTTAGGATCGTGAAGCTATAATATCAAGTCCTCACATATATTTGCTTCGTCAACTCAATTGAGGTCAGTTTAAAATACGCCGTCGGGCCACTGGGTAGGTGTATCAGCGTGATGGCATCTGCACGTACGAACGATCCCGTTCAGGCATGTTAGTCAATCATCAATAGGCGAACGCACTCGGCTTTTTCATATCCTCGTTAACAACACACATGTGTTTGTACCCCCTTCCAGCCGCCCATCCCGCTATCCGTCCAAGCTCGAATCCCTTGCCTTTCTTTCTCCGTATGAACTCGGCACCTGGAAACACCCCAACGATTTCGTCACAGAACTCATACGTTGACTTGGACGCTTTGGGTGAGGTCGTAATGAGGATTTTGGGTGCGATCGTGGGGTCGTCAGTAGACGTAAAGTATTCGGCAAAGGGGTCGTTGGCGATGTCCATCGCAGATTCTCCAGGTGTTGTACCAGAACCAGAGCCTGAGGCCGATTCCTGCGAAGGGTCCGCTGTGAGGTAGGATGGATCGAATTCTCGCATATTATCCAGTGTACGCGGTACATTTTCAGCGAGACGTTTCTGCAAAAGATGCTCAGTTTCTGCATCCCTTGACTTACCCCACAACTCACTTTTTTGGCTGCAGGATCGTTGGCTTCGAGCTTGGCTTGTGCGAGCCGTTTCTGCAACTTTTGCTGTCCCTTCGCCTTTTTCGATTTCCTCGCAACCTCTTCTCGTTTTATCTTGTTTTTGATGGAATTGGGCTCGAAGCGTGAAGGCGGCATGATGGAAGAAGAACGACAATATTTTCTGTCAAAGAAATTCAAGAAAAATGTAATGTAAATGACCGTGGGAATTAGCTCCCGGATAGCGATGAGGTCACTCGCGGGCATGAGACCTACTCTCTACCTCCATCCTCTTCACCACAAGGCGATCCACACTAGGCCCCATGTCTGCTTCAGTACCTCAGGAAGGTATGCATTCAGCTGCTCCATCAAGCTTCTTTACTTATTACTCATACAGAATTGCCTATACTCGAATCAGTCATCAAGTGCGCTCTTTCTTTTTTGATATCATCTGACTGTCCGCCCAACGGCAAAATTGCAGCATTCGAAATAGACTGACAGCATTGAAGAAGAACCGGGCCGAATTCATCAAGGCTTCCGACGTGAATTCTTTGTATCAGGCCGTGGTCAAGCAAGGTGCCTTCATTTCCCCTTGCTGCATGGAAAGGGCTCATCGGAATCACTGGTAAAGTGACCAAGCTCAATGATGTCCGCAATGACAACGACACATATAATAATCGCCTCGACACCACTCTAGCAGACGTCTTCACCCTTCTCTCTTTGTTCTACCTTACCATAGGCAAGACGAGGGATACTCCAGCAATCTATTCCCAACTTGCATCCATGCGAGTGAGTTTAATCTTCCTGAAAAATCATAATCTCTTCCCTTCCGTTCGATCTCTAATTCTGGTCTATAGCAAATTCTAAACCATATGACCGAGTCCGCGGTATACAACGAGTCAGACCTTGCCCCATTTCAGCGACGCCTCAGCGATCTTCGCCAAATAGTCCAGCGAGATGCTTCCACCGGAAAGCATCCGGAGGCTTTGACCAAGCTGCTTGAACGACAGCTCGGTGAATGCGATGGTATCGTCCGAAATTTACAGGAGGGTCTCGCGGTGCTGTCCGACGAACTCGTCCCTATCCACGAAAAGCTTGTCACTCTGCGGCGAAAACTCGTGGCACTCGGATCAAGAGAGGGCTCTCATAAAGCTGAATTGAAACCAATCATGGAAGAACTTCGAAAAATTGATTCGTTGAGTGTCTTCCCTTAAGAGAGGGAATGTCCATTATTCACAGTGTTATTATTATAACCAGGAAACGCGTGGATGGGCGATTCCTTGGGCCCGGAGGCACGGTCCCGTCATCGCAGGCAAACTGTTCCTCATTGCTTGAAAACTGCTTTGAAATCGCACAGGAAATCAAGGCTAACGAAGAATCCAAGAATGTTCCGGAATCACTGAAGCCAATCTATGATCGTCTCAGTGAGATCAGGCAGGAGTTGGAGAATCTCGTCTTGACACATCGGTGGAGTTTGCGGGAGACCGATTTATGGAACTACTCGTTGAGTCTGCAAGAAATCGATAAGATGAGGATCGACGGAAAATTCATGGATTCAGAGGGCAATCGACCGGATGGTCAATACGTAGGCATTCATTTTATTATTATTACTGAAAGAACCGTTAACAATCGTATCTGGCGTAGGTGCTCCTGTATCTGTTGCGCCGATGTTACGGGCTCATATATCGGCTGCTGTCATCCAGCGAGCCCGTTTCAGAAGAACTCATGCCTATTGTGGGGGTTTTGATACTTTCGATACTACAGTGGGGGAGGCACTCACGAACTGTGAATGTAGGCTAACAAGCTGAACACTGTCAAGAAATGCTTGAACGAAGTGCTGAAATACGGGGGCCCTTGGAGCCCACGCGATCTTTATCCTGTGCGTAGTGCTTTCATTTCCTACCAATCAAGATCCTCCCTACCCGCCTTGTGTGAAAATTTGACTTCTGTGGGCCCGATTACTTACGATCCTCTCATTCTGTCTTTGCTTTTAATGGTTCAGTATCAGCTAGCTCTTCATCAAATCGAATCAAGGAGAAAGGACGGCAAATTCATAGGTATCGATGGTTCAATACCCGAGGGTCAGGGTATCGTTATGGCTCATCTCAATGAGTGTCATGAGCTTATTGAAATGGTAACTGTGTTGCAGTCGCGAATTATGCTTGAGTCTGATTGGTATCCTAGCTCAAAGAGTCTATGGACGAAGACGAGGCCGGGGAAGACGACGAAGACGACGAAGAGTACGACGAAGACGAGGAAGAAGAGTCAGGTTCTGATGCAGAAACACCATCATAACGCTGTCGGTTCCCTTACCGTGCGCTGCTCAAAGAATAAAGAGGCTCGAAGTACATCTTACTCTGTATCTTGATTTTGGAAGCATTCGATAATTCGGGTTGTCGAAAGTAGATTTGTATGTATACAGTTTTACCTAGTCTAGTATATCGTCGAGTTTTCTTCGTGTACGCTGCCAGTATAGGAACGTTGAATGCGCGAAAAACGCCACTTTATAGAGCCGGGTCGCGCAGGCACGTGAGACAACACCGCTTGTGTAAGCAGGAGGTGTTTCCCAACAGGACAATCTTGAACAGTTTCATCCATCTACCTATTGTTCACCGCGACTGCATTCATCCATCATGACTGACAAGATTAGAGAGGTCAGTCCTTGTCTACTCTTTAATCCGATTTCATCTGACGCTCTTGTGACGTACAGAAAATGAACAACCTGCGCATCGAGGCGGACAATGCTGTCACTCGCGCAGAGGAGGCCGAAGCAAAGAACAAGAAATACGAGCAGCTTCTCCTTGAGAAGGACCAGGAGATTACATCTTTGCAGCACAAGCTTGCGCTGCTGGACGCGGATCTGGAGAAAGCCGAAGCGAAGGTTCAAGAGTACAAGGCGGTTCAAGAGGAGGGCGAGCATTCCAAGACGACAAATGATAGTCTATTGAGAAAGATACAGCTGCTTGAGGAGGAGCTGGATGTCGCGGAGAAGAATGTCAAGGACACCGTTGAGAAGTGGGTTGTATCGTTAGCCATCGCACATAATGGGTACTGATCTTTTGCGATTAGGTTACGCCAAGTCGATGTGAAATCCGAGCACTTTGAGCGCCAGGTCGGACGGGTCGAGCAGGAGCGCGATATGTGGGAGAAGAGGTGGGAAGTACGTATATATGTCTTTCTTGCTGAGAGACATTGCTGATTGCCATGTAGGAAGCCCAAGCGAAATACAATGCGTCGAAGAAGGAGCTCGACGAGCTCGTTCAATCTATGGAAGGGCTCTGATTGGATTGTTACCCGTACCTCCCTTATCTGCTCTCGTCATTTGTACAGCACACATCACGCGCAGGAGCGTCTTATTTCTTTCTTTAGTACTGGCGCGTTTGACATACTCTACCTTCATTCTCGAATGCAATAACGATTAACGGAAATTTGTGTGACATTGAAATAAGTGTACACGAACTGACAGTTGCACCAACATCGTGAGATGAACATGCACGGCTATGAGCTGTTCTCGAGATTTTGCTTCGAAGCATCTGGCGGTGTCAAACCGTCCGACAGCCGGCAACGTCGAGCTCGAGAATTTTTTGGCCTTTGATTTCCTGCCATGTACAATATACAAGTCCCTCTGACATAATGCGTCGGGAAGCTGGGCCGAAGTTCCAGTTCAGGAAAATTCTAACAGTAGACAAGCATTTTCTTTCCCGTCCACTATCTACTAGAATCACCTTTTCTTACTCACTCCCAGCTCTACCATTACGGTCGTCAAGGTCGCGCCTCCTTAATCCCCTACGCGTAAATCCCGGCTGCGCATAAATAATTATCACGCCATGCGGCCCGCGAATTGGATCCTTCGGCGCCTCTCAGGGTCGTACGACCAGCAAACACCGTAACAGTTCACGCTTCCTCGCTATTAACGGCGATTCATGCTGTTTTCTAGGAAAAGTATACTCGTCAAGGGGAAGAAACCACTCTATGCTGCCACTAAGGTGCTCAATGTCTCTTCGGCTACTGCTTCGTCAGCCTTCGCCAAATGCTGGGTCCATAGCACAAACAAGACTCGAACGCTGCTCAAGACGGTGAGAACCCAAAGCCAAGGGTTTCGGAGAGCGTACTCGACCAAGTTTGGAGGGTCGGGGTCGGAATCAGAGTCTACACCATTATACCGTTCGTCGCCATCTGGATTTCTCATTCGTCTCGGTTTGACCGCCTATGCAGAAAAGCTTGTTGCTGCTTGGACCAATACGCCGACGAAATGGTATCCGCTGCCCATTGCTGTTGGTGCCCTTCTTTTGGTTGCAATTCAGTACCGAAAAAAATCACGACGGGCGGGCAGGGAGGTCGAAGTGGACGAGCATGGAGTTGAAGTCATCAGACTGAAGGGACCATGGCATGTGAGTGGCTGGATCCTTTTTCTGTAATGACTTGTTCAAACGAATAGCTAGGTACATGTTCTTGGTGCCCTACCGCTCCGTAATATGTCACGCTTATGGGGATACGTGAACTCTCTTCAACTTCCTGTCTGGTTCCGTCCGTATGGCTTCCGTATCTACGCGCTAGCGTTTGGCTGCAATCTTGATGAAATCGAACCTGCAGATCTCACGGCGTATCCTTCTCTTGGTGATTTCTTCTATCGCAAGTTGAAGGACGGTGCACGGCCGGTTGATGGCGCGGTTCTCGTCAGCCCTGCTGACGGGAAAATCCTACACTTCGGCACCATCCAAGACCTACGTATAGAGCAGGTCAAGGGTATCACATACTCCCTGGATGCGTTACTGGGTGTCGAGCGCCCAGGAACGCCTTCCCCTTCCGTCGCCGTCGTTGCACACCATAATATGCCCGTCGTAGATGATCATGAATTCGCCAATGTCAATGGCATTGAATACAGTCTTGATAAGCTCATTGGATCGTCCTCCACCTCTGGATCAGCCACCCCAACTTCTGGGGATAGCGACCGTCCGAAAAAGTTTGGAGACCAGGTGGATGCCTCTGTTGTAGAACCCGATCAGAACACTCTCGCTTATGATGCTTCTGTCGCACTTGAGATGGGCATCAAGCCTACATTGGGACGTAGACCTAGCATGATTGCTCGTCCCGGTAATTCGCTGTTCTTTACAGTAATTTACCTAGCTCCGGGCGACTATCATCGATTCCATAGTCCCACAGCATGGGTTGTTGAGAAACGACGGCATTTTGTTGGAGAGTTGTTCTCTGTTTCGCCGTGGATGGCCAAGAGGTTGGAGAACCTGTTTGTGCTGAACGAGCGAGTGGCCCTACTTGGTCGGTGGAAATACGGGTTCTTCGGGATGGTTCCTGTTGGTGCTACGAATGTTGGCAGTATTAAGGTGAACTTTGATGCCGAACTAAGGACGAATCTGAGAGGGAGGAAGCCACCTCCGGGGACGTACACGGAAGCCGTGTATTCCGCTGCGTCCAGTTTATTGAACGGGCAGCCATTGGTTGCAGCTCAGGAGATGGGCGGATTTTGTCTTGGGAGCACCATCGTCTTGATTTTCGAAGCTCCCGATGACTTTAAATTTGCGGTGGAAGCTGGCCAGAAGGTAAAGGTAGGCCAGAGGCTTGGAGATGTGGTCAAAGTGAAATCAGACTAAGGAAATATTGCCTTTGTCGTTTATCTGTACGTTTTGTAAGGTATTTTATTTAAAAGATCATCACTTTATACTGATTAATTTGCAGGGACGTTCAACATGTCTTTGCAAGTTGTATATAATGCAGTCATCATTTATGTTAGAATATGACCACCGTTTTCTGGCCAACATGGATCAACGAAGGACTGTTGGTTCGGCAGCTTGATGCCCTTCTGCTCTGCTCTAAAACCATCCTTTTCTACAGTCACTCTCCTCTCCCTAAACATCATGTCAACCGGCCTCGACGCACATACGAGCCAATGTGAAACGTTTGCCATCCTATGAAAGTTCGGGTTGAGCTTGAGGTGAGATATCAGACACAACCGTAGGTCGTAAACGATATCCAAGATCTCGTCATCAGGTTCGCAAGCTTGACAGAAGAATCTCTAGGAACAGGCCCGTAGGAACGTGGCAAATATAGATAGTTCATTGACACAGTTATATAATCGGCTAATCCATCTCTACAGAAAATTGGACAAAAATGATATCAAACAGAAGTTGCTCCCGCGGTGTATCTGCCTCCATATATCTCATGATGGTTAAATTCAAATCCTCCTCAGGATCAAAGACGAGCATACCTTGTACAAGCAATTGTTCCTACAGCTCCAATCGGTAAGGTCGAACCGCATTTACAGGGTTTCCACTAGTCTTCCTTAGGCAGACTCTTAATCTCTTGACAAGCAAATGGCCGATCGAAGATTTTTGGGGCTACAACAATCCTCTGATTGAAGGTCTGGAGCGCTTCCTCCAACACCTGAAAACTATGCATAAAAATACTACAGCGTTTGGACGGACACTCGTGGACCGAATGGGCCATACCTTGCATAGTTGACTCGGCAGGATAAAGCACGCACACAATTGAGGACAACATTTATTTTTTCGCTCGACCTTCCTTCGGGAAAGTGGCACTCCAAATCCGCCTTTCTGTGAATCGCAGACCATTCTCTGGAGTAGGAGGTTCAACATAAGGAAGCCCAGAAAAGCATCTTGAGCAAACGCTTACTTCCATTTTGAACGATGGTCTGAGGTTGAGCACGAATTGCGCCAAAGAAAAGGCTAAAAGGAGTATACCAAGCATAACGGAGTTAGGATGTTATGGAGCCCTCCCGCAATCCGGGTCCAGTTAAATGACCAATACTGCAAGGCTTGGTATATACGGGCTGGTGGAAGAGCTTGCATGACCAGAAGGTTCATCACTCAGTACGGAGAGTCAATCGCTCATTTCACTAAAGAAGTCCCTCAAGCAAGAAACCACCAACGCTCTCTAACGTTCAACATCCTGTCCATACAAGGATCGCAATCTCGCCATCACTCTCCTCGTCACAATGAACAATCCCGCAACTCTCAAGGTTTAGCATATCGCGAGCTTGCGCTGAAAGCAACTTCCGCTACTAGCATGAAGACTATCAGAGGTGATCGTAATGCGTATAAAAGGCATGAAATACTTGGCGAATGTCCATTCTAGTTTCGTGATATCGAGAAGCTACACCACCCACATCTATAGCTACACACGGGTTTCTGTCATATGATGGCTCTACCAAAGCAAGTAGATCAGAAGTTGGCGGAGACAGTGGCCGATAGGGTGACGCAAATGCCGTCCCATTAGAAGCTCGAGGCTCTTTATTTGTGACTTCAGCGCATACGGGTACCAGAGAGGACAAAGTAGAATGGGTTGGCGAGGGATAAGGATTATGATCCTTTGGTCTTCCCTGGGCGTCTTCTCCCCGCTGGCGAACCGGCATATTATCATTGGGGTGTGCCAGAGGAGGCGGTAAGAACGTGATGACGCGCTTCGACGACGTAGCACTCATTCCTGACTTTTTGCCAGGAACGGAAATTCCCGGTAAGGAGAATGCCCCAGTGCGCTTCACGGCCGTGGTGGTCCTGACGAAAGCTGCATATTAGCAAAACGGAAGGGTCAGACATGGAAGAATACTGCTGACTCAGTCGTGCGTTTCTTGCGGCTCTGAAGAGTACTCCATTCTTCGTCAGAATCTATAGACGGTTTATATGCATTCGGTCCAAGAATCGGCCTTGGGGGGGATGGTGAAGCGTGTCGCCTCTTGTGGCTGATACGTGCATGTTTGTTAGCATCGGGTGCTTTGGGTTGTGGATCCGCACAAGGACTTGGAATGGCAGGCATATTCCAAGAGAAAGGGGGAACCGAGGTTACTTCTAGGTCTAGCCTTCGAAAGCCTTCATTTCTATACGGCGGGGTCGTAGCTGAAATAGGCAGTGGGCGAATATGCACAGGCGTTGGCGGAGGAAATGTTTGAGGAGCTTCAGAGCGATGTCAGGGTCGGCGACAAGAAAAAGATATGACAGTCACCTGCTGCCACAAGAGGCATGGACCGCTGTAGCATGGATGAAGTCTGGACAGAAAGACGTGGCGCCACATTAACGAATGTCTTTTGAAGGGTGTCCCGACGAGGTGCAAAGAAGGATTGAGGCTGAGATCGAGCAATGGGTCGTATCGGACCAGTAACAGTACGAATAGGAGAAGATAATGAAGCATTGTCGGTAGAAGGAAACAATATTTCGGGCCGCGAAACAGGAGAGGAGAAGTAGCTGGCGACCGGACGTTGGCTTTGAAAGGTGTGAGGTGGCTGGGGACGAGCACGTATGGAACCTGGAGCCCTCGTCTGAGTATCAGGAATATCGGACAGGTGAGAAAGAGGAGCATGAGCAGCAGCATCAATAATGCAGGTTTCTGGACGAGATAAAGCCAGAGGGTCATCGAAAGGAAGAGATATACACGTTTCCACAGCTTGCACACCAGAAAAACGCAGTGGTGAAGAAGGTGCATGAGGAACGGCTGGAGTTCCGGAAGAAAAAGAGATAGTTTCTGATGCAAGTGGAGAATTGGGTACCAGAATGCCGAATATATGCATATCTTCTAGGTGTATTGGGCGTTTAGGCAATGATTTTGGCAAAATGGCGGGTGCAGGCTGATGCTGGGAGTCTTTGGATGAAGGAGGAACAGCAGAAGGGGTAGAATTGGCTTGAAGAGAAGATTTTTGAAACATAGACCTGGTGTTCTTGGACCGCCTTCTCAGCTCGTCAACTATCGATGTCTTCTTCCCAGCTCTCGAAGGTTTGATAGGTCGAGAAGGCTTGTTCGTCGAAGGCGGTCGATTGGTGCTGCGAACAGCCGCGTTGATTTTTGCAATACTGAATGGATTCGGCTTGTACACGACGGTTTCCTCTCTCGTAGAAATGTCCAAATCGTCAAGCATACGGCTCTCGTCCATGTCAGAATCAGAGGATAGATCAGAATCAGAACCAGAGTCCACCAGGTTACAGTCAGCATGTCTGAGTTTCGATGTTCTGAGATTGAAAGCCCATCCTGAAGAGCTCTCCGCTGCTGGAGCTCCATGATTTGGAGACATGATTTCAACAACATGGACGGAATGAGCAAGGATAGAGATAACCGGCCCGAATGGTCGGGGGCACGATCACATGACACGCACGTGTGCTAAGTAGGAAAAATCAGAAGGAAAGTAAAATAAACCAGTCATTGGCGACACCTTCGCATAAGGTCTCATAAAATTATGGATTGTGGGTACTATGTGTACTAATACATGATAAATTGCCCAAAGACACAAATTATATACTTTGAAGACTGCAATGTTAGAAATACTCGCCGCAATCAATAAGATATAATAAAAGAGATGTTCAGAATTCAGCGTCCATGTTTAAGCAATGGAAGAGAAAAACGTCAGGCATACTTACTCCAAAGTCCAAGTGATAAATAATTAAGTGTGATAAGAGTCCGAGGCAGAAAACTGATAACAAGTCATAGCAACCATTTTTATGGTTGTGCATATTCTTCTGGTAATACGAGTTTTTCCATGGCTTGCAAAATCACTGAGAAAGCACCGTCACCGAATATCTTCAAAATGAGAAGCCGAACATACCAACAACCATTCCTCCGGCAGCGTGTTGTGATATATGGCAATGCACAGTCTGAGGACCTGGATTTTGCACAACATCTTCGACAGTTTCAGCCGAGAATCTTCAAGAATACAAGTCAAACTCACATCTGATTGCTAACCAGCTTCCTTCTGCGGTTGACGGTATGGTATCATACCCATCTCTCTTTGGAGGATTGACAAAGTTGAAAGACTCTGGAATTGCTTCAGCCGCCTCTGCCACAGAGGTCCAGTTAAAGCTGCCAACCCCATGACCCATGACCCAAAACCTGTTGAAATGCTATAGGATAAATTTATTATATGAGCAGGACGCTTTCACTGAAGTGGAAATGGGTGTCACCTTATGGATGGGATGTGCTGGTCTGTGGACAAGACGTTGTCAGACCAGATCATTTAGAACAAGAATATACTTACTGTGCCCCGTGTACAAGGAATATTAAATCAACGACGCTTCCCTGCTCTGGAACGACGTAAACGCTGTCCGCCAGAACCAACTGAGAGCCAGCAAAAGGACCTGTGTCCTCATCCGCTGCCTCGAGCACACCTCTCCACACAGAATCCCAGATCAACGGTTCACCATTCTCATACAGACCAGTTTGCAGACCGGTTCCGTTGGCCGTCCAAGTTGTTGCGTTAGGCCTCTTCATATTGAGGAACAACGTCTGCGTAACGTTGTTGTTGCTTGGAGGAGGGTCGGCAATATAGGGTGACGCTTGTTCACTGGTATAGTCAAATTCGGTGGCATTACACTTGGCACCAGTAGCAGTGGTCAACAATGTGCCCGTATAATCGATGGATGCAGCTGAAGTGGGAAGAGCTGGGTACCCGACGGAGGGCTTTACCAATGTGGGAGTAACGAAAGGGTCGGGCGAAGCGTATTGGAGGATTCCATACCCAGATTTTACCTGGGGGACGACGTTCGCTGCAACACGGATGGTATATGCTTCTCCTGGTGTACCAGTAAGCTTGACCAGGGCTTGAACTCGGACACCGGAATGAAGCTTGTTTTGGGGGTAAGCAAAAATATGGAAAGGAATAGGAAGCACGAACAGTGACGGCCTCAACAGGAGTCGTGGTATTCACGTATTCTCCTTCGACAGCTGAAACAAGAACGATCAGAACTTCATCTTGGCACAAGAGACGCGACACATACCAACGACGTACATTGGATGCTCGTCGATGGAAAAAACTTCTTCCCATAGACCACCGCTGTTTACCAGGTTCAGCATCACCCACGAGGTCTTGGTGTTGTCGACATTGAGGATGTATAACGGATTATCGACGCCTGTACATGTATGTCATCATTGATAGCATATTGTCTCCGTCAGAATGCTACTCACCTTCAGATGCGCATGTTAACCACAGCTCATCTGGCAGAAGGGCTACATTCGACTCGGCTGAGAAGCCTTCTCCCTGAGGATTAATGATACTATTGTTGATATAGAGGCAACTGTCGACCTGTCAGTATGCATGGATGAACGACGGAACCGACGAAGGAGGCTTACCCCTGAGCTGTCAGATCGCCATGTCCTCTGGCCGTCCCAATAGCAGCTAACTCATCTGCTGATGGACAGACAGAAGAGCCTTTACCATTGATTAGGATAGACTGAACACACCTGTGTATAAGACCTTGTCAGCAACGAAGGAATGCTCGACTTATCAGGAGTTCTTACAGAGGTTCAATGTTCGCCTCTTTCCACATTTCACTGATCTCGTATTCGGGAAAATGACGCCAGTCCATTATCATAATTGACTCAGGGTGGTGTTCAGCTGCATACATCTGGAACAGATCCAACGGGTCGTCCGAAATTTTGCCGAATGGCCGTTCCCGTTTGGGGCTGGGGCTACCAGGCAACGCAATATTCAGACAAGAAGTTCAGAGAAAGTCTTTCTACATACCGAATATATAAAGTCATGGACATGCCGTCGTCCTGTTGAGATTCTAACCGATATTCGGGTCAGTAAGTTTTTCGGAATTAAGTGGCTTTGACATACTTGAATGTGAATGGATAAAATAGAAACCAAATTGTGTCGCGTTCCAACGGTGCGTGAAGTTTCCGCCTGGCTGAATAATAGGTTGAGTAACTCCAGGAACCTAGAAGCCCAAAGATTCTTTAATGGATTTCGCAGCAAGGAAGAAGTGCTTCAAATACGTACACCATCCGACCAAGGAGTGCCTTTCTGCTCGATTCCATGGAAATGCATCGTTAAAGATTCCGTGGCATTGTTGATAATGAAAAACTGTTTTTCACAATGAAGAAAAGACGCAACGATGGCGGCCTAACTCAAGTACGTACCTCGACCTCGTCGCCCTCGTCGATAGTCAACGGGTCGGCAGGGAATTTGCCGTTGAGCAGATATACCATACTAAACGACGCGTCAACATAAAAATAGGCCGAATACTATGTGACATACCGCTCTTTGGCACCGTCAGGATTGACAGAACCCTCGGATATCTCGAGAACATAATCCACCAAGTTCGCACCGTTGGTTCCGGCGCCGACGTGAAGCGTAAGTCCCAGAGCTTTGCCCACTCCAACATCAACATCGAGCTCTGCAGACCGGGCTACGCTTGTACGACTCGCATGCTGATGCGTATCATGGGGAAGCGCTAAAGAAAGCGTCAAGAAAAGAGAAAAGAGAGGTAGTAGGCGGAGAGCAATAGAAAAACTCATTGCCTTTCTAAACGAGAGGAGGTAATTCGTAAACGAATGACAAGATATTTCAAGGACAGAAATGGTGGTAATTATAGAGAAGGAAGGAGTGAAACGTTAGTGAACTTTTTTTGTATGCGCCGTGGCGAGACTTGTTCTCGGATCTGGGCGCGAAGATCAAACCCTGAGGTCATATCAAAAATTTTGATGGAAGGATTGGAGTTAATAATACTTGAACTGGGGCCCATTTCATCAATTAGCATCCCCGTTCAGGTGGATCTCGAACACAGCAAATCCGATCCAGGCTGGGAGCGAGAACATATATCTTTTCTCGTTGGGAGGGTTGCATAGAGTCGCCACCTACGAGGCTGTGTGCGCAACTGTCAGCTCGTATTACCAGTCCTTCTGATTCGGGGCCAAGGCGGGTTCGATGGTTTTGTAATATCGCGCCTGGGGGCTGGTCGTAAATGGTTGATAGCCATCTTAAGCTGTAGCCACCTCCTTTGACTGCACTGAGGTTGTGCGCGGTGTCGTTCTAACCCCGCTATGTTCTGAACGCAGAAGATGAGGTCCCAAGGATAACGTACACGCCAGGAATGAAACATGTAAAGCTGTTCACTGCATGTCAACTTGGAACGGTACCCTCATTTTCAAAGGAACGGAGTTGCGACGCCTTGGATTCGGCGAAGAAGATACGACGGCAATACTTGGACCGTGTCCATATTTGGGTCCATATTTGGTCCAGATCGTCCGTAGCACGCACATCTGTTTACGTTGTGATAGGAGCAAAAATCCCAGTCTAAAATATTACGCGCCTCAAGTACGAAAGGTGGAATTATTAAAACCGACCTGCTTGATGATGAAAATGAGTAGCTGCAATGCGCAGTCGCGGGTGGCAGTGTCAAAATTTGGCATTTATGGCTGATCCAAACATGTTCCGAATCTTATCTTATCATGATCGGGAAAAGGCGGCTTGGACCAGGAAGAATGAAACAGAGACGTCTTTTCATATTAAACATTATTAATGTCTCGCGATTTTAGAGTCAAGTTTGGTCCAAGGGCCAGATGTGTCGTCCGCTAGATGGTCGCCGCCCAAGTCAGTGTCATCTCGACCACAGAAGTTGAGACCTGTTGAGACAATATTGCTGTGCGGGCACCAGAACTAGAGCGCTCGATAACACCATTTGACCCGGCTTTTGCAGGATGCCGGATCTTGTGTCACCACGCGGACTAGTTAGCTTGTAATGCAACTTGGATTTCTCTTTTGGCTTCTGCACGTCCTTGAGCTACTTCAAGTTGGCCATCGAGCACATTCCTGTCGTCCAAGCTTGGACGATTTACTCGACTTGCACTCGGGGAAAATGTAGCGGCGACGGACCCACGTGCCACCTCCTTATCTTGCCTACCACCCGGAGCTCCCCTTCGTCAATATAATCTATGCATTAGAGCAACTGGACTTATTTTCGGCTTATCTCAAAGCGAGGCCCACGAATGATTGCCTGCGCACCCCTTGCATTGACAAATATCCGGGAGAGGCCACACATTCGATGGTGCCAGTTGTCGTGTGATGTTATCATGTTTCTGCAAGGTCGAACCTGTCCGATCAAGGAGCATCGTGCCACCATCAGGATCATTCCAGCGATAACGCTTCTTTCTGGCGACAACTGATATAGACTCTGGGTCACTGTAGGCCATCTATGCTCGTCCTTACTTTAATTTTGGACCCGCAGACATCCTCATGATCCTCCACAGATTGCCTTCCGGGGCGCAGTCTTGCTTCGGAACAGAAGATTCCAACTGAATGCTGATCAAAGACGTGTGCTAAAAATACTGGCTTGGCACAAGGTCGTCTCACCGAAGACCATATGCTTCCCCGGAACTGATACATGAGAACCGAATATAAACTCCGGTAGTACCACTGGCTTACCCTTCCAACGCTCTTGCCCCCCTACAGAGTGTCCATTCAGAATGGCTGACAAGCTTACCGACGAGAAGCTTCGCAATTCTGACGTCGTATCCTTCGTTGGCCACGAGCTGGATGGCATCCACGATGGCCTCGAGTTTCCTACTGAGGAAGAGATCGCAACCTTGCGACGGGTGTCTGATAAGCTCCCATGGAATGCATACTGTGCGTATTTTCGGTACCATCGTACCGGACTTGCCCTGATATCCCCGCAGTAATCGCCACTGTCGAGTTGGCCGAGCGATTCTCGGTGAGTGGTATCTTATGGCAGCTGTATCCACTCCTAACTCACACCGTATTTCAGTTTTACGGATGCAGCGTCGTATTTGTGTGTACAACATTACTCATTACTTACCATGAATCCGTGCCAACGTCTTCTTCTAGACCAACTTCATTCAACAGCCCCTCCCTACAGGCTCGCGTTTTGGTGACGGAGGTGCAGATGGTCAGTCTGGTGCTCTTGGAAGAGGCCAGAACGCCTCTACCGGTCTCACCACTTTCTATCAGTTTTGGTACGTTCAAGTCATTCCGATCTTTTCCCGTCCTCATTTCTCCCGAGGTGCTACTGTACTCCTCTTCTTGGAGCCTATATCGCGGACGCTCATTTGGGACGGTACAACACCATTTGCATTGGTGTCGCCATAGCTTTTATTGGACATGTCATCCTCATCGCTTCCGCCGTGCCGGGTGTCATTGAAAAGTCGGAGAACGCAATGGCTTGTTTCGCTATTGCCATCCTTGTCATGGGTTTCGGTGAGTACTTTGAAAACTTCAGTTAATCCCACCGCTCATTTTCATGCAGGTACTGGTTTGTTCAAGTCCAACATTTCCCCTCTCGTTGCAGAGCAGTATCGTCGTACCAAGCTCTTCATCAGCACCACTAAGACCGGAGAACGTGTCATTGTGGATCCCATCATGACAGTGTCTAGTGTTTACATGGTTCGTAATGCATCATTTGGCAATTTTCAAGACCTGATCAGTTTTATGTAGTACTTCTATTTGTTCATCAATATCGGTGCGTTGATCGGTCAAATCTGTATGGCTTATGCCGAAAAAGTAAGACTTGCTTTCCAAACCAGCCAAAATTTACTCATACATTCTTAGTATGTCGGATTCTACCTGGCTTACACACTTCCTACTGTTGTATTTTTGTTATGTCCGCTCATCCTTTGGGTTGGACGCAAGCGGTACATTCGCTCCCCTCCCACAGGGTCTGTCTTCGCCAGTGCCATGCATCTCTGGTTCTTCGCCATGAAGGGCCGCTGGAGCTTGAATCCCATCAAGACGTACAAGAATTTGACGTCCGCAGACTTTTGGGAGAATGCTAAGCCAAGCAAACAAGCCGGCTTGAAGCCACATTGGATGAACTTTGATGACCAGTGGGTGGACGAGGTCAGACGTGGGTTCAAGGCTTGTGCTGTATTCCTTTGGTACCCGGTTTACTGTAAGATTTCATTAGAACCTCACCGGGGACGAACGCCGATCTGATTCTCGTAGGGCTCTGTTACTCCCAGATCAACAACAATTTGACGTCGCAAGCTGCCACTATGACCACGAATGGAGTACCCAATGACGTGATATCTAATTTGGATCCCTTCGCCCTCATCATCTTCATTCCCATAAGCGAGATGCTTGTACGTCAAACTCGCCTGAAGTTAATATCACACATCGATTTTTTTTTTTTTGTATTCTCCAGATCTATCCTGCTCTCCAGCGCGCTGGAATCAACTTTACTGCCTTGAAGAAGATTACGGCCGGGTTCTTTACTGGTTAGTATACTTATCTCTAGCACAAACTTCACCATGTGCTCAATGAAGCCATAGCTTCCGCTGCGATGATTTGGGCCGTGGTCGTTCAGCATTATATTTACAAGGTATTTGCAACTGCGTGCCCAACAGCACAATATACGCTAACACAGCATGATCGTTTAGACCAACCCTTGTCACTACTCCGCATCTACATGTGAGGATGTATCTCCCCTCAGTGTCTGGATCCAAACTGGCTCGTGAGTAGACTATGAATATATAACGGATGCTAGACTGAACCTGTGCGCGTCTAGATACGTTCTGATCGCCTTCAGTGAAATTCTGGCCTCGATTACTGGCCTTGAATATGCTTTCACCAAAGTTTGTCGTCTTTATGGATCTTCTTTAGAGTTGGTTGACATTCGTCGATGCACAGGCCCCCAAGAACATGCGTTCTCTGGTTATGAGTGTCTTCTTGTTCACATCAGCCATCGCCTCAGCTCTTGGCGAAGCCTTTGTTGGTCAGTGTCGTGCATGTTTTCCTTATGCGTCGTCAATTAATCTAATTGGTAACAGCTTTGGCCGCTGATCCTTTGCTCGTGTGGAACTACGGTGTCTTTGCTGTCATGGCCGGCACAGCTGGTCTTCTCTTCTGGTACAGTATCCGGAAACTGGACAGCGAAGAAGATGCACTCAACAACATGGATGAAGGCCACATCACTCTCTTGAGCGAGGGTCACTTTACCAATGAAAAACCCTAGATATTATTATTTTCTAGATGTTGCTGTATTCTAACAGGGCATTATCATGGGTTGTTACGTTGCAGAATTTCTTATCTTACGTTAAAGTATATGTTGGATGAATGTTTTACGATCATTGTATTACTTTGTTTTTGCACCCTTGTGAATGCGGAGATTTGGCGACATTATGTTGGCATGGCTCCGCATGTTCGCTCTGGGAATGAAAACCACTTTTTTCGAGCTATAGAGGACAGGTCGCAGGTGTGGAAAAATACCCACATATACAGGTGCAGTCTAATGCGCCATTCTCGTTATTGTTTCACGGCCATCTCATATGACTTTACTGCTCACATGTGTACTAGGCGCAGGTAGCTTGTCACGGCGGTGCCGTGTTGATCTTTCGGAGACAAAAATTGACCGCCCCTCGGTCAAATGAACTCTCCTTGTTGATGTCTGTGCTTGATGATCTTGTACTCGCTTCGACGAAGGCAACTTGACGCATCCGTACGAAGTACGCGAATCAATTTCAAATTTCTTGGGTGGGTGTAGCTGAAGGCCGTGAAAAACAAACAACGCCCGGGAAATTTCTTGCCAGTGAGTTCAGACTCCCCCCTACAACAAGTGTCAGGTGCTCTCCTCTTGTAACATGTGCATCGCTTGTTGTATATTTTAAAATCACACACTGCTCTGTGCTGGACTCTAAGAATCTCACTGAAATCTCACTGGCAGCTGTAGAATGTCATCAGTTGACTCGAACATCGATATCCTCTGCACTGGGCCATGCCTCGTAAAAAGAAGCCGGAGCATGCATCAGGAATCTCGGAGGCTCATGCACATGGGCCAAGCCCAATCCGGCTGTCATCTTAGGTCTTCCACTCTCGGATCTTGGAAAAAATATGTCTTGTGCCCTACCGATCTTCTACTTCTCTCGCACAAAAAGTCTATGTGTGGCAATATGAAGACCGAGGAACATCCACCTCAATACAAAGAGAGTGGGAGTTCTTCCAATTATAACCTGGTCGACTTTCCATCTGAGGAAAATCATTCAATAGAGCATGTGGTATGTTCGTACAAAAGGATTCCATGATCTGCTGCTTTTCCCATCTTCCTTATCTCACTTGCCCCATTGATGGCTGGAATACAAGTCGAGGCTGATTTGGCTGCCCTCAGTTATGTCAAACAGCAGGAGGATGAGAAAAGCACCTCCGAACATGACCATGAACTTGATGGCGTCCACGATGGGTTGGATTTCCCCACCGAGGAAGAACGAGCAACACTGCGCAGGATATCCGACACTATCCCTTGGAATGCGTATCGTATGTATCTTTGTTCCAGAAGACAGATTTATGTTGACTTCGGTACTATCAAAGTAATCGCTGTCGTAGAGTTGGCTGAGCGATTTTCTGTGCGTTACGATTCTCGCTTTACTCTAACATCCATTAACAATCCCTCCGCAGTACTATGGGTGCCAAGTAGTGTTCGTGAGTTCTCAGTCTCCTGTGCGGCGTTCTCGCGTAGTCATCGATCATTGAAATTAGACCAACTTTATTCAACAACCCTTACCAGAAGGCTCACACACTGGTGCGGGTTTTACGCATGGTCAATCTGGTGCTCTTGGACGTGGTCAGCGAGCGTCCACGGGACTCAACACTTTCTACCAGTTCTGGTTAATGCATTTGCCACGACTTCTTTGATTGTGTTCTGAATGTTTTCTCAGGGTCTATGTCACTCCATTGTTTGGAGCCTATATTGCAGATACATACTGGGGACGGTACAATACAGTCTGTTTTTCTGTCTTCGTCGCCCTGGTTGGTCATATCATCCTTATCGTGTCGGCCGTTCCTGGAGTCATAGAAAAAGAGAGTGCAATGGGCGCATTTTCAGTTGCGTTGATTGTGATGGGAATTGGTCGGTTAATCTGTACTTTTATCACTTATTGATCCCCTAATATATACATAGGAACGGGTTTCTTCAAGTCTAACATCTCACCTTTGGTTGCAGAACAATACAGACGTAAGAAACTTTTTGTGATCACGACGAAGAGAGGAGAGCGTGTTATCGTGGATCCCGTTTACACTGTTTCAAGGATCTACATGGTACGTCGTGTCAACCTTTCAGTTCCTGCTGCAGCTCGCATACTAAATAATTTTATGTCTAGTACTTTTATCTCTTCATTAACATCGGTGCTCTTATTGGACAGGTCGCAATGACCTATGCGGAGAAGGTGAGCCTACCTTTTGCTTTCTGACCTCTTTCGCATACACAACAAACTCCATTATTTGTAGTATGTCGGTTTCTGGCTCGCCTTCACTCTTCCCACTGTCGTTTTCCTCCTTTGTCCTCTCGTACTGTGGTTCGGCAGGAACAGGTATGTCCGGAGTCCACCCACCGGATCTGTCCTCGGTACCACCATGAAGCTCTGGCTGTATGCGGCGAAGGGCCGATGGAGCATCAATCCAATAAAGACCTATAAGAACATGACCGCTCCGGATTTCTGGGAGAACGTCAAACCGAGCAGACAGGACCCAGGAAAGAAACCGGCATGGATGAACTTTGATGATCAATGGGTTGACCAAGTTCGGCGTGGTTTCAAGGCTTGCAGTGTCTTCCTCTGGTATCCTATCTATTGTAAGATAATCTGTCTGGGATTGCGCAAGACACTGATGCCTCGTTTCTTTGTCAGGGTTGACTTATAACCAGCTGAATTCGTACGCAAGTTTTGATCCTAGAAGTACGGACCCTCAATGCCCTTTGCAGAAACCTGACATCGCAAGCAGCCACTATGACCACCAATGGTATACCGAATGATGTTCTGTCGAACTTGGATCCGTTTGCTCTCATCATATTCATTCCGATCTGCGATATATTGGTACGTGTTAACAACAGGTCCGGGGAGAACTTCCTGAGTTAGCCGTAGATTTATCCTGCCTTGCGACGTGGAAGAGTCAATTTTAGTGCATTGAAGAAAATTTGTGCAGGATTTGCGACAGGTTTGTACCTGACTTTCTGTACGCATCGAAACTACAGGAAATTTAGGTGCTGCTGCGATGATTTGGTCGGCTGGTAAGTAAATTGTGATGACCCTTTTAACTTTGCGTACTCATCAGTTGATGAAGTCGTTCAGCATTACATCTATAAGGTATTGCTTTTTTTTTACAGCATGTATTCACTCCCGACTTCGAATACAGACCAATCCATGTGGCTATTCTGCCGCAACGTGCGAAACTAGAGATGGATCCCCTCTACTTTCTCCGTTGAATGTCTGGATTCAGACTGGCTCGTGCGTTTGACATCTCCTCCTCCGGAATTTTTTCTTGAACACATTTACTCAGGTACGTCCTCATTGCATTCAGTGAGATTTTAGCGTCTATCACGGGTTTAGAGTATGCGTTCACGAAGGTGATTTCTTTTCGTGCTTGCTGAAGGACCGTGATCTCTGACGCCTTCCTTGAGGCTCCCACTAATATGCGGTCTTTGGTAATGTCAGTCTACACGTTCACGAATGCATTTGCTGCCGCCATAGCAGAAGCATTTGTATCCCTGTCCGCCGACCCATTATTGGTTTGGAACTACGGCGTCATGGCTACAATCGCGGGCATAGCGGGCATATTCTTCTGGTTTGCCGTCAGGAAGTTGGATGCCGAGGAGGACAAGCTAAATAACATTCAGGAAGGACACGTTGAACCTTCGAAGCCGGAAGCGTAAGGTCTCGTCAACTTCTTCAGTTTGTCTATCCTGTATACGGTGTTTTCCCAATTAGTAGGAATATCTATATCCAAAAATGCCTGGTATTTTTTGACAAGAAGAAATAAATCAAATCCGGCACGTTAGCTCACCACCGATCATGGCAAGTGTGGCACCCAAACACCAGCCCAACTCCGTCCCAGCGATCTTCTTACCAATGGTCACGTCTCTGTCATTACCGAACTCATACCCAAGCCTGAGTAAGCCATTCATGAACGTAAGATCTAGACACCACTCTGGACGGTCCTCCAGCTCCTTCATTAACTCTGGATCTGTGCCCCAATGAGGGTGCAAAAGCCAGGCCTGTCTGCCTTGGCACACAGTCTTTGCGAGGTCAGCGATACCTCCAACAGTCAAGGATTCCATGCCGGGAGCAAGTAGGGGGGATACGCGATCATAGAAGTACGAGAGAAGAAGGACTCGTCCGCCTGGGCTGGGAAATGAGTCTAGAAGTGACGGCTGGTAGACGCCGTTGAAGGAACATGGTTTGAGTTCGCATACTGCATCCTTTGCAAGCACAAGCTCGACAATGCGGTTGCATGCGTCATAAGAGCCAACGTCTTCACCGTACATGGTCAGGCCACGACCGTCAATTTCCACGTATTTGGTAGTACCGCGTGCCAGACAAGGATTCACTATTTGGGCAGTTTCGCCGTCCGAAGACGACGAGGATGATGATGAGGCAGCACCAGGACGAATCGATGACATGAATTCAACAAGCTGGTGAACGTGTCGCCTAGCGCGCATTAAGCCGTAACCCAAGTAGGAGTGCTGGTACAAAACATGGTCTTTCCCGCTGAAAGTGAGGTCGTATTTGTGTTCACCGTCTTCGAGGCGACCTTCACTTTGTTCCCACCGTGGTTCAAAGACAATTTGGGTGGATGCTCCCCCAAGGTCCAATACCGCATATGGCGTGATCAAAGACGCAGTGGACGATGCTGATGAGAGCGTTCCAAGAAGGTAATTAGCGGTTATCCAGGCGTAGACACCCTCTTCACTGCCGTCCATTACCTCAACGCCACCTTGCTCTAGAAGTGGAAAGGGGTACGACGCGCTAAGATGCTCTTTGACTTTGTCCAGAATGGCGGCACTCTTTTCGGGACCCAGCAATCTCAGGCCTGCGGTAGCCTTGACTGCAACAGGCGCGCATTTTTGCAATGACTCTGGCACTGTCCTCACCGCCTCAGCCATAAGCACGTCCAGACTCTTGGCAGCGCCTTCTGGGTCATCCGGATAAGATGATAACCCAGGCTGTGTCATTTTGAAGACTTCGTACTCGTATGTTGGGCCAGAGGCGGAACAATGATTGAATTTGTAGATATGGATGCGAGAGCCCGTGGAACCAGCGTCGAGCATAAGAGCATATTGAACGAGGGGAACAGTAGATGAGTAAGGCGATGTACAGTAGGTAGTACTGGCAGGATTGGGATCTGTATCAAAGGAAATGGGCTTGTCATCGTTTACCGGTGGAGAAATGGGTGGCTGTTTGCTTGGATTGTTCGGCTCTGCAGGAAGAGCGGGAGGGTTGGTGGTCGAAGGCTTTGAGGGAGACCACAGAGTCGTTGTATCTATTACAAAATTCAGAAAAACCAGTGTTAGAGAAATGTAAAGGGCGTACGGCTCTCTTCAAGCTCTTTCGTCGAGTCTGATACCCACGAAGGTATATGTCTTCTCTCTCTGGGACCGAAAATCCAGACAAGGCCTATAAGGACTGCAGCACCGACAGCAAATTTCTTCCACGCGAATCTCTGTTTCGCTGGATACCCTCTACTGGGACCCATTCCCCCCTCAATTCGATCATAGCTGACTGAGCGAGGGGATAACATGACACCCTTTCGCAGGCGAAGAGAGGATGGGTATTTGCGCTGTGCCGTCAGACTGTATAAAAAAGAAGGAGCTGGGGTATATGCGACAGCGCGAGGTCGCTGGGAAGTAGAAAGAGCTTATGGCACTGCCACCAATAATGTAAAGCTTGAACAAAAAATAAATAACAAAGTAAATAAATGTCTCCGAAATGATGTTCGCGACCGGCAACAGCATTCAACACCTGGAAGTTACCTGGAGAGCTTCAAGCTGGACTGGAAAAGTACCCTCGCTTTGACTGGCGAAATCTCAATGATATCCAGTTGAACTTACTACAATGCTCCTCCCTGCACCGGTGTCCATGTCCGCAGCAACGGCCAGACTAAAACTACTGCGCCGTCCTCGATGGATTGCTGCCGTTCTGGTCCTCTTTTTTCTTTGGCTGGCCCTTCCTTTGCTTTCCAATCGCCCACCACCACCACCTTTTCCATTTCCCCCTCCCCCCCGTTCTGCTACGGCCAACCGCATTCGAAGTGCATTCATACACGCCTATACCGGTTATCTCACCCATGCGTTCCCAGATGACGAGCTCCGTCCCCTCAGTCTCAGGAACGCGACCAATCTTAATGGATGGGGTCTCACCGTCTTCGACGGGCTGGATACTATGTGGATCATGGGTATCCCAGAATTATGGGACCACGCCATAGAGTACATCGCAGAACACCGGTTCCAGATGCGACCCAAAGACTTTGCACCGTTCTTTGAGACCAACATTCGTTACCTCGGAGGCATGCTTAGTGCCTACGCTCTGTCGGGTAACCCTCTGTTACTCGAGAAGGCAGACGAGCTAGGTGCTCTGATGTTACCAGCCCTAGACACACCCTCAGGATTACCAGCATTTGCTGTAAACCCCCAATCTGGCTTGACGCGACCAGGGTGGACTGGAGGTACATTGTGGGCGGAAGCTCTCAGTTGTCAACTGGAGTACAAGTATCTTGCTCACCTTACTTCCAACCCGATCTATTTCAATAAGGTCGAGGATATCATGGCTATGATGGAAACGGCAAACTTGACTGGACCTGGTCTGTTCCCAACAGTATGGGACACAAAGACCGGAACGTCCAAGGGACGTGTCTTCAGCGCAGGAGCGTTTGCTGATAGCGCTCATGAATATTTCCTCAAGCAATATCTCCTCACCTCACATTCGGAGCCACGTGCATTGTCATTATATATTGATGTGGCGGAGGCCATCATTAACCACTTGCTCTACTATCTGCCTGACCGCGACTTCCTTTACGTGACAGACATCGACCTGCCCACTATGAAGCCTTCATATAAATTCGAGCATCTTTCTTGTTTTCTCCCTGGCATGTTCATGCTGGGTGTGCATACGCTATCCGATGAACTCACCCCCGAGCAGACGACGAAACACCAATGGGCGGCCAGAGGACTGGCCAAAGCATGTTGGCTCACGTACGCAGACATGCCTTCCGGCCTAGGTCCAGACGAGGTCATCATGCAGAAAGCAGGTTCATTGCCTTGGGTTCGTGCTTACGCAGAATGGCAGCGGGAGGGAGGAGAAAGCGAAGCCCCGGGATCCCGCGAGACTGAACCTGAACCTGAGCGGGACCTTCGTGGTTACAAAGTCAGGAAAAGCGCGTATTTGCTTAGGCCTGAGGCTCTGGAAAGCTTCTACATTTTGTGGAGGCTTGGGGAAGGTGATGTCTGGAAAGAGCGCTCGTGGAAAGTTTTTGAGGCGATCGAGGTGGTGGCCAGGACACCTGAGGCATATGCGAGCGTCACTGATGTTGATAATACAGTATTAGATGGGGAATTCAAGTTGAAAGACGAGATGCCGAGTTACTTTCTGGCAGAAACGTAAGTCTGTCTAAAATTCCACTGCCAATACTCCGTGGACGCTGAATCCTGCTTAGGCTGAAATACTTGTATCTTATGTTCAACTCTGACGTTGAATATCCCTTTGAGGATTGGGTTTTTAATACAGAGGCTCATCTGCTGCCGGTGTTCCGTTGGAGTGAAGCGGAGAAGTTGGCTTATAACATATCTTCATGACTCGGACAGGCTTTCGTGTAATCATCCCGCATCTTCTCGTTATATTTGCCGACTTTTCAGTGGAAAGATCTCACTAGCCCCCGGCCTGTGAGCCAAATCGCAGCATTGTTAAGCCAACACTTACACCAGGGTCCAGCATACGCTCTCGCATTATGATTTTACCTTGCTTGCCAAGGTCTCCGTAGGTCCAAATTCCTTTGATTACAAGGCCAACCATTTCCACTGCTGTGCTGCTCTGAGACTTAGATATAGTGAAAGCGACTGTCAGCATCAACTTGATCATTGTGTTCTGCCTTGCTTGTCAAGGTCAAATTATGGAGCAAAAAGCAATAATGACATTTGAAGACAGCACAAATCCATCCCCACAGCTATCTTATAATTATATCTCCTTTGCGAGAACATGTCACCCAGTATATGTTATACTTATAGGTATCGTAGTTGTCGACCGACGACCGCTAGAATCGAAGGGGCCCTGCAGCTCGCACGTGCAGCCACTTGTATCTTCGTTGTTAAGCAGACGTGCAGACCGACGCGAAACGCTGGTTCATTTCTTCGAGTATGTAAATGACACCGAGGAATCATTGTAGAAGGTATGCCTAGACTATATATGCGTGTGTATACCACCAAACGTAATTTCGAAAAAAAGGAAAAATAATACAAGTCGGAGCTCAAGCTAACTGGGTAAAGGACGGTAGGATCTGTTCCCAGCCGCCCATCGGTGACCTTTATCAGCAGAGATACCAGTGGTTACCACACCGATAACAATGAGGACGCTGGCAATCCACGAGATAGTGTTAACCACATATGCGGTTCCTATTTGAAAGTAACAATCAGAGCCTGCCACTAAGGCTAGTAAATAAAAACATACCAGGCTTCGCCTGGTCAAAGGTGGGATATCTACCAGTCCTATACATCTCCGTAACGAGTACGAATGCGACGAGCTGAAACACAGCTAAAGGACCACATTGATCATATTGTTCCAAATGATAGTGGAAGGGAAACTCACCTTGAAGTGCCACCAACCCCGCAACAGCCCGCCAAATCCGCCTTCTCCTCGAATGCGTGCTAACTCCAAACATGATCGCCACGAGTGAGAGCGCAGAGAAGCCTATGCCAAGCTCCACGGCGTACCCAGCACTCGTCCAGGACGCACAGAATGTTTCGTTCCCACTTTGACATTCATCGGTCTTGATGAGAGGGAAACGGCGGCAGCTCTTCTCAGTGTATTTACGGTCTGTGTCCGAGTCAGGGAGACTGATGACTTTGGTCTCGCAAAGCTTGCTGAGGCCATAACGAACGGTAATTTTGGTGTGAAGAATTTCGGGGGTCTTGTAGACGAGCCTTGAGTATACTGTTAACAAGTCATTCGCCGTCAGAGGAGACAGGCCAACCAGTCAGTTCGTGTTGAGGCTAGAATATTCTAAGTTCAATTAGCGATAAATACCAATGAAAAGATGAAGCAAAGTACGAGAATAAGCACGATGGCACAAAAGACAGCAGTAACGCCGTAGGATGTTTTGCGCATGGTGGTGGTGGAGTGGAGGCAGTGGGTCCGTGCGGGGCGCTCTCCCGGTCGAGAGGCTCGATGACGTCATTCCAAAGTACGCCCGGAAGATGCCGAGCTTGCGCAACATATTGTCAACTGTCACCGACATGCTGAATACAAGTGGCGACTTGTACAGAATCCTAGCTGTAACATATACTTATATGAACAATAACAAGAGACTGAGTGACCATTGCCAACCGTAGACAAGGCGGCTCCAATACACGAGTCGGCGTAATAATGTTAAAACTTCTAATCTCAATCTTCTTTCTCATCCAAAATAGCCACCCTATCCCCCGACACTGGGCGATACAAGCACACTTATGACCACTGTCTTGCGCCTCGGATGTTAGAATTATCGAATTGTCAAGAAGAAAAAAGCATTTCAATTTTGTCCGCCAACATCACGCGTATACTCTAAGTAAATTTATGAGGTGAATGACAGCACGTGGTCTTCGACAACCTTCTTGATCTTGGCCTCCAACTCAGGGGTGATGTTGCCTCCCGAGATCTCCTCGAGGAGGGCAGTTTGTGAAGAGGCGAGGTGCGATCGGAACTCGGCCTCCCATTTTGTGATCTGGTCAACGGGGATGGAATCGAGCTAAAAAGAAAATGTCGAGTTAGCAGCAGTCAGTCTTGGAGCAAACAAGATACGTACGAGACCATTGACACCAGCGTAGATGATGGGGACCTGCACTTCAGTGGACAAAGGCTGGTATTGACCTTGCTCTGATAAGGAAAAAATGAGCAAATGTCCAGCCGGGAACACAGTCATTGCAACATACTCAAGAGCTCAGTAAGACGGGCACCACGAGAAAGCAAGAAACGGGTAGAAGCATCGAGATCAGAGCCGAACTGAGCAAAGGCGGCAACTTCACGGTATTGGGCGAGGTACAACTTAAGCGAACCAGCAAACTTCTTCATGATCTTTCTGTAAAGGGAACCGATGTTAGTGTGGAACTTGTGGCCAATCGATGGACAACACACGTCTGGGCAGCGGAACCAACACGGGAGACAGAAAGACCGACGTTGATAGCAGGGCGAACACCACGGAAGAAGAGTTCAGCCTCCAAAAAGATTTGACCGTCGGTGATGGAAATGACCTGGACAGATTTTGAGCATCGAGGACAAAATCTGGAGACGTAATACTGACGTTGGTGGGAATATAAGCGGACACATCACCACCCTGAGTCTCAATGATAGGCAAAGCAGTAAGAGATCCTCCGCCAAACTTGTCGCTCATCTTGGCAGCACGCTCAAGCAGACGGGAGTGGAGGTAGAAGACATCACCAGGGTAAGCCTCACGACCGGGGGGACGACGAAGGAGCAAAGACATTTGACGATAGGCAACGGCCTGCTTGGACAGGTCGTCGTAAATGATCAAAGCTACGCATTATGGATGAGAATTGCAACATTAGCTCCAGAGCATTTTCTTACCGTGCTTGCCGTTGTCACGGAACCATTCACCCATAGCACAACCGGAGAAAGGTGCGAGGTACTGAAGAGGCGCTGCCTCGGAAGCAGTCGCTGCGACGATGATAGTGTATTTCATAGCATCGTTCTCCTCAAGGGTCTTGACGAGCTGAGCAACGGTCGAACGCTTCTGACCAACAGCAACATAGACACAGTAGAGCTTTTTGCTCTCATCCTGGCCCTCGTTCCACCTTTTCTGGTTGAGGATGGTATCAATGGCGACGGCAGTCTTACCCGTTTGACGGTCACCAATGATAAGTTCACGTTGTCCACGACCAATAGGCACCATGGCGTCAATGGGCTTAAGACCGGTCATCATGGGCTGATTGACGGAACGACGGGGCAAGATACCAGGGGCCTTTAGGGAAGCACGACTGCGTTGGGCGGCTTCGATGGGGCCTTTGCCGTCGATGGGATCACCGAGAGCATCAACAACGCGCCCAAGGAGGCCGGGTCCGACCGGAACATCGACAATTTGACCAGTCCGCTTGACAGTGTCGCCCTCCTTGATGAGACGATCATTACCGAAGATAGAGACACCGACGTTGTCAGCTTCCAAGTTCAAGCACATGCCACGGACACCAGAAGAGAATTCCACCATCTCTTCGGCTTGCACGTTCCTGAGACCCCAAACACGTCCGATACCGTCACCGACGCCTAACGAAACGTGAGATGCATGGCTAAGAGTCCCAGGAATATGACTGACTCAAAACGCGGCCAGTTTCCTCAACATTTCCACCAACACTGGTGCCAGAAATGCGGGACTCGAGTACGGAGGAGACCTCAGAAGCAGCTGGTGACGTGTACAGAGTGAAAAGAACAGTGCCGGAATAAAACAGGAATGAAGTACTGGTTGAGAAAAGCTGGAAAAGGACAGTAAATGGAAGGAAACGTACCGGGTTTTGCTGTCGCATAAGAGCGAGACACTACGGGGGTCGCCTTCTGGATACATGGGTCCAATGAGCCGTTGAAAACGTAACAAAAAAGCAGGGAAGCTACCTTTGCATGGGCGGCCAGCGCACGGACGCGCGCCGAATTTCTGAGGGCGATACGGTGCATGGAGGAGGAGAGGGGAAAAGTGGAATATGGTCTAGGAAACTGCGACCACAATCGGCGTGATTCGGAAACAATTTTAAATTCAGACTCCGCTCCGGCGCCGCCCCAACGTTCCCAAGCTCCCTACCGAGCTTCTCGTCGGACACAGCGATGACGGCCCTAGCCAGTCGAGGTAGGTTGTATGCTACTCACTATTGCACATGTTGAAGACCACCTGCAGTTTTAAGCTCGTCGTACTTCAGAACTGCTTGTAGGGCTGCCCACACAGTGGCGGCGCCATCTTCAACGTCAACCGCACTCGAACTCATTCGTTCTCAGCCTTCCCAATACGTTGTTGCCTCCGTTGTCGGTACCAAGTACCTCTTGTCCCCACGAGACGTTCTCACTATTCCCCGGCTACGCGATGTTAATGTCGGTGACGTCCTGGCATTAGATGAAATCCATGAAATTGGCTCCCGAGAATACACGCTGCGCGGTAACCCTACCATACCTGCCAGCTGTATAAAAATAGAGGCTACGGTGGTAGAACATACAAAAGGAAAGATGGAGTTCATCTTCAAGAAAAAGCGGAGAAAAGGCTACCAAAAGACGAAGAAACACAAGCAGACGTATACGCGTCTTAGGATTGGCGACATTCACATACCGGCTGTGACAGATGCAATACAATCATAATACCGGGTCCTATCTTGTCATTATCTTTCCATTATCTGATTCTTTGAGTTTGTACGCAGTGAACGTACAGGAAGACTTCGCGTTTGTTGGGGCAAGCGGACCTTTCCTGGCCCTGCTGACCCGTGTCGAATCTCCATGGTCACCTGGACCTGAATAGGTGCCGTCTAGATCAAACCAAAACGAATGATCTTTTTCTGGTACGGAAGTAGGCCTGTATTGTTCCTTGCTGAAAGGGTTCAAGTTCATGGTATAAGGTCGTCTTAGAAAGTGATCAATGCGCGCCGGCCTAGGGTCATCGACGTAGCAGAGGCGAGACTGACGGCGCGCGCCCGCGGCGGGACCCGTTACATAAACGCCAGTCGCGTGTAGCTGCGGAAATGAGTGGAACAAGGCAGCAGTAGTCGGCAGATTCCGTTCTCTTCGAACGGGACCAGTTTTATGCGCGACGCGAACAGTCTAAGGTCGTGTAAATGCTGTTCTTTAATCTGGCTTCCCGAGTAGATCCGGTACGCGTCGAAACTCACCAGAGCCCATATTACGGCTAACTCTGCTTGATTTATCAGGGAAAGGACTTAAAGTCATCATAGCTGCATTGCTGATTCTGGTCAAGTAACTATTGTTCAACCTATCTGCGTCACCTTCTCCGCCTAGTATGTCATGACGTTCGACTTCATCGCATGTCAGACTATGACAGGTCGCCTATGTACGTCTTATGAGCTATGAGTGGCGTTAAATCACTCAGCTCATCAATGTTGAATGATCTCAGATGCACAAGTGGTGAAACAGACGTGCTACATAGTAGTGCTTTATTTCAAGGCACAGTCGGCACCGATGGCGGTAAATTCCTATGGCAGTCAGCGCTTTAATTCCTCCCACACTGGTCACAACAACACCGCGAAGAAACTCCTGCCCGGAAATGATCATTAAGCAAGGGACTTTCCGGCGCAGCCCGTATGTTTGAACGATAAATGTGAAGCTAAATCAAAATCTTCCACAGGTTTCCTTGATTTTGCTTTATTAACAGCCAATGATTCGTCAATATAACGCGTCTTTCATATCTGCAGAAGGTGCAGGACACGACTCAGGGATTCAGCCTGTGGCATATATGTAGAACCCGTGCATTGTTAATGTCGGTCGTCAAATTTGCCTGTGAACCGGAGTAAGTAACTACAGATTAGATTTCTAGAACAATCAATCAGATTAGATTGAAAATCTAGTCGCTACGAGCAAGGAAGTTTTCATCTTCTGAGGAGGCACCTAGTACTGAACATCTGGACAGCTCCGATAATCCACTGTTGCACATGAGGGACTCAGCCAGACGACTTGCAATAACTCGAGAACCAGGGACTACCCGAAAATCAGGTCTGGGCTCTTCACCTACGATTATCAGATAACTGCGTTCAGCTTATCAGATAACATATGGCAACCCTTCTTGATCGGATCTAAAAATTAACAAGTACATTTGGCTTGCATCTGCTTGGCACCTGCCCGCTTCGTAGGCTTCTACAAGCCAGGTTCCTGTCATAGGTATCTTCCACCTTCAGTTGGTATATATACAAACACTCTTACAACTCCAATCCAAGACTTTGAGCGGGGGAAAGCGGCGTGCGCCATCAATTGAGCCACTGGGGGAATCATTATTCAAGAAACACTAGTCTGTCCTCACCACAAGGCACATTATTCGAATTCAACTCCGTCCGCGCGTGGATCCACTCAGACGCCCAGGGGTTTTCCTTTTTCTATATAAGATGGGATTTCCGAGGTACTTGTTTCGTCCTTCTTTTTTACGAGCGGTTACCCTCTACTATGGAGCAAGCTACGGCTATCGAAGAAACCAAGTCTCACTCTGAGACAGCGAGCTCTGTTGAGAAGGCAGGCGATCCTGATTCTCAGCCTAGCCCCAGTCCCGCTCCCAATGGTGAGGACGAGGTTGCCGGTGTTGCGCGCATTGAAGCCCTTTACAAGGTGTTCGGCGGCAATGGCGCGCCTCTATGGGTCCTCTATTTGAGCATCGCCCTCATTGCTTACGTTTATTCCCTCGACTCCAACACCACTAGCAGTTTCTTGCCCTTTGCCACCTCTGCCTTCGAGTCTCACTCGTCTATCGGAACTATCGAGGTAGCTGCCGAGATCATCGCTGCTGTTGGAAAACCGTTTATTGCCAAGCTTGCGGATATAACGTCGAGACCAAGAGCTTATGTATTTTCTCTCTTCTTTGTATGTGGTTTTCTACTTTTCTTCAAATACTCGTTTAACCCAATTTCTGTCAGTACATAATCGGTTACATCGTCATCGCTTCTTCCTCAACGGTAGGCGCAGTTTGCGCCGGAGAAGTGTTATACACAGTTGGGACCACCGGGTTAGACCTCGTAAGTCAACGGTCCTCTTATTCAATGTCCCTGCTCACAATCAATTTGTTTAGGTCACCGACATCATCGTAGCTGATCTCTCTCCGCTCAAATGGAGAGGTTTCGCGACAGCTCTTCCGTCGTCTCCGTACATCATCAATGCCTTTATTTCAGCCGAAATCACTAATGGCTTCATCCCGGACAAGTGGCGATGGGGTTATGGTATTTTCATTGTGAGCGCGACTGCGGTGATCATCCCTCGTCTCTGCTTGACAATATATTAGATAATGCTCCCGGTCGTGATGGCACCTGGTTTGGTCGTTTTGTTCTGGGCAGAGTACAAGTCTAAACGCGATAATATGGTGTCTATTGCTTCCAGTACATGGGAGCGTCGTAATGCTGGCTCGAATGAGAAGGTCACCTGGTACACCGTCGCTCGCGATTTCTGTATTCATGTGGATGTTTTCGGCCTTATGTTGCTTGGAACAGCCTGGGCGCTGATTTTCTTGCCTTTCACTCTCTACTCAGATGCTAAAGGAGGCTGGAAAAATCGTACGTGTGCTACCTTTTTTCAAATATTCGGTGCTGCAATGCTCTGAGTAGCCAGCATGATTGCCATGGTCACTGTCGGAGGTGTCTTGATTTTCGTCTTTGCGGCATACGAAAAGTGGTGGGCACGATACCCGCTTATGCCCCCTCGTGTTCTTAATAGAACCTTTCTCGGTGCCGTCTGCATTGACGTACTCTATATGCTCTCCGGAAATATGCGATCGCTGTACTATTCAAGTTGGACTTGGGTGGTTAAGGACTGGTACGTACAGGCATCTATGGTCGATGGAGCAGCTTACAGACTCAAATTTAGGACCACTCGTGAATGGACTTACTTTAACAAGACCCTTACTGTTGGTCTTTGTGTCTTCGGTATCATGGGAGGATTGATCCAGCGCTACACTCACCGTTACAAAGTGGGTATCTAATTCGGGCAGTTACGCTTCCAATTTCTTGCTAATTCATGGCATGTAGGCGCTGCAGTTTAGCGGACTGTGTATTCGAATCATGTAAGAGATTGACATCGATCGTAGATGGAACTAGCATAACACTTTTTGCAGCGGTATGGGTTTAACCTTCTATGCCAGAGGTGACAATGCTACGTAAATGTTTAAATGTACTGAGCTTGTCATTGATTGCTAACTTCCAACCCTTCTCGTCAGAGATGTTGCCCTCGTTTGGACCCAATTACTGATTGCCATCGGTGGCGCATTCAGTGTTGTCGGTTCTCGTGTCGCATCTCAAGCATCAGTTCCTCATGCTGATTTGGCTCAAGTCATTTCTCTCATATCCCTTTGGACTTCCCTCGGCGGGAGCGTAGGAAATGCAATCGCTGCCGCAGTCTGGACGTGAGTCGTTCTGGTGTCAGATTCCATCAATAAAACCTCGCTCTAATTCTTTGCCAGTGGTAAAATGCCCTACTATCTCCGAAAGCATTTGCCCTATAAGACTCAGGCTGAGATTAACGAGATCTTTGGGTCCATCAAGACGGCACGAACTTTGGACGACACAGATAGGACCAACGTCATCTATGGTAGAAACTTACTCATTTCGACACATTCAATATACTAACCTCACTCACAGCTTATAACGATACAGTCTATCTTCTCTACCTTCCCGCATTGATTATTTGTAAGTACATCTTTCTAAATCGAATCCCGAATCCCGTTAATTTTTTGTAGCCTTCCTTCCTCTCATCATCCTAGTTTTCATGAGGAATTTCTATCTGGGTGATCACCAGAATGCTGTACAAAACGTTGGCATTGACGGGCGCGTTATAGACAATGAAGAAGAGCCCAGAGAGAAAGCAAAGGGTAACCATAATGTTGAGCGAGCTTAGATTATGAATCGGGCAGGATCATAAGTTAGTCCGTTTAGTTTTTCAACACTTCACGATGCTCGTTAACATTGTTATACGTACCGTATATGCGACCTTTGCTCTCTTGCTAATACATAACTTCTGCCTTTTTACTCACTTTCTATTATGACGACGATGCAATCAGTCCTAGTTATCCGAGGACAGCTGAATGGCGACCTCATATTTCTCCTTCCTCAGGGGTCTCTGCACGAATGTCAGTTTTCTTATTCCCTACACCTTCTCCCCGGTTATAACGTGGTCTCTGTGGTTCCGTCAGAAGCCATTTGCAGTAACAAATATAGAGATACAAACCTTTTCTGCGCGATCATCCGGAAGTCTATCATCAGGAGCATCTCGTTTTTCTCGCGACTCCTCTCTTGGGGGACCTTCATCTCGCTCTTCTTTCCGCGGCGGTATGTCGTTATAGTTGGGACCATACTCTGACCGCGAGTTTCTCTCCCGATCGCGATCCCTATCTCTATCCCGTCTGCGATCGTCCTTATCATCCCTATGGTGTCGCGACCGGTATCCGTCACGTTCTCTGTCTTTCTCATCCCTATCAACTCTTGGATATTCGCGGGAAGATCGTCGACTGTCATAGTCATCATGACGGTAATGATGTCTGCGATTATCTCTGTCGTAATCTTTGCCCCGTTCCCTATCACGGTCTCGCTCCCTAAAAGACGGTTCTCGATCGCGCTCACGGTCCCGGTCCCGGTCCCGGTCATGTTCACGGTCGCCATCACGCGCAGGCTCTTTTCGCTTCCTGCTGGTTGTCGACCCTCCATCCTCGGAACCAGCTGCCTCGCGCAGGCGTTCCTAGCACCAAAATGAGTAATGCGATTGTAGCAACTAAGTAATACACTGTACAATACTGACCTTCTGTCGTTTTACAAATTTCGCAAAAGCCGATCGACGGGATTCTTCATCCTCTAAGGCCTTGTATTCAGGTAGGTGTTCGATGAAAGGTACGACCTAGAAAGCATTGTTACTACCACTGATGATAGGTGACTTATGTGCCTACAGCTTCATAAGATAAAGAGATGTCCAATGACTCAGGAAGTTTCTTTAATGCATATCGTAGATCGTCCTGCAGGTGTCGTTGCCGCTTCTCCGCTTTTCGTTTCTCCTCAGCCTGCTTTTGGATCGCAGCATCATGTAACTGCAATCCAATGAGTATAATACCAGAAAAAGAAGTAACATACGCTTACAGCAGCATAGATGTCATGAATATCTTCCGTTGTCAGCGTCTCGACGTTTGCAGTACTGACAGGCTTGAGAACTTTCCGATATTGCTCCTCCGTAGTCTCTGGCCCAACGGCGAAGTCCAGCGATTCGGTGTCTCCTTCAACTTTTTCCGGCCTGTACCCCTTGAGCGCCTCAGTGACAATATTAATCTTGGCATCCAATTTCTGGTCAAGATCATCCACCACATCCCAGAAAAGCTCCAGTTGGTTGGAACCCGGATTTCCTAGCATGTTGAGATATCTTTCATCCTTACTGAACAAAGGATACACATGCTTCCACTTAGAACGCGCCTTGATCTTGCCGTCTTTCACCAGCTCTCGTAGTAAAGCCTGTGTGGTGACGTACAAATGAGTAACATCAATTGTTTCATCAACCACTAAACGTACTTTGAAAGCTTCTCGAGCCTTTCTTTCTTTCCTCGTCTTTTCGACCTGCGCCCGACGCATCTGCTCCTCGTACTCTCTTTCTCGCACCCGACTGTAATCTTCAAATGCAAGCAGGATATCCAAAGAGGGAAGTCTCTGGAGTTCATGGTCTGATTTCCATTCATCTGAATCGAGAATGAGGTTGTGAGCCGTTCTCCACCGGGTAAGAACATCCACATCAAGTTGCTTGAAAAGCGACACCACCTTGGCTGTGGCTCGGGTACGAGCGGCGGATCGGTCTTGCTAGAAATGGTAATGTGATGAATTTAGCTGAATATCAATGGAAAAGTGGGCCACATACCGCATCACGTTGCTTGAGATCTTGGACATATTCCTCAAAGATGAGCTTCCTTTCGGCCTCAATTCTTGCCTGTTGCCAGATGGGATGTTGAGAGAAAAGCTTATCTGCGGTTGCAAAAGTCGTGTAATGGAACACACTCGGGTTGCCCTTCAACATGTTTCGAATAGCCGGCCTTAATTTCGCCAGTCGAGCTTCTCGCTCCTCCTTTTCTTTAACTTTCAAAGAGGTGGTATACTACAGAATAACGGTTAAGAAAAAATGGATGGAGTTGATAAATGGACATACTTTTTCGAAGACACTCTTTTTCTCCGCAAGGGAGTTCAGCGCTTTATACAGAGGATCGGTAATGATAGCTCGCATTGTTTGATCCCATGTCCAGTTGGCATCAACGCCAGCTTTCCTTAACAAGTGTGTGAATGCCTTTTCTCCCTCCTCCATGGTAGCAAAGCCATTGTGTGGTATGACAGGATCGTCTGGAAGGTTCGGTCGAGCTGGTAAGATGCTGCTTGAAGCCAGGGGAAGCCCTCCCGTATGCGCGCCCACGGCAAGTTCATTTCCATTCGGTTGTGTTTGACTGCCATTAGAATCCGACGCCGGAGGCGCAGTCAAAGCAGGTTGTCTGAAAGAAGTTAACAACTGGGGCGTGAAAGTAAACGGCGTGAACGCACGCAGCCGGTACCACAGCAGCAGTCTGGCCCTCTTTCTCTACTTTTTCCAACACGAGCAAGAGCTCATCCGGCATATCCCATTTGGACTCTTTCGTTTCAGTCTAGATGATCGTTAGTGGCCGTCGTGTCATAACACACGATTGTAGGACAAACATTGTAGTAATACTTCCGCCCTCCGGAAAAGTATTCTTTCCATTTGGTTTGATTAAGAGCGCGCTACACAGGAACATTAGGCTGCAACCGAGTCGACAGAAAGGAATGCGCACACCTCAAATGGAGTTTTTAGCTCTGAGACAAATGTGAGCACCAGAAAGAAAGTAGGAGACTGCAGCATACGCACCATCTGGCTTTTCCCAGACACTTTCCCTCGATCCAGTGTTGAACCAATACGTCCTTCCTTCGGGATTGCGATGTTCTGTCTACAAAGGATGTTAGAGCCCGGCTGAGAACGAGTCGAGGTAGGCCATACCCAGATGTTCATCTTGCTGAAGGTAAAAATTGAGATGTAACAATACTTCGCTTCGTGTAAAGGGACGGGCTTACCGCGCTGCTTGACCGGATTATCAAGACCAGGAGGCCGTCAAGGCGGGAAGAGGAGGGTTATTGACGTCTATTAGAATCACAGGCTAACACCTTTCCGTCGGCAGCCTTAGGCTGTACCGTGTGCGTGATGTAAGTGTGACCGCAGTAGTCTGTCTCGCTCCAATGATAGTATTTTGCAACCTCTTTTCGTACTGTCACACCGCAGAGCGTCCTTTCCTTTGACTTATGTTCTTCTAGTCCCCAGGTAACTGCGGCATCGATTTTTATCTCAGATATCTATTCCATGTTGGAGGACATACAAGACATGTACCGGAACCATCCTCTGTCGTCGGCCATACGCAGTCTTCGGTACAAGCCCCACGTCCGCAACATTTTCTATGGCGGCGTTATGCTGACGATCCTTTATGCACTCTACAACTCCGTGCGGCTACCTGAATCGCTTTCTTATGACTTCCCAGAAGAAGTCACGGTGCCCACGCCTCCCCATATTTGGGACGAGAGGGCACGTCAGGTGAAGCGGGCTTTTCTCCATGCTTATCATGGCTATGAGCGTTACGCTGCTCCACACGATGAACTTAAGCCTATCTCAACGGGATACAAAGACAAGTAAGTACACAAACATTCATTTAACGATGGGTTCTAACAGTGGCTACTACTCAGTTTCAATGGCTGGGGTGTCTCAATATTCGATTCTCTAGATACCATGGTTCTTCTAGGCCTCGAAGGCGAGTATGAGCGTGCCCGTTCATACGTTGAAAAGACTCGATTCGAGTTGGCAGAGGTCCGTTGTCCTTTCATTGATGTTGGCGTTTCTAACGGATTGCCGCAGCACACCTTTGTTCCCTACTTTGAGACCATCATAAGATACCTTGGAGGTCTTTTATCGACATACGCCCTCAACAAAGACCCGATGTTACTTTCCCGCGCTGATGAGCTCGCGAAGAAACTAGATCCTGTCTTCAATACCCCAAGCAAACTCGCGTTGTTCGGTGTAAACCCATCGACGTGAGTTAACACCGTACAATTGCCAATTGCTTATGCCGATCTCTATTCCAGCGGTGAAGTCGTGGGTCCAGACATCGGTATTTTAGCCGAGATGGCAACCTTGCAATTGGAATACACATATCTTGCAAAAGCAACGGGAAACAGAGCGTATTGGGAGCGAGTAGGTCGAGAGTAACCCATTTAGTCTAACTTTCTAACGAATTTCCAGGCCAACACTGTCATTAAAGCGCTATCATCAGCCGATCTGCGTCAAACCGGTGGCATGTTCCCTATCGGGTGGAATTTGACTACTGGACAACCTCACGATGGTACCGTTTATACTTTTTAATTTTTGCTGTTGTCTTATATCGACTATTCAGCGCATTTATCTGTTGGCGCTCAAGCGGACAGTGCACACGAGTATCTTCTGAAGCAGTACTTGTTGACTGCCAAGACGGATAAGGCTAATCTTGAAATGTGTATGTTGGCAGTCCCATAACCCAGGAATATGTTAATATGTTTTTTCAGATATTCGTGCCACTACACACATTATCACAAATCTCATGTACATATCTCCCACCCGGCACCTTCTCTATGTCACTGACACTACGACCCCTACACATGAAGCGCGAGGAACGCCGACTCACGTCTTCGAGCACTTGTCTTGTTTCCTCCCCGGTCTTTTTGCGTTGGGCGCTCATACATTACCTCTAGACGATCTTGATTCAATGGGTGTCAACTTCATGGATTTGGGTGCAAAGGGCAACTTCGGTCGTGCTGGAGATGGATACCGAAGGCTCAATAGCTATAATCTCAAGGAACTTCATATGTGGGCAGCTGAAGGCCTCGCGCAGACGTGTTGGCTGACATATGCTGATATGCGGACGGGATTGGGTCCTGATGAGACACATATGCGCCCCAGTGTCAGAAGTGTTCATGGAGAAGGTCATCTGTGGATGGATTCCATGGATAGATGGAAACAATCCGGTGCCAGAGGAATACCTCCTGGTGTCGGTGATAAAACTCCTGTTATATACACTGAGCAGCAGCGATTACGCGGCGGACCAGGAGGAAGAGATTATGCGATCAAAAAGCCTGGGTATTTGTTGAGGCCAGAGGTGGGTTTCGCAAATACTGCCCGAAGGGATTATCATTAACAAGGCGTCCTAGACGATTGAATCGTTATACATCATGTGGCGCGTAACTGGAGATGCAAAATGGCGAGAGCGTGGATGGAGAATCTTCGAAGCAATAGAGAGGCATACGAAAACGCCTTATGGATATGCAAGCATCAAATCTGTGGAAGTTGTACCACCGCCCAAAGACGATGATATGCCTAGGTGCGTCTGCATTGTTTTCATTGCATTCTTGGCTAATGAAAATTTAATGCAGTTATTTCTTGGCTGAGACGTAGGTTTTATCAGTCAAGCTTTGCGTATCTTACTCTGATCATCTTCCACAGATTGAAATATTTGTATTTAATGTTCACCAACGACGACCCGATATCGCTAGACAAATGGGTTTTCAACACTGAGGCGCACCCATTGCCCGTGTTTGAGTGGTCACAGGAAGAGAAGGTGTTATTTAATATCTAGCGTAGTGAACTGTTTTTGCTTGGACCTACATATAGACTGTTTTATGTGACGCAATGAAGCTGCAATCCGAAGGATGGGGGAACACGGGAGATCGGCACCAGTACCGGTTCTGCCAATAACAGGTAGTGGGCCCTTGGCTATGTCCGTCATGATGCGTATGTTCTCCTCCATGGTGAGGACCCTCAAAATGGGCAAGTTTGTGGGGTCCTTGGACTGCGGTACCACGTACACCTTTTCCTCTTCATTTTGTCGCAAATGATTTATTTCTGATTTTCCAGTTCCGTTCGTTTTCTCATCTTCGATCAGAATGCCAATGTCGTCGCGCAGCACCAGCTCGAATTCCCTCAGTACTACCTGCACCCTGGGTGCGCATTTGTAATAGGCGCTTCTCTGTTTCTTCGGCTGATAGCGAGTTATCACAGGTGGCACGACCACGATCCATCGGAAATACGCGAGTATTCGAACAGGTGCATAGAGGAGGCGATCAAAACATTAGAGGCTAATGGGTGGGCCAAAGAGAGCGTCAAGGTCATTGGTGCATGCTAATCATCCTTTGCGGCTGCTGTTTACTGACAGGCAACGCACTATACAGGTATAACCAACCAACGCGAAACTACTGTCGCCTGGCACAGAACGACCGGAAATCCGCTATGTAACGCAATCGTCTGGGATGATTCCCGAACAAAGAACGTCGTCACTCACTTTCAACACAAAATGGAAACTGTCGGCCTTCAAGTCGAGCCGGGCGTATGGAAGAAGGGAGAGGAAGGCGTCGAGACCCTGCGTCAGACGTGCGTTTCGCGTTTTTCTCAGTGGTCTGTCCTCATCAAGATCTATAGGACCGGTCTTCCTCTCTCGACGTACTTTTCAGCCATTAAGCTGAGGTGGATGATAGATCATATACCCGAAGTCTCTGAGGCTCACGAATCCGACCAGCTGCTTTTCGGAACGGTCGAATCATGGCTTTTTTATGTGAGCCTGCTCACATCCATTGCGTGATACTGTTAAACGCGCTTCGGTAGAACCTTGTAGGAGATACCCAGAAGGCCCGGCATATATGCGAAGTCAGTAATGCATCCCGTACACTGCTAATGAACATTACCGCCCTCAAATGGGAGCCGTTCCTGGTGGATTTCTTTGGTTTACGGCCATCCATTCTGCCTAAAATCGTGTCGACATCTGAAGTCTACGGTCACATTGCCAGTGGACCTTTGAAGGGTGTCCCCATCGGTGGTCTTGTTGGTGACCAACAGGGAGCGTTAGTTGGGAATCTATGTTTAAGGGAAGGTGAGGCTAAATGCACATATGGAACGGGTGCTTTTCTGCTGTTTTGTACTGGAAATGAAATCGTGAAGAGCACCCATGGCTTACTGAGCACGGTAAGATCAGACCTTCCCTCTCCGTCAAATCATGTTTGCATGTCATTCTAGGTCGCCTATCAGGCAGGACCCAACGTACCACCGGTTTATGCGTTAGAAGGAAGCAGTGAGTATTTTATATTCATCAGCCGCAACTCGCCACTTAATTGTAACGAAGTATCCACTGCTGGAAGCGCGATTAAATGGTTACGAGATTCCATGCAACTTATCAAATCTGCCGCGGATGTGAATGCGCTGGCAGCCAAAGAACCTACGACCGGGGGAGTGTACTTTGTAACTGCGTTCTCCGGGTTACTCGCTCCGTATTGGGATCCTGCCGCGGCTGGCCTACTTATTGGTATTGGTGTTTATCTATTTCAGATTGCTTTCCACTTATGTGGTTGTCATTTAGGTGTGTCGCAGTATACAAACCCATCACATATAGCCAGAGCTACACTTGAAGCAAATGCTTTCCAGACTCGTGCCGTGATAGAAAGTATGAAACTGGATTCTGAGACGGACCTTCAACATCTGAAAGTGGACGGTGGAATGACGAACGGTGATCTGGCGATGAGCATCTTGTCAGACTTAGGAGGATTCAGTGTCATTCGCCCGACGATGCGAGAGTGCGATCATCTCTCCTTTTTTGAATGATTATTCTGACGACGGTGCTTCGAACATTCAGATCTACGGCATTGGGCTCTGCGCTACTTGCTGGATCGGCTATCAACCTATTTGGCTGGGACATACGGAAGCCGGAGACATTGTCGGAAGTAAACAGAACAGGAACACGAGAATTCAGGCCCGAAATGGACAATGCAGAACGTGAAAGGCGTTGGGGTTTGTGGCAACGCGCAGTTGAGAGATGCAGAGGGTGGGATGACGGCATATCCGATGAATAATAGTATTCCTCATCCAATGCAAACTCAGATGGAGTTTACCAGCCCTGGATTTACTTAGATTATGTATGTCATCGTACCCACTATTCCACTATTTAATATCTATTCACATATAATGCAATATTAGGAGTATTGCTTTGACCTCAGTTCTGGAGCCGAGCGCCTGATCTTGATCGGAGCTCGATCAAAATTCTTCACTCTTGACCATCATTACATTTACGGTACATACATGGACAATCTCCCAGAAAAGAATGAACAATATGGAACGAAAGACTATTGGTGAGAAACCCGCTTGAGTATCGCTCGCTCATATTTACTAAACCGTACTGAAGGGATCGACGGTATCAAGCGTTCGTTTGTTTACAAGTCATCTGTTTTCATCAACTAATCTCTCAAACTGATTGTCGTAGAGAGTCTACTGACAGCTCTTTTGACTGGTTCAAGAAATACTCGGACATTGCAGACTTGCTTCGCGAACTTATTCCGGATAAGATGTCTAAAATTTTAATGCTGGGATGCGGCAACTCTACACTTTCCGAAGATGTAAATTGGTCGTGCATTCACTCTATGCAAATACTGATTCATCCATCTTTTCAGATGTATGATGACGGCTACAAAAATATTGTCAATGTGGACGTAAATCTCTCGGCGCTTCTCTGCTTTTTCTGGCCCATTCTGACATTCGGACAGTATTCTTCTGTTGTGATTGAACAAATGCGAAGGCGACACAGAGTGGACCGACCGGGGATGAAATGTAGGGGTTAAAATTACTGTATGCACTGTGCTGATCGAACCTCTTTGAATCCAGGGCGCGTCATGGACGTCCGTGAACTTGAATTTGGTGATGATCACTTCGACGTTGCGATCGATAAAGGAACTATGGATGCCATGATGACAGCCAAAGGAGATGTTTGGGTACGGCATGACAGTTCAAACTTTGTACTGTCTCTGACCAAACTCGGATAACGCAGGATCCCCCGGAACAAGTAGTGAGTGATTGCACAAAAGAAATGGACGAGGTGATCAGGTTAGTCCCTACTTACCGTGGGTATTCAGCGGCGGCTCACCAGATCTCTCGTTCAGGGTTCTACGCAAGTCCACTGGCTTGTTTCTGTACCTCACGTTTGGGCAACCACATTTTAGGAGGCGGTTTCTTGCAAGGCCAGGAACCTCACTGCAGATAGAAGAACTTGGAGAGGTATTTCACTATTATCTGTATATAGTGCGAACTTGATATAGTGCCGCATTGTGACAAGACAAGACTTGTGGGGGTTGTATGGGGCATGATCGGCCCGAAAACGGTGACATTTAGTGCTGTACATTGCGCGCAATGTTACGGTGCTGCGTCATCCAATATCACTCAGCAATGAGGATTACAATCGATTCGTACTCCACGGCATCTTCATGAGTCAGCCATAAAAGCCTGTGCTTCACTTGGTTCCAAGCACCCCTTTTACTCTTATCATCACCATGACTGCACCGAACGACCAATATAAGCGTGTTATTCTCGTCACTGGTTCAAACACTGGAATCGGCTACGACATCGTCAGATTGCTCGCGGAGAAAGGACATACCGTCTATCTGGCGTCGAGGAAGGAGAGTGCAGGAAAGGAGGCACAGTATGTTTCCAGACATGCGCTCCGAGTGATAAAGCCAATCTATTGTCGTACAGGGCGAAGCTGAAAAAGGACTACAACCTCGATGTCAAGTTTGTTCAGCTCGACATCACGGATGAAGCTTCAGTTAAGGCTGCCAAAGAGACCATCGAAAAGGCGGAGGGAAGACTAGATACGCTAGTCAACAACGCTGGTATACTGTGTCTAGCTCTGTCATAAAGATAATACCTTTACTAAAAGGACCAATAGGTGTGAGCTACATGTCAGAGTCCCAGCTAGCGAGCACAGTGTCATTGACCACGATTCGTAATGCCTTTGAACCCAACTTCTATGGTCTGATACAGACAACGCAGGCATTTTTGCCTCTTCTGCGTGCAGCTCCCAAAGGCTATGCATGCGTCGTCAACAACACAACTGATATGGCATCTAATGCTCACCAAGCTGCCCCGGGATCCCGCTATTACGTCGCATATGACACTAGCAAAGCCGCAGCAAACTCTTACTCGATTGCTTTGGCGAAAGAGTTGGAAAAAGAGGACATCAAAGTGAACGTAGTCACACCCGGGTTTACGACAACCAAGTTGAATAATTTCTTGCCGGGTGGAAAAACGACGGAAGACGGTGCCTCTGTACTTGTTCCTTGGGCATTGCTAGGGCCCGAAGATAAGGGAAAGACTTGTGGGTTCTTTCCGTCGCTTATTATTCCTCATCTGACGGGTCCCACCCTTTAGGCTTGTTTTGGAGTTACAAGGGGGAATTCCCATGGTAGCTCTCGAATGTTGAAGATTGGTAGCAGCTAATTTTCGGCGCGAACCTACGTGATGTGTAAACAATTCAGTATATAATGTACCTCTGTTGCCGAGAAGGTTGCCATCTGAGTTTGAATTTAAGGCCCCCATCGGGCAATTGCCGGGATTGCAGTTAGAAGGGGTGGGATTAATGACCAGTCTCGCCTAGGTTCCTGCCTGCTGCATCGACCATCCTCTACGATGTCGAGTTACGACAAGGTGGTGAAATTGGCCTGCAAGCCGAAGGCTGCACCACCAAAAGCAAAGGTTCATTCTCTCGCACCTACCGAGTATCGTCGTTCTCATATTTATCCAGTATCTCGACCCAATTATTGCTGCAACTTGGTCCGAGGATGGTGCTGTCCACGATGTCTGCAAGGCTCTATCACCGCGGTTTCGGGAGCCCAATGCGATTGTATGCACCCTGGCCTTTCCAACTGAACGTCATTCACGATGCTGTCACGTTAGGTTGTATTCAAGGCCCTGATAGTCCTGCATACCATGATTCGTAATGGCGCCACCGACAATGTCCTGTCATATCTCTCATCTTCTGAGGTCCTACGCCTCTCCAACGTCTCTGCTGGCAACTGGGAAGGTCTGCGTTATTTAGCCGGTCACCCGGGTTCATTTGCTGACCACACCACAGGTTACGCCGCACCCGAAAACCTACAGAACTATGCTGTTTATCTTGAGTCCCGGATACGCTCGTATCGGGATCTCAGGCATGATGCTGTACGGGTCCAGGCAGAGTCGAATAGGGATATGCGCAATTCACAGTCCATAGAGGAGGACGGGTATCGGGGCAATAGCAAAAGAGGCAAGTCCGCTCAAACTGCCGCTCCATCGAGAAGCAAGACTATCGTAGGTCGGAAGCTGCGGTCAATGACCGTGGAGAAGGGTTTGTTACGCGAGACACGAGCTGTTCACAGGATGATTGACACCTTGGTGGAGTGCCGGGTCCGCTGCTTTTTCTTTCTCAAGTTCATTAATCTGACGGAGACCTAGTTCTATCTCGATGATTTAGAGGATGAATTAACCATCACTGCCCTACGAATGCTAGTCAAAGATCTCCTCATCCTTTTCCAAGCTGGAAATGAGGGGGTCATCAACGTACTGGGTAGGTGCTATCTGGTCTGTCTTATTTCGCTCCCTGAACAGTTTGTAGAGCACTATTTTGAGATGTCGCATGTGGACGCTGAGGAAGCCCTGAGCTTATATACGCATTTCTGTCAACAAACGGAAAAAGTTGTTGAATATCTCGGAGTAGCAAAAAAGCTCCTCAATCTTCTCAATGTCCCCGTTCCCAATTTGAAACACGTGAGTGCAGCAATACTATCTCCGTTACCGTCCTAACCTCTATTTCACTAGGCCCCAGTGTCGTTAGCTGGCGCCTTACAAGAGTACTTGGACGATCCTAATTTCGAACAAAACAGAATAGAATATAAGACTAACAAGGAATCAGCAGAGCGGGGCTCGAAGGGTGGACCTCCTGTTAAGAAATCGGAGACTGGTGCGTTCAAAGGGCTTTTTATCTCTGCTTGACACTTCAATTTTGTATCAGCCTCTACCTCCACCTCACCAACCAAGACCTCCCCTCCGGCTTCCACAAGTAACAGACCCACGGCTAATGGCGTTCAATCGATTTCTACCAATGGCCCAGTGATCGACTTTTTCTCTGCCATCGAAGAGGAAAAGCCCCAAATGTTTAATTCTCAAGCGAGCAGGTTGGTTTTTGCCCTTGCTATTCCTGAGCGCGTCTCACCATTTATATATATAAGTCCCAATGCCACTCGTTACCAACAGGGCACCGTCAACCCGTTCGTTCAACGGCAAATGACTGCGCAGCCATTCATGCAGGCTCCGCAACAGATGCAGCTACAGCCCACAGGCTTTCCTATGGGCGGGCCAGCGCCGAATCCGTTTGGTCTCGCAACACCGACTCCTCGGCTTCAGTTACAACCAACAGGCCATCGCCCATTTTCTTCCTTCCTTCCTCAACAACCGACAGGTTATCCCCAGCTATCTCCACAAGTCCAACAGCCACAAAGTCTTTTGCAGCAGCAATCAACGGGTGCTAACCCGTTCCGCCAAAGCATGTTACTTCCTCAAACGACAGGAATGACTTTGTTTGGTGTCGGAGGCGGTAGTAGTGGTCTGCAATCACAGCACACCGCTGCTCCTGTTATGAATCCTAATCCTATGATAAACGCATCGACCCAGAATCAAGGTCAGAGTGCATTTGGGGGGCTCCCCTCAATGAATTCCCAACCATTTTCCACTTCTTTGTTTGTTTCGCCTGCGCATCAGACATCAGCATTCCAAGGCCACGCGAACATTCCCGCCAGACCTGCGTCGACACCCTTGACGTCTTTTGGTCCATCATCTTCGAGTTCAACGTCTCCCCCGGCCGCTCAACCAATCAAAACACACCAGACTGGGACGAGAAACCCATTCGGTCGAGTTGCGACACCGCCACCACCAGTACCTAAGCAGCCGACACTAATGGAGCTTGCAATGGGTATGCAAGTGAATGGGAACACTACGAATTCTGTTCAGCAGCAACAATTCCAGTCGAGTCCACCTGCGCATTCGCAGCCTAACGGACAAAGTAGCTTCTCTTTCGGTAATAGCAGTCTTAATCCAGGTGCTACGGACATTTCTAGCGTCGCTTCTTCCTTCGCATTTAAGCCCGCTGGTTCTGATGAAAAGCCCGTTTCGTCATCCGGCTTCCTTAATTCTCAGAATACGTCAACAACATCGGCAGTCTCTACGTTTTCGGAGTCCCAGTGGTCATCGTCATTGCCGTCCCAGCCGACGGGTGCCACAAATGCTTCGTCTTCACCATCCATCACCCTCACTCCTTCATTAAAATCGCAGGCGACAGGGTTCCCTGGACTCAAGCCATTCAAACCATCATCTTCTTTCGGTGCTTCTCTATTGGAATCACTGCCGCCTATTCCTCAGTCGGCGCCAACAACACCTGCTGTGACCGGTAATGGAACTACAACCAGTTCCCCGCCGTCAGGGTCACCGGCATCTCAGCAGACAGGAGCGTTCCCTTTCAATGCACAATTAACCGGTTTGGGAGTCCTGAGTTCATTACCTGGCGGGCAGAATCTTAATAACGTCCACCTTGGGATGCAAACGTCAGGCATGGGTACATTGAATTCACAGCCGACAGGGGCTTTCGGCGCTATGGGACAGCCAAGATCGACGTTGGGCGTGGGCCTACGTCCACAAATGACGGGTTCAGTGTCCAATCCCTTCCGGGCGTCTTCGGTAAACGGCATGACGACCGGAGGCGTGTCTCTTTTTCAGACATCCATCTCGCAACCCGCGGGGGGTGGCGCGGTTAGTGCGCAGCAGACGGGAGGAAATCTCTTTAGCATGTCTGGAGCCGGGACTTTTGGATCGCATTTTAATGCCAACGGTGGAGTGCAACAGCAAAGCACGACGACATCCTTGATCTAACAATATACCACATTCTTTTTTCGATAGTTTTCGGGATATATCTTCGCAGTCCACGCTATCCGGCCGCACAGGCTCAGCATTTTTGTACATATGTTTTACGTCCGGGAACTGTACCTTCTTAGTATCTATATCTTATGAGTAATCAAATCATTGACTTCCTTAAAAAATCAAGGCATCGTAACCATTAACCGACAACCTAACCCAGGTTTTGAAGAGACAACGGTTATGATATGCAAATATTTACGACACTCTAGCTTGGTAAAAACAATAATCTACACTCCGGTCAGACAAGGACGCGCCAACGATTGGGCAGCAATTGGACGCTTCCTGGTATCCCAAATCAGACATGCTCGCAGGAACTGCTCTAAGCCACGGTCCTTTCAATGCTACACTCGTTCCAGTCTCCGACCAGGTAAAGCGCACCGTCTCCATATCGGCAGTCTGGCAAAAAGGTGGATGGTATTTTTCCAATGTATTCCATGATCTATTGAATCTGAATAACATTATGAGAACATGTACTCGCAGAGGCACAGTTAATTCCAGAATCAGAATGGCCCAACCACAGTGATAGATAGGAGACTGATAATGCAAGAGGGGCCACCTTGCGAACCACAGGGATATTTGGCAAGGTGTAGATATTGACCAATTAATTGCAAGAGCCACAAGATGGATAACGCATACGGAAAACAGGACCGAAATAGCCGAACCCGTCTTGACTCCTCCAATGACGCCTGACTCGGTCGAAATTGCAAAGGCAGCAAAAGAAGCATTCGAGATATCCCAGCTCATCCCCACTGAAGAACGCGTCAAGGCTCTCCATTCTATCTGTGTTGCTCTCCAGGCCAATAAAAATGAAATTCTCTCCGCAAACGCAGATGATTTGCAAGTAAGTAATAATCCGTCATTATTTAAATGCTGAGGATTTCATTCATGGACAGGCTGCCCAAGGAGAGGTACATGCTGGGAGAATGAGCGAATCCATGATGAAAAGACTGGACTTGTCGAAGGGGGATAAGTGGGATTCGATGCTTCAAGGCGTCCGAGATGTCGCTGCGCTTCCAGATCCAACCTCGGTTGTCACATACGCCTCCGAACTGGACGATGACCTGGAATTGTATAGGGTGTCGTGCCCAATTGGCGTCCTCCTCGTAATCTTTGAATCACGGCCAGAGGTGGTAGTGAATATCGCCTCTTTGGCAATAAAATCTGGTGGGTTCTAAAGTTTTTGCTCACAAGTCAAAAGGACATCACATCAATCATGCGTAGGCAATGCTGCTATATTAAAAGGGGGAAAGGAATCAACACGAACCGCTGTACTTCTATCGAAAGCAATCTCAGAGGGTCTATCGCAGACGTCTCTTCCTCAAACATATATTCAGACGATTCAAACGCGTGCAGAGGTTTCTTCTTTGCTGGGATTAGATCAATACATAGATCTGGTCATTCCCCGGGGAAGTAACAGTCTCGTTAGAAACATCCAAAACAGTACTCGAATCCCTGTAATGGGGCATGCAGACGGTCTTTGTTCTGTCTACCTTGATGAAACTGCCGACGTCGAAAAGGCAGTTCGAGTTGTGGTCGATTCCAAGGTCCTTTTTATCATTGTTTTTGAAGTTCCTTGTCTGATCATCTACTAGACCGATTACCCGTCAGCTTGTAATGCAGCAGAATTCCTCATCGTGCACGAGTCTTTACTCAAATCTATATGGCCCGTTGTCGCAGAAGCGCTGATTAAATCCAGAGTGCATCTGCAATGTGATCCTTCTATGCTCGACACAGTCAGATCATTAGAGGGCTTTGACACATTCGTCCAACCAGCGAATGAATCTTCATTTCTGACAGAGCATCTAAGCCTCACAATGTCCGTTATCTCGACTCCTTCCCTTCAGGACGCTATCCGGTTCATTAACTCCCATTCTTCACATCACACGGACGTTATCGTCACTGAAAACGAACTTGCTGCGTCGGTTTTCACTCGCGGTGTAGATTCCGCTGGTACCTTCGTCAACGCTAGCAGCCGATTCGCAGACGGATTCCGCTACGGCTTTGGCACCGAGGTAGGCATCAGCACAGGGAGAATACATGCCAGAGGTCCTGTGGGACTGGAGGGCCTTGTCATCTACAAGTACATGCTTAGAAGCAAAGCTAACAAGGGCCACACTGTTGGCGAGTTTGGCGCTGGTAAAAAGTCGTATAAGCATAAACCCATAGTGGCCGAAGCAGTCCCCTTTTAGTAGCATAGCAGGTTTCAATGATGACAGCAGTACAAAGGATATAAGGACATATACCGTGTCAGTATCTGCGTGTCGTTATCGGCGCATCTATCCATGACATTATGAAGAATCAACCTTGGGCTTCTTCTCACAGTTGGAATCTTGAGCGTCGTCTTCCGCCTTGCGTTTGGAGGCAGAAGTATCCTCAGGAGCCTTTTTCTTTTTTTTCACCACCATCGCAGTCAAATCATTGACTATGGGCTCTTGATTGGGAACCATGGTTGAACCAGCATTGAGCTCCCTGTCAAGTGCGTGTGCAGCCATAGCGGGGGCACTTTCGGAGACACTTTCGTTTGGCGAGGTCTTTAATTCCTCGATCTGGCCAGCATTCAGAATGTTGAAAGCAATACAGATTGAACGTCGTACCTTCAGAACGAGGTCGTCCTTCAATCCCTTCAACTCCTTAATCTCGCTTTCAATCTGATTTGTTGTCAACTTCTCGACGGCGTCTTCACTGACAAGTTTCGTTGCTTTCCCCTTCCCTTTAGGATCCTGCTGGGCAAGCGTAGGCAAAGTCGAGGAACTTGGTAGCGCATCCTGTAGCTTAACGAGTCTGCTCTCGAGGCTTTGTAGAGCCTTCTCTGCGTGGATGATGGAGTCTGCGAGTCGACCGGATGTGAGGTCAAGTACGATACTGAGCTTGTAATGGGCTTCTGCGATTTGACGCGACGAAAACGATAGCAACTCGGCTTTCAACGTCAATGCAGCTTCGTAATCCGTAATGGCCTGGTCAAATTTCTCTGAGAGTGAAAGGAAGGATGGTCAATGTGGTGTCAGCGACTGATTAAAAAACGCGCACCAGTTTCCAAAGACACGTCGCCGAGAGTGACGTATGTGTCTGCCAGCTTGAGGCCCACCTGTTCATCGTCGTTCGCCACCTTCTGTTTCTCGTAGATAGCGCGGGCTAGGTCCAGAACTTCCCAAGCAGCATTAAAGTCGTCCTCGGGCTCAGCTTCATCGTCATCGTCATCCGCAGCGGCAGCAGCCTCCTGCTGGGCGCTCTCGATGGCCTGAGAAAATAAGTCAACTGTGCCGTCTTCCGTGTCTTCGACGTCTCCTGAGAAAGAAAGAATAGGACCGTTTGCTGAAGACCCGGAGCCGCCTAGTGCTGGCATCGCGAGATTAGTCTAAGCCCAGACATCAGTGAGTGGCATGACACACCATTGTTGTCTTCTGCGTTCTCCTCCGGTTGCTCCTTGCCCAACACAGAATTCTGTGCAATGGCATTTTCCAGCAGTGCCTTCCCGTATGCAAAGTAGAGGTCTTCTATCCCTGGTGCATCCTCTCCGTGAACGTCAGTCCTGGAGAAAAAGAAAAACGCGTCAAAACGCGCGAATATAAAAGGCAGACGTGGTACTTGCAAGAGTTCAAGCGCGGTAGCGTAATGATCCACTGCTTGCTCGTATTTCTTGAGCGCAAATGCGCGTTGTCCTTGCTCGACAGCAGCTTCCACTGTCAAAGCGAGTTCCGGCATATCCTTGGGTGCGGTTCCGGCTGAATTTCTGTGGAAATATACTATAACTGACGAGACATTGCGCCGAAGGATGTAGACTTACGAGGCCATTTTATTGAGGTAGATAGAAAAGGTGGTGGTGGCGGTTGAAGTGGAAGTGCTGCGATTGGTCGACTACATTACATAAGCAACTCAGCTAGGTAGGTGTACTCTTAACTCGTCGACTCTTTGTAGGATGGAATAAAAGAGTAGAATAGAATAGAAAATAAAAGTATATATAAAGAGAAGTGAAGGTAAAAGCAATGGCATAGGCGTAAGGATAAGTATAGAAAGGTGAGAAAGGAGACCATAGGAAGGGGGACTCGAGGAGGACGGTGAGAGATAGTGGAGCAATCGTTGGAAACAATTGACCTCTGCACATGCGAGGTCGCGAAGGTTGTGACGTAACGATGTCATGACTTTTACCTATTTTAAATTCAGTCCGACTCCTTGTTCTGGCCACAGCTGTGCAAACAATCTGTAGCTCTCCAAATTTTCTCTGAAGTGTGTATTCAAACGCCACAATCTTGCCCAATTAACTGGCCAAATGACTTCCTACATTTTGGTTCTTCAAATTTTATTCAGTACCAGTTTTCACAAGTTTTCAGGTGTTTTCAAATCTTCACCCTCCCCTTGTCTTTGCTTCTCCATCACTGCCCGTTTGCTCTTCAATTTACCTAGTTCCTTCTTCCCTCTAGCTTGGTTACCACTGGCACTTGCTTCGTCGAGATCTGGGCGATGCATGGGATTATACTCAACACCAGTGTTTTTGGGCATGGATTTCAGGGCACCATAGAGATCTAACCTGTCGAACTCCTTCATCGAGGCTGAAGAAAATTTAGCTTCTTTGTCATAGGGAAGTAGCAGTGCAATACCTGATATCAGAGAGGAATTTAGTGTTGACAGAATCTGCTTCTGAGGGACAGGTAAGGCATCTTCTGGAACCGCGGATAGCTATGGGCATGAGGATTAGGACGTGGATAGCAGGGATATAGGACGTCGCATACCCCTCCTCCCATTGTAATTTGAGCCAGTGAAACGAAAGTTATGGGCGTATCCGAGCCAGAACATGCACTATCAACAGAAATCCATACGATAGGCGCGGCTGTTCCTTCTTCAGAGGCTAGAATAAAGTCCAAAACCGGTTTATCAACATTATACGCATGAATTTCATGTGCCAATCCATCTGTTGGGAACTGCGTGACGAAAACGGCTGTGCCGCTGCAGTTATCGATGAGCAACGAAAGAGGAGATAGGTGTGTAACAGTTACCCAACAATGCCGAACAAAACGTATGTCTTGTCCCCCCACGCTATTGAATCGATCTTCTGCACAACTAACACGGTGGCTTCTTCAGCGACGGTTGGAGCCTCTTCCTCCAGAATCTGAGCCTCGCCGTTGACTTGCGAGGCATCTACATCCATATCTACGACTTCTGCCTCCTTGTCTCCTGCCCTGCTTCTGCCGCTTTTTTTCCTGCGCTTGTTTAATTCTGGAGACTGTCGCTTGTCATCGTCGTCATCTGGTTTTCTGCCCTTCTGATAAGGCTTGGTTTTTACCATGATATAATCCTTGACAGAGTTCCAGATCGGGATGTCACACTTCCATTGGCCGGACAACCAATCCCACACTTTGAGCTCGGCGTCCCCACCGCCTGATATCAGAACGGAAGGATCATACTTTGGTACGTGAAGCGCGGAAACGAATCTGTTTGATCTAATGAGCATACGAAAATACGAGGGAAGACAGGAAACCAACTTAGTAGATCCTAGACAAAAGGTTTCAATACAGTATCCTTGTGGGTGCCAACTGACGCGGATATGCTCGTCTCTGTCTGCTGTGATGATGTACTTCTCATCGGAAGAGAGTAAAAAGGTAGTAAGGAGAGATGTGTGGCCAAGGATCAGGGTTCCGTTTGAAGCAGAAGGGTGGGAGATGAGGGAAGTCCGATCGCGTTTCGGGTTTTCAACTTTTGAGACAAAGGGAGGATCGAGCGGATAGCTATATGGACAATTCAGCACGAAAATGATAGCAGATGTTGCTACGCACCTGAAAATGTCGCCAAATTTATCCGACACCAATATTGTCTGACCGTTGGCCGTGAAGGCAACGCAAGTAGGTTTTTTAGGCAATTCTCTGGCAACATGCGAATAGATCAGCACTATTAAAGAGAATAAATGACAAATAGATGGAATGAGAAAATATCACTAACCTTTCACTGGCGACCTTAAGATCTCCATTTCCTACGTTCCAGACTCTGAGTGTTTTGTCGTCTCCTACAGTCGCAAGATGAATTTTTCCGCTATTCAGTGCAGCACATCTTATCGGTCCAGAACTCAACAATGTCTTCTGCTCGTCAGGAGCAAAGTTTGTTGATGAAGATAGAACTTTACCCGTCCTGTTGTCCACTGAGTTACATAATCACATAAGAAACGAAAGACGAACGAAGGGTCTATTATCTGTATGTGTGGCCCAGATACTGCAATGAATGCGGATGATGATGAGTAGATAAGTTGGGAGTAAGGATACACAGGTGAATCCATCCTCGCCAATCGTGGTTGACTCCTGAAAGGTTTTTGGCAGTTTGAAAGCGGCACGCTCGGGCCGATGGGTCGATTTCGGAATGATTTCTTTTTATTGGAAGGCCAGCCATCGTAATCGGACTCGCTGTTGGATCCTACTACCTAGTGAACGTGTGCTGCTGGGACTTCTTGTTAATCATCATGTCGCTTTGATCTTGTCGAGACTGGGGAAGCAGAGGTCATTTCGAGGAGCGCTCATACTTATTCTTGACATCGAATCCTGCAGGTCAGCGCTGCATATATAGGCTGAACTAGCTTGGCTGTCGGTACTTGTCTGCAAGCCCTACTCCCATTTATCGTCTCACCTACTGCTTCCTGGTCTATTTTTTTCAGCCTTGCTGGGTGGCGTTAACCTCGGTTACTTATTTTTGTGGGCAGGGAACGTCAAGCAATTGCGCAGTCTCCGTTCGATCCCACTTTTTTTCAGTTTGTCTGCTCGGTCTCGATCCCGATAAGGTCGATGAGAATGAAATTTGCGATATAGTTAGCTTCATGAATCAAGAGCGCTTACCACTGAGTACCCAACTTGGTAGCACGTAGGCACCACGGTGTTCTCTATCGTCCCATGGCCCTGAGCTCTCACTGAATGGGTTTCAAGGTGCTGCATACTACCTGTGCCTCAAGTTTTCCAGGTCTTGACTTCTAATATCCATCGTACTATACCCGTCCTAGTACTGCCTCATGTTGTGGAACTTGCAGGGGCAGCCGCGGTTCTACTAGTTTTCTCCAAGGATTACATGCTAGTAAATTGTTGGTCCGAGTTTTCCACGGTTGCAGCTCCAGCAACTGAATATACGGGCCAAGCCGATCATCCCGCTGATGGCGGCGCTCATGATGATCAGATCCTATTCTCCCCTGGTTGGCCCTTCTGTATTGTAGTCACCGTCACCGAGGCGCGGCCCTAAGCGTCTCTCGTTAGACTTGCCGGAGATGCGGTGTCTTATGCCTGGACGGGTTATTAACAAATCGCCACTGGTTATCTGCCTATGAAATACCTTAATCAGTACCACTGGTGGCTCCTCGGATATGGTTGACGCCTAAAACATACTTTTTTTCTCCCTTCAAGGACCAATCGACTCCTCGGTGCCGATAATAGTGTCCACTTCTTTACTTATCGGTATGCCATCCACGGTGTACATAAAATGCAGCCACCATCCTAGATAAGTGTCATACCTCACGCTCTCCTCGAGTCTCTGCCTCCGACGCAACCACTATGCGCTTAGCTCCAGTGTACTCTCAAGATCCGTCCTCCTCTGAATTTCTTCTTCATCATGATTCGGCATCTTCATCATGCCCTGGGCGCTGGATATACACGACTAAGCATATGGAGGTCGACCTTGGCCCTCGTATCTGGGGACCATCGCATGTTCCTTGTTATGGCTTGAACGGGAAGATCGAAGGCTCGATCCGCTTTTTAGGCAATCTAAGCTCGGTAACCAAAGTCACACTCACAGTCAGTTGCTAGCATATTTGTGAGATACGTACAGCACTCTGATATCATTTTTAGCTCGAGGTACGCCTTACCACATCAGAGCAACGGTCTTCGACGCTTTTGTCGCGTACCATTCCCGTATATACGCCCTTTACCGCGTCCCCCCCGCAGTGGAACGATATTTGCCCGTTCTCACTTCCTGTACCCACTGAAATCAACACGAATGGGGGTGTATCAAGTATGCCACCGTCGTTCTCTTGCTACAGCTACAATACCATGTGCGATGTCTCGTATTTTATCAAGGTGTGCATGTTTCGAAAGAAAAACGTTTTCTGCACACATGAATCGTGAGGATTCCATTATTTTCAGATTTCAATCAACCTAACCATTTCTTTCCAGTCGTCGCATACCCATCATGTACCTTCCAAAATCCGAGCCGTACGAACTATCCTCATCTCAGAAGCTACCTTTAACGGTGCAGAATACGTTCCTCTCATACATGACACCGCAATGGATAGATTCGAAGAATGGACATGGTCCACTGCGTCCTCCAGCGAGCTTTCATGATGCAATATTCGTTAGTAGCTCCTCCGTTGGCTCCTTACTACAACCTGACGATCCTTCCCCGCAGTTTTCCCTCCCTTCTACCATCTTTGTTTCAGGCGAAAGAATACCTTTCTCCGTCAGCCTTGATACTATCAAACACCCACTGCTGTCGCAGGTCTTAGACAAGAACATATATGTTACTCTCGTGAACAGAGTTTCCCTCTGGTCCGCGGCCGCCAGTTCAAAACCCGTGTACTCTGAGCGACAAATAGCATCCGGCTCCGTGAAGTCTCGACATGAATGCCAGGGTAGAGTTCTCCTCCGGGGATTCATTCAAGCAGGATGTGCTGGGAAGGAAAATTCGTGGTGTCTTGAAGGCATCGCAAGCGTGACGGTACGTTGTGCATTCAGCAGTATGTCCCTTTCCTTTTAATTGATGTTCCTTATTTTCTGCGCAGTACATTCTTCGCGTTTATGCGACCATGCCCAAGCATCTCGTTGGAAAAGTCCCTACGTTTCATCATGAAACTGTCATAACATTGACGACGGATGAGTGGGGTACATCGCAACGAGAATTGAAGACGATGGGCGGCATTCCTACGCCAGCGCTTGGTCTTCAAATCATACACAAGTACTGGCCTTTCCCGAACATTCTGGGTCCGAAGTTCCTGACAGCTCTCCCACAGTGACGAACCGACCACACTCGCCAATGTGTTCATTATTTGAAGAGAATGGTGTCACTTTCTAGATGAATACTGTACAACGTATCACTTGGATATTATCATGCAACATAGACTATAACCTGAAAATGTTCTCGACAGATTGGAGCTTGTATTTATGAAGCCTAATTTCTAGAGTCCAAGCCGGGTATTGTATCGACTAAGAAAATAATCGTTACCCTGGCTCGTGAGAATAAACTTCCATTCCTATCTAGGGTATAATCTGTATAGTTTATGTAACTCTTTCTCACGGCCAGAGGACGGAAAGTACAATTTAGGACGAGACCATCATTACCCGTACTCCTCAAGATGGTGAGTATATTTTGCGTGTCTGGAGCTTCATGGGCGTTCGCTAATGAATGGTGTCATTGCAGACCAAACGCACAAAGAAAGTCGGTATCACTGGAAAATATGGTACTGTGAGTGATGACTACTCTCTTGTCTTCGTAGCTGAACATGTCCTTCAGCGTTACGGTGCCTCCCTGCGAAAACAGGTGAAAAAAATGGAAATCTCGCAGCATGCGCGGTACACCTGCACTTTCTGCGGCAAAGTAAGCAATACCGGTCGATGGATAGCAGGTCTTGAATACTCATGACTCCCTCTTTCGTAGGACACCGTGAAGCGGACAGCTGTTGGCATCTGGAACTGCGGGTCGTGCAGAAAAGTCATCGCTGGAGGTGCATGGACCGTGTCGACGACGGCAGCCGCGACTGTACGAAGGTGCGCTTGTATCCTGTCGATATGCCTAGGATGAATCTGATTCAGTTTGCACCACAGTACCGTTCGCCGTCTACGGGAGATCACAGAGGCATAGAGTTATTATTTCCTTCTCTCTCGTTGTCATCGTCTCCCCACGTACCTTTTGTATGTTCGTATGTCGCCATGAAATCAAAACCACTATGAACGGCCTGAAAGCGTGTTCCTTTGCCAAGTTGTTAAAATGATATTCCTTGTGCAGTAACATGGAGATTATCATACGAAATGAATGTTTTCTCATGATGATCACGGGCCTCGTTATATGACCAACACATGGCCGCGCAGCGTGGCCTTCACGTTGTTCTTTCGTCACCACCATGTAATTCGAGCAGGTCATTTTTCTTTGATCTTACCAAGAAATAATGTCTTCGCAAAGCACCACTCCCGTTCACTCACACCCTCTTTCTCCCGACGAACTTCATTCTTCATCTCGCAGCCGCATTCGACCCCCTCGCGACCCCGATACCCGGCCCACTACTAATTATTTTTCCCTCAAAGCTCAGTTTGAGAACGATGCTGTTATTGTGCCTAGCTGGGATGGCAGCGTCAGAGGGCACAGAAAGGCAGAGCGACGGCTCTCGACAGACGTCTTCCTCGACAAGCCGACTTCCCCGCCTTCGACACCCGCAAGTCCGAGGATAGCCCCCCTCATCATTGTCGGTACCTCCAATGCTTCCATGTCCACCCCGCCTGGCACGCCAAATAAAAGATTTCCAGACTTCCTTCTCCCGAACGATGTTGACGCCGGTGATTTACATCCGCCCGCTGCTTCACAGGTACTGGCTACCAAATGGCACGAGTATTCCGACGAGGCCATCCAGTCCGCTATCTCTAACCTAAGCGCGTCCGAATCTCCAGCTGGCGTGTCCAGTCATCCTTACCATTCTGCCTTACGGGTACTCTCATTAGCTCTAAACAACCTGTCGCGTGCAAGATCGGAGCTTGAGGAACAGCGGAGGAGGCTGGAAGAGAGAGAAGGTGAAAGAAGGCGGAGAGCCGAGAACCTTATGAATGGGCTCCAGCCGTCAGACCAGGACGTCGTGAGACGCGTACTCCAATCGATATTCACGGATGAGCAGCCCAACGAGGATGACAAGGGTCATGACGATGGTGATCATCTTCATGTTCGGAAGCGACCAAGTTTTATGGTGAGTGGTTCAGGATTGCAGCATATATGATTGCCACGGAATTTCGCCTCATACGAACCACAATCTGATTATGATACCCTTGTAGTCCCTTACAGAATCTCTCTCGGAAGCCATTGCTGATGAAGTACCTCTGTCACGGAGTATTCCAGACGACCTGTTAACAACGCCTCTCGTGTCAACTGTTGATTTTGGATTGACTGTCGATTCCGTGCCAGCTGCCAATGAAGATTCTCAAATTCTTCGTGATACAGGTACTGACTCTGGCGGAGAGACCATTAAATTCAACGGCTTGCTGCATAGATCGCGTGCAGAACGGTCAACGATAGGAGATTGGATGGGCACGCTATGGGGCAAAGGCAAGCCTTCCAATCGGACTCGAACAGTCAGTACAAGTGCAATAGCTCGTCCAGAGTCACAGGACGCTACACCGCAGATTCCTTCTGTCAGTAGACCAAGGCGCAGAACGGCGAAAAGCGTATTCGGCACGCTTGGCATATCTATACTTAACCCAGGTTCATCCACCTCCTTGAAGGAGGACCCTCCTGCAGCGGAGAGTAGATTAGAGCCATCCCCCGACACTGCATCTACTAAGTCGGATCGTACGACCCACACCGCATACACTAATACCTCTGCCATTTCCTCCATCGGATCTCCAGTGCAAACACCTTTTTCGCCTGTTTTAGCCGCGCCGTGTTTGACTACCAGTCTTGATCCGGAGATCAGCTCGACACACTCAGTCCAAGATCCTGCACCTGTCACTGGAGCGCAGGGATCATCTCTTCGCGCCATCGCTAATGCCACTCGTGTCATGACTTCTGATCCATCTAGTATTCTCACGGATGGTGGCCAGGACGTGGGACCTCTGGTATCAAGACTGGCCTTTGAACTCATTCAAAATGCCCGCGACCAAGGCATTACTTTTCGAGAACAGCGGCAGAAGGACAGGAAAGACCGTAAACCTGTCGAGACGGATAAGGTCGGTCCTGTTGCTACGCTCAGTCAAGCGACAGGCGATGCCTCAGTCACGCTAAGCAGAGCCCTCGGGAGTCAATCAGAAGCATCTGCTAGGGCGAAAACAAGAGCAGGACCGTCATTTTCTGTGCCGTCATCATTTTCTGCTCCTCTTTTTGGGACATTTAGATCATCGCAGCAGAACAGGAAACTCTCCAATGCTGTCGGTGATAATAGGAAGGGTGCTGTACAAGATCAATCTACACTACGTGGTGGTAGTAACACCGTGTCACCAAATGGTGTAACTCGGAAAGCGCCTTCTGTTCCACTAGAGTCGATAATACCTGATACGGCTAAACCGCCAACACAATATCTTTCCAGATCTTACACTCCCCTGACCTCACGCAATTTTCATTTTTCAATGCCCCTACCCCATGCTGCATCACGTCTGACGATTTATCACGACTCGCTTGACCAGAAACCTTTGACTGATCGTTATGGTTTCATGTACGATGTGTCGTTATATGACGTCCTTCTTCTCATTCGAGCTAAAGAGTGTGGGAATACCGCCCCTGCTTGTTTGACGGGGGTCAAGATAGCCGATAGAGAAGAGGATAATTCTTGGCCAGATGACGACGAAGAAAATGATTTAAAAAATATTGTTGATATTGTCAAAGGGAAGTGTGACTGCGACGGCGAATCGGACACACGGAGCTTTCATTCTCATGATTCGCCTTCCGCAGAGTCACTTTCAAACAGTATTCATTTGGGGTCATCTTCAAATAGCAAGAACCGCAATTCCCTTGCTCCACCTTTGACGATGACTTCTTCGGTGACGTCCATACTGTCTGTCAACACAAGCACTCCTCGGCATGCGTGCGCCAACACTGTGCGGCGACTCCTCGACGAACTAATCGGTATACACGATGAACGGCAGAAGGCCCGCCGGAAGGAGTGGGATGCCTTTGTCAAACAAAGACGCAAGGTCAAGTTCCAAAAGTCACATTCTTCAAACTCCTCAATATCGACGGGGACGAACAAGGCAGTTGCTATTCTCGGATTAAGCACGGAGGATACTGAGGATGAGTTGGCGCACAGTGATGGACTTATTGGATTTGCGCAGCTTGGGCTCTCATCTAACCGAGACGAGAGAAAAGAGTTCGATAAATTGATAAGGGCCGGTATACCTTTGGTGTATCGACCGAAGGTGTGGATGGAATGTAGCGGTGCGCTGGAGATGAAAGAACCGGGATTGTTCACGGATTTACTGGCCGAAAGTGACCCGTTAAGCCATGCAGCTATGGAGATCGAGAAAGATGTTGGGAGAACGATGCCTTTGAACGTATTTTTTGGCGGCGATGGAGCAGGAGTCGACAAGTTACGGAGAGTTCTGACTGCTTATAGCCGGTATAGTCTAGTTCGCCTTCTTTGAACCTCCCATTTCTGACGTTGTTAAAATTTAGGCGCAATCCTGACGTTGGATATTGCCAAGGAATGAATTTGGTGACATCCACACTTTTGTTGGTCCATGCCGACGAGGAAGAAGCTTTCTGGGTGCTCGCCGCTCTAGTGGAGCGTATACTTCCTGAACATTTCTTCTCCCCTTCATTGTTACCGTCACGGGCGTGTCCTCTTGTGCTTTCTGAGTACGTACAGGAACACACATCTAAGCTTCATGCGCACCTTGTGGAATTGGGCGTCGATTTACCAGCTATCTGTTTTTCATGGTTTTTATCGTTATTCACTGACTGTTTGCCGGTAGAGGTGAGTGTCGCATATCAAAGTCTCCATAGGGAACTGACGTGCAGCCAAATTTCCAGACTTTGTTTAGAGTATGGGACGTGTTTCTTGTCGATGGGCTAGATGTTCTGTTTCGTGTGGCTCTTGCTATACTAAAGAGTAACGAGCAAGAGCTTTTGCGTTGTCAGTCTATTCCTGCGGTCTATGTCGCATTGGAGAACCTGCCTACAAGGATGTGGGAAGCAGACAAACTATTACAAGTGAGTCCACTGTAGATGATTAATGTCCAGCATATTGGCTGACAGTGTCAAGCTGGAAGCCGAGCTGCGGTCATCTGTTTTCCACACTGATCTTGTTAACAAACGGAATTCGCACGCATTAGCACTGGGACGATTGATATCATGACATTAAGTTATTCTAATCTGTTTGCGTTCGCTTTATAGATTGTGTCGATAGACGTCTTGGTCAGAAAATGATAATATGTACGATACGCAGCTACAGTACCATTCTGCTAATACTGTCAAACGTAGCGTCGGAGGTTAGGATAGAGTGTTCAATATGATCGTGAGGAGTAGTTGAAAGCACGGTCTAGACAAACAGTCATTTTATAGCATCACTGATGCGAAGTACTCGTAGCTAATTGGGATGAACTAAAACTCTCACGACCATCCATGCCGCCACGGAAACAAACAGATTCATCCAAGCAAAGCATTTGTTCTTCCATTGGGGCACTCATTCGTCAGTAAACGCATTCATCTGTGAACAGTCGCTTAACAAGGTCTCGCTGAATCCACAGGCAGCCGGCTTCGAGCAACAACCTGCAAATACGTTGGTTTTTTTGTGTTGTTGTTCATCAGCTCATATCTCGTGCGGTGGATTTGATTTAACGAATTTGTCTCAGCTGACAACTACCAACACAGTATCTATCTCCTCTCATCATTACTAGTGTACCTCAGGAGCCCATCAGCACAGATTACCTGAATGCCGATGTCTCGAAAAGGGATGCGGTCCGTGCTGCGTTCCAGGTGCGGTTTACACGCTGTATAATAGGCTAATGATCTGATTCAAGTACCAAAGCATGCCTGGAGCTCCTACGGTTAGTGTACAGACACGTCAGAAAATACATAGGCACTAAATACTCCTGTATAAGAGCAAGACGCCATGGGAGCCGACGAATACCATCCCATCAGCCACCGTGGATTTAACTTTTCAGGAGATGGAGGGATTGGATACACCGTGGTAGACGCACTTGATACTATGCTGATTATGGGTCTCCATGATGAGCACGCTCGTGCGCGTCAATGGATCCTGGACAAACACTCTTTCGAAAGAGAGGGTAACTTCAACACTTTCGAGGTGCACTCCTATCTGCGTCTTCATTCAAGCTTCATGATTTAAAATACACGATAGACAACCATTCGTGTCCTGGGCGGATTGTTGTCAGCCTACCATCTTGCCGGCGATACTCTCTATCTGGAGAGAGCCGTGGATCTAGCAGACCGCCTTCTTCCGGCATTCGATACGCCTACGGGTCTTCCATTGCCCATGGTTAACCTAGCAAAACGCGTCGGTGTCCGAGATCAATGGTCGTCCGACCAAATCAGTACGGCAGAAGCCGCGACGCTTCAACTGGAGTTCAAATACCTTGCTCAACTGACAAGGAAGAACATTTACTGGTCAAAAGTGGAGAATGTCATGTCTGTTATCTACAAATCTTTGCTCCCCCACAGTCTGGTACCTATTTTTATGAGGTATACACGTTTACTACGAGAACTTATTCATCTTACCGTCGTATGCAGTGCTAGTAAAGGAGATTTTACTCAATCTGATATTCGTCTTGGTTCACGGGGCGATTCTTATTACGAGTATTTGATGTCAGTGCCTCCCCCTACCTTCGGAGCCAGAACTAACGCGGCTGTCTAGTAAGCAATACTTGCAAACGGTTCGGATTTCACCTCGTACACTGTGTTTTTATCATATAATACTACGGATAGAATCGGACCGAGCCTATATACAAAAAGGTCTGGTCCCACCAAATGCTCTTAAGGGATTAATTCAAAACGTCTCATAACAGATGTATGCAGACTCGATGAAAGGCCTGCATGACAACTTGGTTCAGAAAACATCCCGTCAAGGGCTAACGTACATCGCCGAACTCATACCTCATCGGTCAAAGGACGGCAGCGTGTACGCTTCCTCTTTCTCGCCTTTTTGATCTTTTTGACTATGATACACATGGCAGAACATGGGACCGTTCCGCCAAACAAGATCATCTCGTCTGCTTCCTCGCAGGCTCGCTGATGCTGGGCGCTACAACCTCTGGAGCAGCAAAGCACTTTATATCTATCCCTCCTCGCCTAGAGGAACTGACGCAGGAAGGGCAGCGGGATTGGCAGACCGGCGTGAATCTTCTGGAGACCTGCATGGATACCCATCGAACGTCGACGTATGTTTGTAATCCATTTGAATGGGACGTGCTCTTTTCTAACTTGATTCTCTTACACCAGCGGTCTCTCTCCTGAGATCGTGATGTTCCGAGCAAACGAAGAGAAGGGTGAATCAGAACGTGACTGGTTTATCAAGAATTCTCGGTCAGCTATTTTGCGGATCTCTTGATCCCAACCTGTGTTGACGGTATTGTCACAGAAAAGGTGGACCGTCCTCTTATGATGCCCGCTACATGCTCCGGTGGGTCTATCAACGGGTTGTTAAAAGTCCTGGTTTCATCAAGTTTCCCTAGTCCGGAGACTGTCGAATCGCTGTTCATTGCTTGGCGACTAACTGGCGACCTCAAATACCGTCAGCATGCTTGGAATATCTTTTCAGCCATTGAAAACCATTGTCGCCTAGAGGAAGGAGGCTACGCTACGGTCTTGGACGTCGATACAGTACCTGTATCGCGGGACGATAAGCAAGAGACCTTCTTCTTGGTCAGTCGTCTCAAATCGAGGGATCTCTTTTGGTATTCACAAAGCTTTTCTAGAGCGAGACTTTGAAATATCTCTACATGACATTTTCCGATTCGAGCATCATACCCCTGGATAGTAAGTTCCTGATATTTTGATTTGGGACAGAACTCTGATTGAACCAGAATACGTGTTCAACACGGAGGTACGATTCCTGTGGATGTCTGTCTCTTGCGTGCGCTGATTCATTTGGGAACAGGGGCATCCGTTACCGATTTTCAAGCCTACCGACACCAAGCCTGCTTTTGCACTGTGAAGGTGATTTAGATGGGTACTTATACCGAATACTATTGTGTCGCTTTCGTGCTCTTCGTTGCTATCTGGACTTACAGTACAGCAGACCACGCATTGGCTATAATATGATGAAAGCTCTTGCGCCCCAGATATATTCATCATCCGCCGATCTATCTAAGACGAAATGTAGTTCTATATAGTAGTTTTGGCTAAATAAGGTGTGAACGTAAATAATCTTCAGTATCTCTCAGGAAGCAATTCGTAGATCATATCTCTTCATTAATCTATTAAGTCTTCCTCAGCGTCCATCTCCATCCGCTGCTTTTTATCTTCCTGTTTGAGTCTGGCCATGGCCTTGGTGACTTCGTGATTCCAGTCTGTGCGAATACAGACGATGGTTCCCAAGACAGCGCAGTAGATAAGGGATATAGTCAAGCCGTACCAGAGCCCATGCAGGCCCATGCCAGCCTTGAAGGTGAGTAAAATGCCGAAGGGGATACCTACGCCCAAATTGAGTATAATATCATATGCAAACCGGGGAGCTTACCGATAATGTAGTATGCACTGCAACAAATAAATTTTAAATGAGATAGAGACTAGCATGAGCGACACACCTTAGGTTCAGTAGCGCTCCAGTAACCTGTTTACCCTGAGCGCGGAGAACACCTCCGCTAACAGCGGCTCCACCATCGAACACTTGAAAAACGGCAACGATGGGAAGTATAGCGGCAGTTTGAGCAATGACGGCTTCAAATTTGGAGTCAGCAATAGAGAATCTGACAAGAAGGGCATGAACCTACCGGGGTCATCATTGAAAAGATATCCCCAAGAGTTCCGGAACGCGAGGAACATTATGCTACACTTTATGTGAGACAACAATAGAGGGTCCAAGAGGGATAGGAGCGGACCAGAAGAGTGATGACATGATTAGTGACATGACAAGGGACGCATTGGACGCAATTCCAGCTCGTCGGGCTTTGCGTTCACCCAAAAGGTTACCGATTCTATTACAGATCAGAGAATGTGCTGATATACAAACTTGCAGGTGACTCACCTAACGGAAGCGGCAACGGAGAGGGAGAAGGGCGCTTGGAAGGTGGTTGAGGCAGACACGAGCAAGACAGATTGAGTCGCAAGCGCGACGGGACCAAGCCTGAAGACTGATAGTTCGGGCTTAACAATGTTAACACAAAAAGCAGACAACTTGCAGAGATGCGGCGAGGCCGATCACTACCATTGATCACGTCAGGATTCACATTGGCGTTTTGATAAGATTCATAAAGACTTACACTCCCATGCCCACCATTCGGAAGCGGTTTGACCCACGCTAGCCAGACCGAGGTTCACCAGGACACCGAGACCGGTGAAGCTCCGTCGACAGATAGGATGCCAAGCTGTCTTGGGAATGAAGAAGACACCGTACAGTATTGACAAGAGAGACACGAGATTGAAGGATATCGCTGTGGATATCGGCGCGCCGATAAAGCCGAGTCGGATCGGCTCAGGGCCCCAGACTGGAGAACGTTGAGCAACGAACGTGGTTCAACAAGAATAATGGCTCACCAAGAATGTAATTCAGCAAGGCATTGATAGGCGCCACAATGAGTATGATACGGGTGGGCACCGCAAACAGACCTGCAGAAACGTTCGTAATTATTTACTTTTTGCTGCGAGGGAGTAAAATTGGCGTACCTTGTGACTGGAAATACCGTCTAAATGGGTGGACAGTGAGCACATGGCGCGAAGAACAAGCAAGGTTTTACGTGCCTGCTAATACAATTGAACGCGTAGGCTATTAAGAAGGCAAAAGTTACGGATGTGTGCACTGAAAAGGGCCAAATATAGATACCTGGTAGACCAAACGAAACACAGCGGAGATACACTGCTGCCAGACGAGCGACGTCCGGGTCTTGCTTGAGCAACAGCAAAATGGCCTCGGCGTTAAACCAGATGGCATACATAGGCTGCACTTTATTGAGTTCTTAGCGGGCAGGGACGCGAAGGAGGGACGCACAATAAGGAGAACCGCCATCACGACAACTGTAATACTTATGTTGAGGGTGAAAATTGTTCAAGGCAGATTACCACGCACCCATCCGTTGGGACCAGAGGCCGACAAGCTGAGGTTGCGAAGTCCACGCTGAAGGAAGCATAGTGTCAAGGGCACTTGTGAAGCCTTGGATTATACTCAGGCCAGACACATTGGCGGTCATCGACCCTAGGGTGATTGCTGCGAGGGCTGTCGTAGATAGATGTCCGACGGAGAGTACGGACGCCATGACAAGACTGTACTCTAACAAATGTGTTCTGAACGGGTCCTTTAGCCATTGACCGTGTCCGGAAAGAATGGGAAAATACTAACCCCCAAACGGGTATACCGTACTTTGTGAGTATCTTGAATTCCTCCCAAAACATAACCATGGTGCTTTCATGAGAAGTATCATCGTTGTCTTCGACATATTCCGGGATACGGGGAATTACAGGGTTGAGAAGCGGTGTAATTTCGTTGAACGCAGGTGGGGCAAGACGGTCATTAGCCATGGTCGGTTTGGACGGCCGAGGGGCGGTTAAGAATGGGGATTCCGAGTCATATTCAGGTTCTTCGGTATCGATCTGGACAGGATTGTCATTAGTGGAGCGATGAACAGCGTAGCGAGAAAGGATGGCATAGTCGGAGGGGAGGGAGCCGGTAGCCTGATAGTGGGGGGAGGCCATGGGAGCTGACAGGAAGGAAATAAAAGCAACATAAGAGATATATATGTCGACTCGGAAAACAAATGAAAAATACCTTTCTTTTAGGGGCAAAATGTCGGAGGCCTTGCAAGGATCACATCACTTCTTTTTATAAGAAAAAAAAAAGGGGGTCGTGTGCTCATTTTCGTGCTTCTAATCCACCGCAACCGCCAAGGCGCCGAGCTGAATAAAAGGTCCGAACGAGACAATTCTACGCTGCCGGGCCCGACTGCCGCGGCACAAATCTGTGTTGTTGTGTATTTCCCAACGGCGTCTGTTTTGAACTGATCGACCGCGTTCAAGTCCTCTGTCCCAATTTTATATGGCCAGCGTCAAGAAAAGGTGCTTTTCTTCTCTTCTTTCACCACATTTCAATAACAATATCTCAGCAAGTTGGATCTCCTCGTTCGGGTTCGGTACTCAAATCCACTTCCTGCACCACCATGTCCTCCAAAACTGCTCGACATCCCAACTAATCCTTCGCGATATGCTCGGCCAGACTTGCTCAATACCCTTGCCAACAACACCCCATTACCCATGATAGTCGACGCAGAGTGTGGCATGCCTTTGGACTTGAGCAAATGGGAGTCCTTATGGGAAGAGAACGGCGATGATTCTGGTGCGTGAACTGAAACCCTCGCCAGTCAGTCGACTGCTAACTTAGGCATACAGCATTGAATCCGGATCCAGAAAACTTACCAAAACTTGATCCCAAGGACGAATTCCTAGCCAGCGAAGTAGCCGGACCATCGTCCGGACCTTACACGAACGGTCACGCTACCCCAAACGGCCATGGGCTCCCTTCAGCATCGTTGGTTCACGTTCCCTGGTTACGGAAGACGGAGTACACAAGTCGGGCAGACAACACGTCTCGAGGAGGATCTACCGAGTCGTGCGTCGTCTCCATCCTTGTCCGTAGCATTCTAACGCTCTGCTGCAGGAAAAATGCAAATGCACAGCCAATCGATGTATCACACAGCGCTCAATTACGCGATATCGATGCTTCATTTACCTTCTGCAACGAACGATTCTCACTAGAGACCCTTCGTCACCCGACCAAACCAGACGTCACTGCGGTCGAGTCTTACGAAGTCCTTCCAGACGTTGAAATCTGGTCGAACCAGTACGACCTATTCCGCTTCTCCGAAAGGCCAGGCGAGCGGCCTATTGACGTATGTACCTCACCTATTTCGTCAACCCTTTTTCTCATCTCAGACTTAGGTCGAAGATCCACGATTGGACTGTGCTATTCTGCGACCTATGAAGACCGAACATGACACCTTTCTGGCCTACTACCTCACCGATGATGACGAATCGGCACTTGAATTCAAAGAGAGCCGATCAAAGCTGCAACCCTATGAGGTGGCCCCCAATCAACCCGTGGGTATTTTTGTATCGCATTACTCTCTATCTCCATCTGACGGGCTTGAAACGCGCAGGAAACTGTCTTCCGCTTCGTGCGAGACTACGAGACCGTTAAAGTCGAACAAGAGGTCCCCAATGAATTCCTACTAGTTCTTGAGGATGGAGGCGAAGATTTGAAGCCTTCAATTGATGGCGCAGACACACAACCTCGGCGTAACGCTAAAGTCAGGGGTGCTTATTACAAGAACATTGAACGTAAGATGACTTTGAAAAAGAAGCGCCAGAATGTTGGTCTACAAATTAAGTACCGTTTGCTGGATATCACTGATCTTCTCGTTTCCCCTCAGGCGTTTGAACAGTACGAGGACAAATGGGACCTGATACGGATGTCTCACACCGATATGAGCAAAGAGGAGGAGGACGAACGCCAGGAAGCTTTAGCGGAAGTGGTCGATCCAATGTTCTTAATGAGAGCCGATGCAGATGCCGATGGAGAAGGAGAGATTGATCATGAGATGGTTGCACCGCCTGACTTTCCGTTCCCAACGGAAACATGATTGCAAGTTTTTACATCGTACTTCTATATGTACCTATGCTCGTTATTTGCAATTGAGCTGTACAGGTAACCAGGTCGAAGCGGTTATTTAAACCATACTATATGATGTGCATGAAAATAAGTAACCATAAGGGTGCTAACATAACTAGGGTAGTAAACAAATCAAAATGAAAACTAAATAGCAATGCGACGTGGTATAAAGCGACTAGTAGGGGATTGGATGCGGATGCCGAGGATGCGTGGATATATATTCTAGAAAATGCAGCGATGATAGAGTAGAAAGAAAATAAAAAGATGTACCCAAGCCAGTCCACCAGTCGTACAAATATATCCCAGAAAAAGGTCGAAAATACAATGTTTATGGACTGAGGTCCATTGCCCCTTCCCAACCGACTGAGTGCCCTAGTATCTCTTCCAAGAAATCTGACGAGACACTGGCCAAAGGGGATGCCGCAAACAAGGATGTACCGTCCCTGGCCGCGACATTATACAACATTTCCATGTTCATACGTGCTCGAGATACCACGGGATGAGAATAGATAGCCTGTATTCCTATTCGCAGCGCTGGATCGGTCCGCATCATCTGCTGGATGAGCTCCAAGAGCTCGGGGCTATCGTCCAAGTCAACTTGCGAGAAATCTTCTCGCCTCAACCGATGCCAGGGTTCGCCTCTGTGAGGTATGTGAGTAAAATGAGACTTTCTACCAAGCAAATTTACGTACTGGTCAGGAACCACAATATTTGCCGCTGTCTCCAGCATCGTCATGCCCAAACTACGAGTGACGTCAGTAAAGGGAACGCTCTGTCATCGTCCCGCGACATACCTAAATATATCTGCTGCTTTGCCGTACCTCCCTTGCAATACTTCCGGCGCCAGGTAAAGCTTATCACCCTCTCGCTCGAAGGCAGTAGGCCCGAAGTAGGTCTCCTGCGGAGGCCGTGGCCACAAAGATGCCATACCAAAGTCTCCAATCTTGAAACGTCCCTCAGACGTGACAAAAATATTTGCTGGCTTCAGGTCCAAGTGAATGACGCCAGCAGTATGAATAAACATAAGACCCTAGAGAAACATATCATCAGAACAAGACCGCTACAAATTTCAAAATAAGGACTTGCGTTACTCAGGTCAGCAATAATCTTCCAAACCCTGGCCTCTTCAAGTCGAGGGTACTGGCGTCCATACTCCCACAAGAAATGGGCCAAATTGCCCAAGTCGCATAATTCCGTTTGGATGAAGAGTGCTTCATCTTCTTCCCAGCTATCCACAAAGGCCAATACATTTGGATGTCGCTGTCCGCCATTGGCCAAACGGAGATGGCGTAGAATATCGACCTCTTCTCTCAATCGGCGTCTATAGCGGTGGTTAGATCTCCTTGGTGGGCCGTGAACCTGCAATTCCCACTCACCGATGTTTTATGCCCTCAAACGTCTTGGATTTCTTTATGGCGTATGTTTCGCAATCGTCATCTGCTTTCGAATGCACCTTGATAACTCCGCCGAATTCTCCACTACCAATTTCTTCCAGTTCAACAAAGTCACGGTCAAAACGACCGGAATCCTGCGATGAGGATAGTGATGGGCGTTTCGGATAGCTTTTTCTCAGAACGGGAGGTCTTTTTTGCCCAGGTGACGGCTGGACACGAGCGGTAGTCGGTGAAGAGAGGACGGAGTTCAACGATGAGCTGGACTCAGAACGGGGAGTGTGTTTTGCGGCTTTTCTGCGGGGGTGTTCTAGGAAAACTCAGCATTAGGAGAACGATATAATCAAAAAGATCCACACACCTTGGGCTAGATTTCTTGTGGGAGTACCATTCATTGACATGGAGTCACTTCCGCTGGAAAACGTACCACTACTAGTCCTTCGTGACAGCCATCGGGACTTATGAACAGCTGGGAAGTCCTCTTTAGGTGTGGGTAGAGACGGTCGTCCAATACCCAAACTACCACTATATCTTTCTTTCTCTTTCCGGGTGCTTGGGCTGTCCTCAGCGTCATCTTCAGAGTCGGTGCTTGGGTCCAGAAAGGACTTCCCGTGTTTTCGCCCTGCTGCAGAAAATCCAAGCGGTAGGCTCTTTCGCGGTACTTTGGCTTGCTTCATTTCCCAATCAATACCAAGACCAACCCTGTGCGCTACCGCACTCTGCCATGGTCTGTCGCCAGACAGGTAACTAGTCTTGACTTTTTTGACGGGTGTATTGGGTACCTTCTTGACTTCGGAAGGCGCCTTCGTAGGGGCAGCCAGTGTACGCTTGATAAATGCATCAACATCGCTCCCCTGCTGGTTATCATCATCATGGTGATCATCGACTTCGTAGACTCCTGGCCAGCCGGAGGAAGGAACAGGACAGACGCCAGGAGTGAGGAGACCATGTTCTTCATCAGAAAAGATAGAACTGACACTGGTAGATGCCTGTGGTACATGGTCGCCGCTGGCGCTACTGTTCATTGAAAGTTCGTCATCGCTGACGACAACGCCAGAATCTCTACTTGGCTTAAACTTGGAGGGAATGACCACGTCAGTGTGCCTCGGGGAAGGAGTGTCGATGCTGAGGATGAAAGAGGAATCTCGGGGACCTTCACAAAGGATATCATCCTCATCATCTGTGCTGTTGTAGAGAGTCTCCTGGGTATTACGAGAGGCAGGAGAGGTAGGGGAGGACTGAGGTGATGGTAAAGTGGGTCGCGCTTGAAGGAAATTCCACGCCTTGCGGTCAGATCCAGCGTAACTGTGTCTATTGCTCGTGGGAGGACGAGGGGCGATGAATTTATCTCCGGATGAAGCCATGGACAATGTATTTGTTCTCGAACGAGATTGAGGGACAGAAGGGCCAAAAAATAGAGTGGCTGAATCTACACGCGCCAACGGGCCTCGAGCATTGGAAGATGACGGGCTCTTGGGCCTTATAAGCGCGTTGGCCGGGACGCGACGTCGAGGTAAGGGAGCAAATGCACCGGAGGTAGACGAATTTGGCGACTTCCGTGTATGATGAGCAGCAGGAGGAAAAGCCACAACATTACGACTTCCAGATGAAGGACGTTCCTGTACAACTATTTAGACGTGCACAAGGACAGAAAGCAAAACGCACCACTGGCGAAGGTGAGTTAAACACGCTTTCAAGAAGCTCGTCGGAAACCGGGCGTGATCTTGCGCGTCTTTTGGAAATATGGCCTCCAGGGGAGACTGCCTCCACTACTTCCTCTTGCTTGGCATTCATAAGGCGCCGATCGTTCCTTCTAGCCTGACTGGGTGGATGGTCTCCACTGAAAAGCGGCGCTGTTGGCGGCTCCGAAATGTCACAGCCAGAATCGTCGTCGTCGTCAGATCGATTCAGATCTGAAATCTTCAATTGTGTGAATGTAGTAGTTTGGTTGCGCAACGATGCATCGGCCTCTGTGCCCGTTCGCGGTGTGCGAGGACCAAATGTGGGAGGTGGTAAAGGTCCTAGGCGATCAAATGACATGCCACCAGGGCCAAAGGCCTTGGACGAGGTGACGACGAGTGGAGTGAGGGTATTAGGTCGTAATGGAGTAGCTTTGGGTGTGGTTTTGCGTTTTATCCCAGCGCCTACGCGACTGGGTAGATGAGGAATTGTAGAATAGAGTTGTTTCACAGGGAGAACCGACCGAGTTGGCGGCTGCCTTGACGGTGTGAACAATGGCCCCACGGTCTTGAAGACGACGGTCTCATCCTCATCCCATTCCTGACGAGGCTTCCGCATCTTGGCAGGTGTCTGAAAAGGAGAATGGAGGAAAATGTGATCTGCGCTGTTCTGGCCGCCGAGCTCAGCATGTGGTAGAAAGAGAGGTTTGCCGGCGCTGCGATGGGGCGACGGTGTGAGTAAAGGCTGGTTGAAGAATGTAGGCTGCTTCATGGTAGCAGATTGAGGGCGCAGGGAAGGAGACATGCTGCCGTCGCGCGTCTTGCGGTGGGAGGCATAGTCACTGATGGGGGTAGAAGCGAGCATGATGTAAAGAAAGTTGTTGGAGCCTTCAACGACGTGTAACCCGTACTGCTGGCGTGGAGTTGGGAGCTGGGAAGGAGTAAATATCGTTGGAAATCGTAGTCGGTCGTGTCGGGGTGTAACGAGGGGATACCAATGGAAGATATAAAAAGGTGGAAGTAGACAGGAAAGAAGGGTGTGACAACGCTTTACGTGACTCGTCACCCGGTCAACAAGATCACGTTGCCGTGCTTTAAATCACGTGCCTTTGTTTGGCGCTTGCGGCACTGCCTCGGACCGATGCGGAGTCCGGACCCGTTGTTGATCGGAACCCAAGCAAGTTCTCGTGCACAGTCGACCAGACGAGTATTCCTTTCTGTGTCCTTCCCCGAGCGCCCTCACGCAAGAGATAAACCGGTCACTGCGAACTAGAAGCAATATTATTAGTAAGTTTGTAGTCGGTATTACTCTTGACTCATGTCCCACTTAATGTGTAGCACAGAACTCTACATCAGTGCAAAAGTGATTGTAAATTGTCAGCCAACGTACGGCCCAGGCTGTCCACTCGGCTCTCATTTCGTGTTTCAGTTTCACCCATTTCGAGTGTGCAGCTTCAGGCCGACGTTACGGTTGATCAAAATGTTTTCCTTGTCACCCCGGTTCATGACTGCAAAGAATTGACAGCACGGAAGTTGACTAGTTTCGGCATCTAGAGCCTCGGTCCTAACTATGGATGCAATAACCCTGACGCGTCCATAGGACGGGAATTCGTTAAGACAGACGCGCAAGTGGCGTCTTCAATCGATCGAGGTAAATTGTTCTCGGATCGGGGCGAATTATTGCATATCGCTTACTCCTTCGGTCCTGGTACATACGAGGTGGATGCTGGTGGATGAACATGGTGCCTCTCGGATCGGAATATCATTATTACTTGTCGGTTCGGAGGATGTCCTTAATGAATTTCGTGGGTCTTGTCATGCCATTACAAAGTTCTATGCCATGACGCCATCGCGATTTCACTTGGTGTTTGCTTGGTGCCGTATTTGAAGCTTGAAGGGCTAGCCTTCTCCTTATTTCCTTGATTCCACAGTTGACTCGCCCTGCAGCAGTTTGGTGCAGCGTTTTGGATAATCATACTGGAACTCCTCCATACAGAAAGAATACTATATCTGAATCGTGTCACTTTGAAGGAAATCGCACAAGTTTCCACTTCTTCTCGCACCTTCAAAAAGCTTGTCTCTCGGAACATGCGTCATTAACGGGCTGGACCTCGCATTATTCAGCCGACCTGAAACTGTGTACTGACCATTATTATTGTCCCGTCCCGGTCCTAAACGAAGTACGGCATTCCGGTCTGCTTGATATGAAATCAGAGAGCAGTCGATGGAGCATTACGAGCGACGTTTTACATATTCGTTACAATACGTAGGTACTAAATCTCTCGTTCCGATAACAATCTGGTCCTTCAATCCGAATCGCTCCCCGGATCAAGTTCGTGCCAATAGCCTTCTCTCTCTGCAGCAGACTTCAAAATCTGAAAAGTCTTCTTTCTCCACGATTTCACCCACGCCATCTTCTCCTGGCTAACTCGATCAACAGACACCGAATTTTCTCGCTTAGGCGCGGGAGTTCTCACGCACGTCTCTCCAGTACCACTGGAACACGAAGCACTACTTGGAACCTCCGGAAGAGGTCGATTTCGATTTGGTAGAGGCGGCAACCGCAAAAAAATCCGCCGACACTGCTGACATTCCGGCTGATCCAACCGACAATATCCTTCGTGCACAGGCCGCCACTTCTCCAACTCCTTCTCTGAGTCCAAGATGTCTAAACTGATATCCAGGAGTCTCTGGGTTTCCGCGTCGGCGTCTTTTGTGCGGAAATCCCCTCGAGAGCATACCTTGTGCTGCAGTATGTACGCAAGAAACGGGGTGCCTGCATCGCGTCTGGATCCTCTGCGGAACTGCTCGAACCACACCAGTTGTACAAGAGCGTTGTTCGAGATCGCACAGGTGTATTCCCCATTGTGGGCCGCATGAAAAAGGTAACAAAGGGGCCCTGACTTGAGGGGTAGAAGGATAGTCATACCGACTCCGCCAGAATAGGTGAATACAAGAGCGTTCGGCACTTCTGGATTCTTTGTGAAGCGAGAATCAAGATCTCTCGTCTCTTTCTTTATTCTGTTATTGTTGAAGAGGTCAAAAGCCAGCAGAATATCCAAAACAACTAGGTACTCACAGCATTGACTGGACAGGTAAGGACAGCTGGACTAATGAGTCTACCTCAGCATGAATACATGCTATCACGGACAAAGCCCGTTCGAACAGTGGCAAGTGTATCGTATCCATAAGGCTGTCAAATTTCTGGACTCTGGTGATTGCATCTGCACAGAACAGGGCGTTCTACAAATAAAGTAAAATGAAACACTGGAAAACAACATATTTAGAGGCTCACATCACGAACATCAGGCTTCACTAGGGCCCTAACGAGACCCTTCCCGCGTGCCTGCCGTTTCACCATACACTGTCCCATTATAGCTCTGGCTAGATTGAGCGCACTGACGACCGGGCGAGGCACACTGAGTTCGTTTCGGGAGGTTTCCAAGGCATAAATATCTTGTGTCATGGGTCCAAGGAGAGCATCAGTTTGGTGGTCAACATCATGTAAAGATAAAGTTGTCCATCCATCGGAGGTGGTCATGACGTGAGTGAAGTATCAGCTTTGTCCACGTCTTTAAGTACCGTGAGCATGGAAGGTAGGGCACCCAGAGGCGACAACAAAACCGAATGGACTACAAGCGTCCGTGTTGGAGACTTTTCAAGCCGGACAAAAGGTTCGCCATGAAAGCTTCCCACAGCCTGCGGAGGTCGCGACCCTTTTGTTATGTGCCTAGTCCGTATATATAGATGATACCAATAGATATGATAACCAATCGGTAACGTGGTTACAGTCACCTCATTAGTTATGCAACCTAGAGTAGCAGTTGGAGTGCGGTGCACGAAAAGAGTCAGTATCAGAAGGACAAAGAAGACTGAAATCAATACAGGCGTTCGTTCGCACGCAGTCTAATGGGAGTCAAGGTTACTCCGAGAAGCAGCTCGCGTGTCGATTGTTACATTTTCCAGTGACTATACCCATACAATAGTTGTGATCCATGTATTCCAAAACCAGAAGAAAGATAATATTTTTGTGCGTCTTATCCATTGAACGCTTTTCTCGACGAGCGGCTCACTATCATGGCCTATATCAAGGCTTTACCCTTTGACTTGAGTGCAGCAAAGCTGCTGGGGAAGAGCGGCGATGTACGTTCTTCCACATTAGATGGATACTGTCCAAGACTTAGGGTGGAGAATGAGGATATAGATGATGGCCTGGAGCGTCTGCCTGTGAGGACCGGACTCCGGCTGTGGGGACTGGTGGAGGTGCCGAAACTAGGTCGTCGCGTCCCGGTGCTTGAACGACGAGACACAGTAGGCGAGGGTGCCGGGGATATAATGGCCCGTGACGTAGACGTAGATTGGGACGGTGTCGTACTGATACGAAGGCCATGTATTTGTGCGGGGAGGATGGCTTCTTCATCTTCTGATGGGGTGGTGCTTGTAACGCTCTCCTCCTCCTCCTTAATTCCGCCGAGGCCAATAGTGTTATTGGAAGGCGAAGAATAGAAAGGGCTTGCTGCAGGCGATGACAGGATGGGTTCGATGTGCAATGATGAAGACGATGGCGACAGCGTCGGCCTTTCAACAGATGGCTGCTGAGTAATCCCCACCGACGATTCCATGATCGCATCCCAATCCTCCCAACGTCCTTTTGCTTTTCTACCTCCGTCTTCCATGTCAGATGTGTCGAGCCCATCGTCTGAGATATCGAGCTCTGGCGGGATGCCTAGAGCACCCTTTACACGTTCCCATATAAGTTCTGAGTGAGCCAGAATACACGCCCGGGCATAGGCAACCCACAGGGTGTCAGATGCCTCTTCTCGGGTGGTCTTGACGAGCCAATCATGGAGTTGCGCGTACGACCACTTTGCCGGGTCTACAGCAGAATGTGTCTTGGTACCAGTGAAGGTCAGCTGTAACAGGGCGAACAGTCGAGAGGAAGGTGGGCTGGAAATAAGTGCGGAAACCTCAGCTGGGCGATCAATGAATGGAAGAAGGATATCATCAGGTAACGGCGTAAAGGTGGGTTGCAGTGCTGGGGAGCTCTCTGTTGGTGAACGTGCGAGCTGGACGAGTTCGTCTGGGGTCAGGGCGTGGCTGATAGACTGCGAAGCGCGACGAGGGCTCGATGGTTGGTTAAACGATGACGATGCAAAACTGAGGCGGGGAGCTGGGGGAGGCTTGAGCTGCATAGCCGTTGAAGTGACCCGCAGGATGGATAGCCTGCTCGTCGACTCTGGGTCGGCATGGTTTTCATGTATTCCGTACGGATCGTTGGCGGAGATGGAGCCACGCCGTGTAGAAAGGCGTCTGGTCGTCGTGGACATAAATTTCGCTGTCGTGGTGATAGTTGTGGAAGAAGGAATGCGGACGGCACATTGCTAGGATGCAAGTTCATATCATGTGCCAGATTTAATGACGTAATGCCATCATCACAGCTCGGTCTGAATGGCAGTTGAATTTTTTACCTTTGAGATTATTTCTAGTATACAATGTACACGTACCATAGCATTCGCCAGCCGACTGAAGACATTTACTCTGCCCAAATCCTCAATTGTTAGTAAACAACGATCTAGGTAGTTATAAGCATTGTATCAATGTGTGAAGTAAGTAAAAGCGAAGAAATATAGTTAGCGATGACGATGGGCGTTGGCTGGACCTCTCGATATCAATTGATTCAGCCTACTCGTCCCCAAATGTTCCGTCCTATCGTCTGGGCCAACCATCTGGGCCATCAGAAGTATGTGCAACTGCCTGTGAAGCAACGAACACATGAATGAATAACGTCAGAATTCTCGGTCCTTGGTTCGTACCCTCGGAAATTGGACGCCCCTGTGCTCTCACGTGCTACGGCCCGGACTCCGTAGTCAGACTTCCGGCTTTGACCTTGGATAGGACGCTCACGCGATGCACTACCAGCGCCTTGCTCTGCTCCCACAGCAGCTGCACATTGTTATTCAAGCAAGATGCGCATCAACCAGCTCAAGTCCCTTCCCCTTCCCTCCCCATCCCGACCCGACGCCTCACCAGATATTTCACTTACCGTACAACGCGTCGCAACAGGATATCAAGGCTAGGTGTAAGCCTTGCTCTATACACCCAGCCTTCGTTTGATTGCATCCACTGCAGACTACGAACTTGTTCGGCAACACCACCCAGATTCGCTCTCCTGTCGCGATCTTCCCTCGTCAGACCGTCAGGCTCGTTTCCAGGCGATAGCACATGCATATGATACGCTTCGAGGCAAGAACCTCCAGACGGGTACCCGAAGGGACTGGGGAGAGTATGCAGACGAGTTGCAGCGAAGGAAGAGAAGATGGGATCGACAGCAATCGGCAAGATACAATTATGCTAACCCACCTAGATACAAGTGGGAGTCGAATGTCGACGACCGGTGGAAGGATAATATGATCTTGACTATCGGAGTCGTGGTAAATCACTTCAGGCGTTATGTCGTTATCGTTCTGCTTACACCTTCTTCACAAGTCCCTGGTGCTAGGCATCGCTCCTAGTCTCTTGATGCTTCCTTTTTCAATACAGAAAACGCGCCAAAAGCATCTCGAGGCCGCGTCTGACTATTCCAAAGTACGGACAGAGGCTGTAGAAGAAGGTGACGAACGAAGGCAGGGCATGAAGAGGCACATCAAGGAAATGAAGACGGAGAAGGATCCTACGATAGATAAGCCATGCGTTAATGCATGAAACACGTATTTCAACGTTGGTTTATTGCTTATATCAGTGTATTATCACTGAAATATTATTGTACCGCTGACTTGGGCTCTATTTGATGTACACTGTCTAGGACGATATCCCAGGAGTTCGGATGATCATACGGACATCTGCCGGCTCGTAACTTTCAAGTCTGTGATCAGTCCATCGAATGGAACGCTGCCATAATAGAAACTCACAGCTAAAAGGCTATTCCCTCTTCTTCAGTGCCTCATCCGCCGAACCTTCTATTATGTTGTATATCCGGAATGCCATATCTACACCCATCCCCAGTGGAAGCAAAAGGAAGGGGATGTAACTCGAAAGCAGTATCCACATTTGACTCGCAGTGATCGCATCGGAGCCAATAACATGGAGGATACAAGGGAGGGTCGTCGTGGCAGTCGAAGCCCCATAAAACAAGATGAGAACGTATATCGAACGAGATCCTGCAGGTTGTCATAATCCACGTGAGGGACATTGGAAGGGAGGTACACACCTTTCCACAGCCCTCTCATGCCCAGTAGGAATACTGGAAACTGGAACAACCTGGAGGAAAGTTGAGGAACTCGTATTCAACAACAAAAAAAGTAACGCACAGTTCGAGTACCAAGAAACCTTTGAACCAGACCAGCCCCTCTTCGCTTCTAATCAGGCCGCCTATCAGAGGATCTCCGGAGAATTTAGTATACCATTCCGGTATCCAGGGAAGATATGTGTTGGGATACAGCAGTCCTTGGAAATCCATCAGGAGAGACGCTGGAATGTGGCACTAAACATAATTGAGCATAGGAAACGGGTGATGGCGTTTCAATACTTGCCAGAAAGAAAGTAAAGTAAACAAGATCAAGCGGCCTGGCGCTGAGAGGGATACGCCGATCCATTAAATTTATCATGGTGGTGAAGAGTAAAAACCCAGAATGCAATTTATGTAATTTGAGTCTGCCCAGTGTAGCGCACGCCCACGTGAGCACGAAACAATGACACCAGTCGACTCAAGGAAACGGTGTGCTATTTTTGGTGTGGATCGTTGCAAGCGCCCACACTTGCCAGACTCACCATCGGGATTGGTAAGCATTGTGCTGTGCCTTACTCAGTTGATTTTTTTCTTCTTTGCTTGAACTTTCTAGTACATTCTTTCAAAAGTAGTACAAAAGACTGTACCCTTGTGCGTTTGCCTTCAAGGGTTTCCTGTTGCTTGGTGTCTACTCCCTTCTCCAACAGACGGTTTCAGTTGTCGTTTCTGATTGCATAAGTATCCAAGCAATAAGTGTCCCGTATCGTCTTGTATCACTCAGTACTCCATAGATCGCTCAATAATCCTTGTGAGATACTCTCGCCCATCCTCTCCAGCGACGTTTCCGATTCCAGGTGCCAAATCCAAAACTCGCCTCTGGGGAATTGCGCCATCAACAAGCTTGTCAATGTCACTGGTAGTATATCTGTGAATGTGTGTTAGTATCTAACAGGATGTACGCTGTGTGAGATACATACCCGAGAGCTTTCAGTCCTCGAGGAACTCCCACTCTATCCAAGAAACGCGCGATGGCTTCATATAGGTGGGAGCCGATATCGGAGTCAGGGATAGACATGATAGAAGGATCAGAGATGGTCGTATTTGTGAATACCGCTAATGCTTGACGATGACGGTCAGGAGACGAAGGAGCGGTGAATTGGAAAACTAGAAAGAAGTGTCGACGAGGATCTACGAATACTATGGAAAAGCATTACCTGCGGGACCAGTGATAGCAACACTATTGTGTATAAGTATTTGGACAGGGTTTTCTAGGACAACACGTACCTGACTCCGTGAGGAATAATAGGAGTATCAACAAGATATCCGGGGTGTTTGTACTTGGGTCCCTTCTTGTTAAGACCAGATATCTAATGCTACAATTAGAGGGAACTCATGAGATTGAACGGGCGTCTTACAGGATAACTCATCCCGTGGCACAAATGCACACCAGCATTTCCAAATCCGATACCAGCAAATGATGACGCCAACCTATACACGTCAATATGTGCGCTGATAGATGGGAAACCTCCACTTACAGCATCTGTCGCCTTGCTTCCTCATCTTCCGGATTCTTTGCTATGCGAGGCAAGTATTTGACAGTAGTTTGCAGTGCCCACATGGAAAAAATGTCTGCGACTGGATTGCTTCCTTGATATGCGGGTCGCAATATCGGGTTAGATGGACGGGGCACGCGCTCCGTATACCTGCATGTCATAAGTATGCGTTTTATCAAAGCTGAAAAGACCGACGAACGGAATAGCCGTGTAACTTTCCATACTATGGAACAAGGTGTCTAGGCCCGAGCTAATCTGTACCTCTCGAGGACAAGATTCTGTGTTCATGGTGTCCTATATTATAGAGTAGGATCAATGCAGAAATTAATGGAATGATTACGTACAACAATTCCAAGGACAGGCTTTAAGGCTCGGCTAGCAATGCCTGTCTTGAATGAACGAGACGTAATGTCCAGGATAGCTGCACCAGTGGTCTCGGAACCAGTCCCTGCTGTAGTAGGGATGGCAATGAGAGGCGACAGTTTTTCGTAGATAGGCAGTCCTTTTCCAACTGGTGCGTTGACAAAATCCATGAGGTCGGCATCCTTATACGTGTTGAATCTGTACCGATTTCAGTACTGGCTCTCAAAAATAATAGGAAAAACGTACAGATTAGCAGCTTTAGCAGTATCTATGACACTTCCACCGCCGACACTGCGAGATTTACAATGAGTCTTAGGAGAGTTTGAAATGGCGGAAACTGCGTACGCCATGAAGTGACTAAAGTCATGTTCTCTAGCCCATCCAATGGCGTCTCTCCAGCTTTCCTCTGTAGGTTCCGCGACGACTCTATCATAGACCTCGAATGGTAGATCCGTCTGCGCCTCCAAGGAAGCCAAGGCCTGTGTGATCGTTAACCATCTGCCGGTTCGTGCGAACAGAAGTATACGTTTTTCATTGGTCGAAGCTTTGCAATATTTGGATCTGTGAGAACTCCAACCTGTGCCAAGTCAAAAAGACGAAATAAAGTCAGCAACACGTCCAAATAATACCTTCCGAGCCTTCATGTTTTTGAGATCCATCCCGACCTCGGAAGTAACACCATCTCCAAATCTCAAGTTAGACGCAGCAACCTAGTCCTGTATATGAGCATAGAGCCATGCGACAAAGTGAAAGACATACTTCAAACGCATATTCCTTCTCTACTGGTTGCACCCCAGGCGACGCGAACCGTCTGAGTTGGTTGAGACCATGTGCGTGTCCGTGAGCACGAGTAGCAGCGCTGCATGTATGGCACGGGCAGGCAGAGTGCTGGGAAGCATTGATGAGGCGAAGGATGGCGTTCCTGCTGACAGACATGGTGGGAGAGGTTAGGTCGTTCGTGCGAGGAATGCGGGGTACAGCCCCACGTGTCCAATTCCGCTGATCGTGCCGCCGGCGGGACCTGTAGACCGAGTTTAGGGGCTGGCGGGATTATCTTTGTCGGCTGTTGGCTCCTCTGTGTCGCGTTAAGCCATTGTTTCTGTCCTTGTAACGTCTCATTGACGCGCAAAAGAATCGGAAAGGTGTGTGAAAATCACAAGTGGTCCGCGGCCGTCCCTCAGGATCATCATTGACGCGCCAAAGGCCGAGGCGAGAGAAAAAGTGCCTAAGTTTTGATAACGGTACTCCGTCTGTCCGAGACTCATCGGCCGTAAGTCTAGTACCACCGATGTGAACGAAAAACCACAGCGCTAAGTTGAAAGATGATGGGCACCAGACAAAAGACGGAAGACGCTGTGACATACCAGTTAGATACTACGAGGGATCGTATACCGTATAAAAGCCCATGGAACCTGCAAAATGCGGAAGAATCTCCATTTTACAACATTTCCCTGATGTCATTTGTATTCTCTGTACATATCCTTGCAATGCCGCAGCGTGTAAAGGGTATACATGAAGAGGAGAAGAGCAACGAAAAAAAAGAAGAGATCTCGAAGGCTACTGCATCAGTGAGGAGCCGGTAAAACAACCATCCCTCAAAGGTAGGTATTGCGCATCTCTGTCCTTCGAAGACATGATCGGGGGCAAAATAGATGATGCACTCGAGGACGATCCAAATGACGAGTATGAGAGTCGACCAGAACGCGGTCCATCTCTTGGAACTGCCAAGACGCTGATACAGTGTAGTCGATTTGCGCATCACTAAGTGGAATATGCTGTAAATGAGGTAGAGGAAGACGGGGGAAATGGTGATGGTAAACACGAAATGCGCATCTGCGATCGAGAGCTGCTTGCGCCATAGACTAATGAATGTTGCCAGGAAAACTGTGTAGGCTTGCATCAGGACAACGTAGACGGATGCCTTCGTGGGACCATGCCATGAGGATAGCTGGGAAAAATGCTACTGATCAAGACATTCAGATACAATCACAAAAATATTCGGGCGTACCCCCCAGCGATGTCGCCAGGGTCAACATCATAGTGCATGTGGTTGTTTTAGATTTGCAAAAGCCGTTTAGAGAACAGAAATAGTGAAATTCGCTTGGCACAGTGTCAATAGCCGACGAGACGAAAGATAACTACGTGAGAAAGACCCTTGCTTTTTCTCCTCCAGATATTAAAGTGGGTCCCACAGAATCACGAAAGAACTTTGAGCCGAACATTGATTCAGGGGAAGGTCGAAAGATGAGGGACTTGATGCCGCATCTACGAGTTCATACACCTGAAACAACGACTGCAGACCAGCAACAATTAAAAAGTAAAAATGTCGGTATCTGTATCATTTCGCGATCAAGGTATTGCTGTCACCGGACGGGCCTGTTCAACTTCAAAGTCTGTATTGCAACAGATATTCGCTTTTCGTTTCCGGACGATCTCCGTGACTCGACATTACCCACCTCTCACTGACTGATGCTGTTCAACCAAAGCAACAAGTCAGAATGTAAAGTTGACTCTGCAACACTCCAAGACTTACTGCGGAGCCATTTCTCTCTGGTCTGACGGAATACACTGGTCTCATCGTAGCATGACACCACGCCTTGTCCTCGGCCCTGCGCATTTCACATGGCGTTCAACCAACCTTGAATAGTGTCCAAAAGAGAGGTGAGATTGTTCGTAACACAAAAAGTTTAAGCAAGTCCCAGCGTAAGTAACATCAGAGGAGGTAACCTAAAAGTACTATGGTATACAAAGAGAACGAGGGTATTGAAAAATGAATCAGAAACCTTCCGCTTCACCGCCATATTGCTTTGGCAGTTCCTTAGCATCAATAATGGGCAGAAGCACCTTACCGATAGTCGGGGCTCCCGAACCAACTACTGACATTTTAGCCAAGGTGTTGGCGGAGATGAGAGGTTTAAAAAGCCAGAAGATCCACGTAAGATAACCCGGTACGTTGACAAAGAACTTCTTGTACAGCAATTCCGGGTAGTGATCGGAAAAGATGCCAGAAGCTTCCGATGCGGCCTGCTTGGAGTTGGCGTCGCGGCTAGAAAGGCTCACGCCAGCGTAGTCTACGACAGATTCTCATTGAGGATATACTCGATGGAAACCGATTTTTAACCTTACCATGAACTTGTACGGTTTGATCCATAGTCTCAAAGTCAAGCAATGCCAAGCTCTTTTCCATGAGGGCAACACGCCATCTGATAATTGACTCTGAGCAACAATTTTTCAGACACACGAATAAAGCCTACCTGAGGAAACGTCGAACGTCGCTGAAGGCAGTCTTGATATCCTTAGCTCCGTAGATATTATACCTAGCCATCGTTAGCCTCATTATGGAGACGATGAGAAGACATACACGACCGGCCTGCCTTGCTTGTCCTTCCCATACACGTGCCCGAGGGAGCCGAAAATATCTTCAGGATATTCTTCCTTGATAGCCGCCTCGACGTTAAACTCGGAGCGCCATCGCAGTGTGCCAACCAGCATCGAACGCGCCTCATTGACGTTGAGATTCCTGCGGAGGTAAGACAGTGAAAGAAAGACAGAGGGTAATGGCAATCTACCTTGCACGGAGGAATTTCATGAGAACGACGCTGACTTTCGCGTCTACGGGGTCGGCGGGGTCAATTTTGACACCCCAAAGTGTTATTTCCGCTGACTTGGCATCGGGCTTGTCAGGGAGTCCGTCAGCGAAAATTTCTGGTAATTTTTTCTGGGAAAGAGCAGTGTCAAAGAAGGACATGAAGAATCGAAAGGACACACACCCTGAACTCCTTAAGAGCATTCCACTCTGATGTCGTGAAGCGTTCAGTCAATGAATTCTGCGGCTCATTTGCCTCCTTATTAGTTGACTCTGAAGGTGCCGTTGTTGCCTCTGCCTCTGCCGGTGCGGTGGCTGGCTCAGGCTTAGATTCAGAGGCAGGAGGGGCGGCGTCAGTGATGTTGTCTCGCATTGGGGAGGAGGCAGAAGGTGCAGACGTGGGTTCCGGTGCAGTCGAAGTCGTGTTGGCCTTCTGAGTCTCGGACATTGTAAGTACACGTTGCTATACAGTGGATGTGAAAGCAGGTCATGTTTGCTTATCTGATTAGATTGAGATTGCGAAAATAAATAAACAAATGCAAAAATACTAAAAATTAATTCTGTGCGGATGTTTTCGGTTCAATAATAAAATACAAGGATTTTGAGTCTTCAACGGCGCAGCGCTCGCTGTCTTAAAAATTATGTAGTGTCAACCGTGCATGTGATATACTGATGAACTGTGATAGCTGGGAGCATAGTATACTCACTGCATAAAAATGGGAGAGTATCGTTGAGCATTATATGCAGAGGTAGCATCGAAGGATTTGAATTATAGGAGTGGTTAGTGAGGGCGGACAAGATGACATAAACTTCCCATGCGACCCTGAGCGCCATACACCGCCCGACGAATTCGAAAAACTTCCTGGGAATTGCCTCCAGGTCGCCTCTATCTTTTGAGTCCATCTATGCCAGCTCGCTGATACCAGCAACCTCCTTTCCTTACATTGACCGACATGCTCGACCACGCCAATGGTTACCACGACAAGCAACGACACGACTCCTGGGGCCAGCCCACCCTACCTTTGTACGCCAATGATTGGAGCAACGACCGCAAGCCTCGGATCGACGACGTTCGCAAAGGTGCAGCAACGACTCTATCGCATGTCAAGCAGTTCATGGCCCAACAATGGACACGAACGGGAGAAACAGGAGTGCGGGCCCTGACGAGCCCGTCGTCGTCGCCCTCTAATCTCCTTTTCATTTTTCTGTGCAGTCTGTGGTACACCTCGTCTGCCCTTTCTTCCAATACCGGAAAAGCTATCCTCAACCAATTCCGCTACCCCATCACCCTAACCTTCGTCCAGTTTGGCTTTGTCGCCATTTACTGCCTTCTTTTCATGTCACCCATCATCCGGTTTACCAGACTAAAGAGACCCTCGCGAGCTATCCTCCAAAGCACACTGCCAATGGGTGTATTTCAGGTCGGGGGACATATCTTCTCCAGCATGGCGATGTCGACGATTCCCGTCAGCACGGTACACACAATTAAGGTCAGCTTATCGTGGTATCAATCCTACCCTGGCTGACATTCCACAGGCACTATCACCACTGTTCACCGTCGCCGCTTATGCTCTCCTTTTCGGAGTCAGCTATTCAGCCAAGACATATGTCTCCCTCCTCCCTCTCACCGTCGGCGTTATGCTGGCCTGTTCCTTCGACATGTCCGCATCAAATTATGTCGGCCTGCTATGTGCATTTGGTTCCGCAATAGTCTTTGTCAGTTCCAACATCGTCTTTAAGAAGGTCATGCCATCGCCCGACTCGTCGCAACCGTCCCATGCCAAACTTGATAAGTTGAACTTGTTGTTCTATTCGTCAAGTATGGCTTTCTTCCTCATGATTCCCATATGGTTGTACTACGACCTTCCTGCGTTCCTTGTGACGTCTCATAGCCCGGAGCACGTTGTGCATCCGAGTCATGCCCATTCGGCCATCCATTCCGTGAGTTACTACTTCTTCATGAACGGCACGGTGCATTTCGGCCAGAACATCATCGCCTTCATCATCTTATCGTCGACATCCCCCGTCACCTACTCTATTGCTTCCCTTATCAAACGTGTTGTGGTCATCTGTGTCGCTATTGTTTGGTTCAATCAATCCGTCCACCCCGTTCAGGTGTTTGGAATTGGTTTGACATTTACGGGATTGTATATGTACAACAACGCAAAGGCCGATGTCGATCGTGGAGAGAAGAAGATGAGGAGAGTCGAGGCTGCCCGCGATTTGATGCTTCCGAGCACCAATGCTGAGTCCAGGATGCTATCAGGAACAGATTCGGCGTTGGAGGCGACAATTCAATCTGCAGACGAGGGTGAAACCACAGGAGCAGCTGTGGCATGGAGTGGCCGGTCAAGGACGGCGTCGATACACCATCACCATCCGCCCCATCCTGCCGCGAACCTCTCGGTGAAAATCACCCCTCCAATCCTTAGTTCCAAGTTTTCTCCCATCAAAGAAGGGAAAGTGGGGTCGCCAACGGACTCTTATCCTTCTCCACCCCCTTCCCTCGATTCCCCGCCTGCACACTCGACACGTCTTGAATATTTGCATGGTCACTCCAAAAATTCTTTCGATTCCCGGTTCGTCGGTGCTGTCGTGGCGTGATTATACTTATTGGTTTTTACTAAATTAGAACAGAAGATATACCTGTCTTTACAGTTGGTCACCAAACTGCTCATATTCTATATATCCTTGGGCAGCATAGTAGATAGCATAAATTAAATAATCGGACTTCTGATTCATGAGCTGCTTACATGGCTGGGTCTTAGACACATCTTTCTGTACATATTTTCCATCTTGTAAAGGATGCAGGCAGCCTTGTACATGCAGTTGACTATCTCGCAATGCATATGGTTGGGAGACACCAAAACTGTATGCATTTATAGATTTATGCAGAACCAAAATAGCATATGAGGTGACATGTGACTTATGTGACAACATTGTCATTGCCCCAAAATGCTGTCAGTGGCTTTTGGGTCAGCTTTCCATGCATCTCCTTGAATAATGTTGGAAATCCTCAGTGTTGTACAGGGTACTCCAGGCTGGTAAGGCCAGAAGGTACAAACTTGTTATTCTACAGCTTCTACAGAGCTTGTGTTTATACTCTCCAGGCTTGTATCTAGAATTTACTACAACTTTCTCTTTCTCTTGAGCTTACTCATCAGCTCTCGGCATGATGCTGGATTGCCTTTCTAGAACTTTCCAGCAAAATCCCAACAAATAATGCTCCTCTCAACTTCCTCAGCTGTAGTACTAATCCACCCTGGTTACCTTGTGAAACACAAAATGCCTCCAGCTTTCAAATAAGCTCAAATCCTTCTCTTGTAGTTATCAAGGTCTGTTTTTCCTCCTCCTCCTCATCAACAACAGTTATTTTCCCATTTTCTACTGCAATATCATGCTTGACAGCAATAATCTCCTCATCTGTTGGTATCACCTCAAGATTTTCAATATACTCTTCTGCAATAGAGTTAACCATCTCTTCAATAGTTGGAGTGGGACCTGTTGGGATAGCAATTCTGAGTGAGTATGAGAATGTACTTGAAGATACAATGCCAGTCAGCAGCAGCTGACTTAGATTGTGATCCAGACTTATTTGGTATCTTGTAGAAAGATCTCAAAGTAATACAAAATGTATTTAAGTAGAATGTCTCTCTCTCAAGAGGCTAATTCTAATCCTCTGTACAACACTCTGCTCTCTACTTACAACAGGTTATGGGCCCTGGCCATAATTGAACTTACATTGCTACTCACTTTGCACTCTTTTGTACTTTACATATACATATAGAATCACATGGATAGTCAGTCCATATATAGAATTGACCTCCTTAAGAGCCCAGAAAATTATCTGATATGGAAAATCAAGATGATCAATATCCTAACTGATTTAGGACTAATTGATTATGCAGATAAAAGCATTCTGACTCTGGCAGACACAACACTGATGGCAGATTAGAAGAAGAGTGATAGGAAGGCTCTTTCAATAATAAGATTATAGGTTCCAGATGGCCCACTGGTATATATTGCTGATTTAAAGACTTTGGCAAAAGCCTGAAAAGCTCTGAAAGATATGTATGAGTCCAGGGGATCCATAAGAATTGTCCTTGTCAGAAGAAAATTCTTCAGAGCTCAGTGTGAAGAAGAAGAAAATATAGAGAAGCATATTAGGACTTTGAGGTCCTATCAGAAGGAGCTGGCATTCCTTAAGCAGAAAGTTGAGGAGGAGGACTTCTCTATTACATTGCTTATATCACTCCTGGAATCATGGAATTCATTCATCTCATCAGTGAATACTGCTGACTTGAAAGATTCTTACAAGTTGATTTCTTGAATTCTTCAGGAGGACATCTGATTAAAGGAAAAGACTTCTGATTGGACTATAACACTTGCAGCATATAACAAGAAGCCTAATCCAAAAGTCATATGTTACAGATATGGGGAAACTGGTTACATCAGAACAAATTGCCTAAATGGAAAGAAGAATTCTGGAAAGTCATAGAAAGAAAAGGGAAAGGGCCAGACTCAGGCATATATTGCCAAATCAGACTCAGACTCAGAAGACTATGTATTTTGTGCAACAGACATTGCACTTATCTCACTCTCAGAAGTATTATAGTTAGGAGACTCTAGCATTATCAGACCTATAGTCAAAAATAAATTATATTTTTCTGACTATGTTGAAACTCTAGGATATAAAGTCATTAGTGTAGGCAAATCCAAAGGCTTGAGAAGGGGAATTGTCAAGATTAAAATGGTTGAAGGAGAAAAAATCACTTCAGTCACACTAAAGGAGTGTATCCACTATCCTAATGCATCATTCAATCTCATGTCAATAGGGTGCATTACAGATGCTGGATTTGAACTCAAATTCAAAGAGTTCAGAATGGATATTATCTCACCACATGGCAAGATAATCAGCTATGGAGATAAAATATCAAAGCTATACAGCCTTGACATTATTGTTTCAGAAATAACTCAGGCCCATGCTATGAAATCAGTCTGATCATAGCAAAAGTGGCACAAAATATTAGGCCACTTAAATATGAGATCAGTAAAGTGTTATGATTTTTCTGTTTCTCTTCTCAGATAACTCCTATTTATGCTTAGTTAGAGCACTAGAATGAGTGTTAAGATCATAAGACAAAGCTTAGTCACTACAACTAGCCAAGTCTGTCATTGTTCTTCGATGCAACAGTATTGTCTGATGACACACAATCAACCTATTATGTATGATAACAATGCCCTAGGACAATGAGCACAATGGATTAAGAAACACACAATTAGTCATAGTATTATTAACAGACCTTATACAGTATTTAAAGACTGCTTGCTCTCACTGATAATCCTCAGCTTCAAGCTAAAGTTTATTTATCTCATTCTACTCTTGAGCTAATCTTATAGGCCTTGTGACACATCAATCAGACTATGCATCAGTGGACTCAGCTGATCTTCTGAAGTGCGAGGAGACTAGGCTGTTTATCATGTGTATCTGTTCATGTGATGCTTGAGTCTAACAATTAGCTCAAAGCTTCCTTTTCTCTTTCCTCACACACTATAGTGTGGAGAAAACTAAATGCCCTCAGTTACACTATCAGACTTGAACTTTGATCGAGAGTTCTTTGAACTCTTTTCTTCTATCATTGGAATGCTACTAGGCTTATTAGTGATCATCCAGCTGTGTAGAAGATGTCACTCAATTACCACTTAGACAATCTGACACTACAATGAGTTTCAATACATCCATCAAATCCTCTGCAATATAACCCCTGACCTACCCCTCCATGACATCTCTGACTCTTGATGAACATCCCACTAGTCTCTGACCAGCCTTTTACCAGAAGCTGAGTCTAGCAGCTCACATCAGGGGTGTGATCAAGAAGAAGAAAGATATCAATACCCTCTCTGACCAACTAGTAGAAACAGCAATGATCACCTCACAGGGTTCAGAAACTCTTGGCAGCAAACTCCTGTCTCTAACCATGAGGATGAAGATCTCCCAGAGGACTTCTTTCAGCAGTCTCCCTCTCTTGACTATTCCAGGACCTCTCAAACTCCTGGGATTGGTGACCATGCCAGAGACTCTCTCAGTCCCACTAGAATGGCTGCAGGATCCTGCTGCATGACATCTCAAAGCCAGCTTCACAGCTTCACCCCTTCTATCCACTATTTAGTCAGAACTAGCAGTAGGATGAGGAGGGCACCCTTGGATTGGCTCGATGATGAGCAACAGATCCAAGAAAACAGAAATGAAATCATTCACAGGCTCTTCTCCACCTAGGATCTTAATGTCTCCTTCAACTATGATAAGGCTCTCTGACAAGAAGAACAGAGACAGCAAAGTATTCTTCAGCTGTCTTGCAGTGAGCTTGAAGAGTGACTCATCCTTCAGGGCCAGGCATAGAGGGCTGCAGAGTATGACTGCCAGCATCGGAAAGAGCAACAAGCCATCAAAAGGGCTTGATTGAAGAGGATTAATGTCTCCAACTGATATGGACTCTGGCCTGAGGTTGCATTCATACTTGCACCAGTCTGAGCTGACCACTCACTCTTGATCCTAGTCTTCAGAGAATCTAGCACCAACTCTGACCCCTGAGACCTGATCTGCTGAAGGAACACAGGGATCCTCACTGCTGATGAAGCCAGGAATAGGGACAGCAGAATCTCTTCTCTAGCTTGAGATGATATCTCAAGATCCCTCCCTCACCCTCCTCACCCCCAGTATCCTCCTCTCTGATGAACCCCCAGCATCAATATCATGTTTGGAGACAATGAGTCTGTCCTCAGACACTATAGGCTATAAGTCTCTGGTACTGCCCATATCTCTGCTTGGACTCTCTGGAGATTTCTTGGGAGTCAGATGGTCATGCAGCTCCTCGATGATGGGTACAAAAGAAATGTCCAGCTCTATCATGAGTGAGTAGAGATGGTAAGAGCAATAGGAGAAAACTGGTATGACTCCAATATTGGAAGCCAGCCAGTTTCCATCTACCTCAATGCCTCTGACTTTTCAGACCTCATAGCTAGACCTAGTACCCAGCTAGGACAGTGGATTGATGATATGACCACAAAGGGATATAGAGAGTTTCTATGATCTATCCACTGCTTCTCTCCTCGAAGAAGAGGAGAATGATGAGGACATGGAGGATGAGAAAACTGAAAGCAGTAACCCACCTCGAGCCAGTGGAGAACTTGCTTATGGACTGCAGGAGGATACAGATGAAGAAGAACTGGAGTGAGCAATACAGGAAGCCAGAATGCAGAAGTACCAGGAGTTTTACCTGTGAAGGGTGAACTTTTTATGGCATGATGCTACTTGGATAGCATCACAAATAGAACAATTATATTTGCATTTGACAGCTAACAAAAGAACAGAAATCCTGAGGCATGTGGCCACTGACTATGCTGCTGTACAATACAATAAGAAACACTCTGAGAATCAGATTTGAAGACTGCCAGCATATCAGATGCCAGAGCCTATCTGACTAATGCTATGATCATCACCTATTATCTCAAAATGAGCCATATACATGGCTCTGTCTATCTGAAGCACCTTTTCATACTCTGCCCCTTCATCTCAATCAATGGCAATCCAGCTATTATGATCC